GGCACGGGGGAGGGAAGCAATGGTGGTGGGGTGGGGACTTCCGCGACCCCCGTTGCTGCTGAGGGGTGTCCTGAGCCACGGGCTCAGCTCCGTGGGGATGCAGGGGGTAAGGGTTGGGGGGTAAGGGCTGGGGTGGATCAGAAGATGGGGGTGCTGAACTGAGGGGGGCGTAGTTTGGGTGTCAGGGTATGGGGGGACTGAGCCGAAGCAGGATCAGGGGATGGGGGAACAGGAGACGGGGCTGAGCTGGAGGGGTCAGGAGTTGAGGGGGTCAGAGGATGGGGAGGCGCGGGGCGTTCCTGGCCCTCGTGCGAGTGTGAACAATGGCCATGAGTCAGAGCGGGCTCTGGGCCACCGTGGGGGACACACCTCCCATCCCATTCCCATCCCCGTCCCCACTGAGCTGGGGGTCCCCACACCTCCTGGGGATCCCCCTGCCTCTTTCCCCACCCGACCCCATGCACCCCCTCCCCATACGTTCCCATCTCCAAATCCAACCCGTCCCAGTGCACCCCAGTGGGTTCCACGGGCTGCCGGGGCCGCGCCGTGGGACAGGGGACACTGGCACGATACCACGGGCAGTGGGAGCAGGGCTGTGCTGCTGGTGGGCATCGCGTCCTTCCCTGGTGACCCAAGCGTGCCACCCCCTCGGGGACACCTCCACGGCGGGGACACGTCTCTGGTGGGCTCCGGCCATGCGGGGATGTCCCCGGGAGCCAGGAGGTGGGTCCCCGGCCAGGTTTGGGGCAGCGGCAAGGTGGGTGCCGGGGCCCCGGGGCCCCGTCCGTTCATCCCATCCCACCCCGTCCGTCCCACCTGGACACCCACCCGGGGGGCTCGGTGACAGCGGCGATGGCAGCGGTGACAGGAGGGTCCTCGGGCGCAGGTCCGCGTGGGCGCGAGCAGAGGCCGAGGCCGGGGCAGGCGCGGGGGGCCCCGGGCAGGACCCCCGGCAGGTTCCCCATCGCGGCTCCTCTGAGCCGGGAGCGGCCGCTTCCCGCTTCCTCCGGCCCGGGGAAGTGGTGACGGGGCCGCGACGCCCCCGCCCCGCGCACAATGGGCACCGCCACCGTCACTGCCACCTCCGTCACCTCCACTGCCACCTTCGTCACCTCCACAGCCACCGCCACTGCCCCTGCCATCACCACACGCTGTGGGACACGCTGGGGACCCCGCCGGGGGGCTTTGGACCCAATCTGACCCCCGGCACCCTGGTAAATGGCCATGGGGAAGCAGCGATGGCACCCAGAGTGGGGGACATGGCACTGGGGGGGACATGGGGGACCCGCATGGCACTGGGGGGACACAGCACTGGGGGTGACATGGCACTAGGTGGGATATATGGCACGTGGGGGCGGACACGTGGCACTTGTGGAGGGTAAACGGCAGCTTGGGGGTCACACATTGCACCCAGGAGGGACACAGCGCTGGGGGGGACACGGCACTGGGGCACACATGGGGCACACACATGGAGCTCACGGGGACATGGCACTGGGGAAATAGAGGGCACTTGGGGACACACATGGGGGCGGAGGGTGGTGACTGGCACCTTGGGGTCACAGTAACGCCCCCCAGAGAGAGGACACCGCACCCATAGGACGACATGGCAGTGGAGGGGACATGGCACCCGTGGGGACACACACAGCACTTGCGGGGCCGTGGTGGTGGTAGGGACCCCCATCCCAGCCACAGGAAACTGTGCCCCCCCAGTGCTCTGTGCCGGGCAGTTGGGTGCTCCGGGGGGGTCCGGGGCCCTCCCGGGCCATCCGTGGGGCGGATGTCCGGCGGGACCCCCCCATTTCCCGCCGCTTCCACCCAGTTCCGGCCATTGACGTGCCGGTCGCTCCCGGGGACCCCCGGATAGGCATCCCTGGGAGTGGGGACACCCTACAAAGGGGGAGTGCACCCCCTGACCCTCCCGGGGGGGGCACTCTGAGAAGCAGCGCGGGGTGGGGGGGCGTCACCCCAGTTGTCGGCTGGGGGAGTCGCACGGTGACTCCGCAGTGGGGCGGGGGTCTCGGGGGTCGCGAGTGCGGGGACCCCGGGGCAGGAATGCTGTTCGGGTGCGGAGGGGTGCGGGATCACCCGGGTCCCGGCGGGGGGGTCCCGGCGGAGGTTCGCGGGGGGCTCAGCCCGCAGCTCCCGCAGCGACGGGAAACCGCGCCCGGTGCCGGAGAGGCGGGTCCTTCCTGCGGGGCTGGGGAGAGCGGGGGCGCAGGGCGGGTGCCGCCGCACGGCGGGGGGGCCACAACCACGGGAAGAACGTCCCAGGGACCCCCGGGGGGGGCACGCAGGGGGCGGCCCCGGCCCCGAACGGGGAGTGGGGTTCCATCATCCCGCCGGGGAGGGTCCCGGGTTGCCCCCCCGGCCCCGGTGTGTTCCCTGCCCACCCCCGGGGGGCGGGGCAGGCCTGTCTGTCACGGCAGAGCGCCCATCCGATTGGCTGTCCTGCCGCAGGGGCGGGGACTCGGCCATGGCATAGGGGGGAGCTGGGGGCGTCAGAGCTTGTCCTGCCCCACAGACCCCCCTTCCCAGCCCTCCCCTGTACTCCACAGTCGTCCCTGCAGCGCACAGTGTCCCCCTGCCCTACAGCCCCCCTGCGCCCCACAGCCCCCCCGCCCGGCTCGGCTGAGCTCCCATTGGTCCGGTCGGTCCACTCAAGTCCTCTCGGGTCTGGTGAGTCCGCTCGGTCCATTCGGATCTGGTGGGTCCGTTTGGGTCCGGTCGGTCCATTCAGGTCCATTCAGGTCCGTTTGGGTCCAGTGGGTCTGTTCTGGTCCATTCAAAGTCGGTTGGGGCCGGTCGGTCCTGTCGGTCCAGTCAGTCCGGTCGGCCCAGCTGGTTCGGTCGGTCCATTCGGGTTCGGTCGGTCCATTCGAGTCCTGTGGGTCCATTCGAGTCCGGTCGGTCCCCGCGGTCGCGGCCCAGCGGCGAAGCCGAGCCGGGGCGGGGACAGCTTCAGCACCTGGGACAGAGCCCGGGGGGGCGGGACTGGGAGGGCACTGGGACTGGGACTGAATTCGGATGACACGGGACCGGGACCGGACCGGTGCCAGGACTAGACTGGAACCAGGAATTAACTGTGTAAGACTGAAATGGGACTGGGAGTGGGATTTGAACTAGGACTGCAATGGGAATGGGATTGGGTCTGGAACTGGGATTGGGACAGGAGTGGGATTAGGACTGAGACTGGACTGGACTGGACTGGAACTGGGATTGGGACTGGAACTGAACTGGAACTGGGACCGGCACCCCGACCAGGATTATGATTGATCCTGAGACTGGACTGAACTGGCACAGGGACTTGGACCAGGACTGAGATTAGGACTGGAATGGGACTAGGACTGGACTGGACTGCAGTGAGATTGGACTGGGACTGGGAACAGCACTAGGACCAGCACCATGACTGGGATTAGGCTGGACTGTGACAGCAATGGAACTGGGACTGATCTTTAATTGAGTCTGGGACCAGGACTGGACTGGATTTGGACTTGGACTGGAATAGAATTGAGTAGGAAGGGACTGGACTGGTCTGGGAGTGGACTAGGAGTAGGACCAGAACCGGAGCTGAGACTGGGACTTGGACTGGACTGGACTGGAAATGGAACTGGATTTTGGACTAAACGGGCAGGACTAGACTAGGGTTGGGACTGGGACCAGAACTGGACTGGATAGAGACTAGGTGGAGACTGGGACTGGGATTTGGACTGGACAGGACTGGGAGTAGGACCAGGACTAGGTTGGACTGGAACTAGAATTAGGATTGAATTGAGATTAAGATTAGATCAGGATTGGGACTGGGATAAGGACTGGGACTGGTACTCGGAATGGGACTGGGCTGGGCCAGGATGGCAGGATTGGGCCTGGGAAACTCCTGACAGGACGGGGCTGGGGCTGTGTCAGAAGGCTCTGCTGCTGCCCCACTGACCCCATGTCCCTGTCTCCTGGTGTTCCAGTGTCTCACTGTCCCTGTACCCCGGAGTCCCTGTGTCTTGGTGTCCCCATGTCCCGGTGTCCTGGTGTCCTGGTGACCCAGTGCCCCCGTGTCGCCATGTCCCCATGTCCTGGGGTCCTGGTGTCCCTTTGTGTCGCGGTAGAAGGGGGGTCCGGGGTGTCCCCGGGGCGAGGGGGGGGCGCGGTGATCGGTGGGCGTGGCCGTGACCGATCGGTGGGCGTGGCCGAGGGCCCCGCTGGCGCCCCCGGGCCGGGCGGGGCGGGGGGTCCCCGGGCCCCCCCCGGCCATTGGCTGCGGCCGCGCTGGCCCCGCCCCCGGGCCCGGCTGTCAACACGCAGCGCTCGCCGCGCCCGCCGGGCCGGGCCGGGCCGAACCGAGCCGAGCCCAGCACAGCCCAGCCGAGGTGAACTGAGCCCAGCCCGGCAGAGCACAGCCCGCCTCAGCCCAGCACAGCCCAGCACAGCCCAGCCGAACCCGCCCAGCCCAGCCGAACGGCGCCGGCTCGAGCCGAGCCCAGCTGAACCCAGCCCAGCCGAACCGCGCCGAACCCAACCGAGTCCGCGCGAGCTCAGCCGAACCGGGCCGGGCCGAGCCTGGGCCGAGCCCGGACGAACCCAGCCCAGCCGAATCGGGCAGAACCGGGCCGAACCGGCCGAGCCGAGCTGTTCCGAACGGAGCCTGAGCCGTTCCGAGCCGTTCCGAGCCGCCCCGAGCGGCGCCGAGGGCGCGGGGCGGGGGCTGGTCCCCCCCGGCCGCTCCGTGACTAAATAAGGCCGATGGCAGCGGCGCGCACCGGGCGGGTAGAGCGGGGGCTCGGCCCCGCCGCCTCCTCCGGCCCCCTGGCCCCGGGTCCCCTCCTGGCCCCGCGGCCCTGCTCTGGGCGGGCGGGGTCCGCGCCCGGCGGCCCCGGGCCGGGGAGGGCCCCCGGCCCCCTGAGCGCCGCCGTCCTTGGCTCAAGGGCAGCAGGACCCCCGCAGCGCGGGCCCCTCCTCTCCCGGCCTCCCAGTCCCCCGCCCTCGCCGGCGCTGCCCATGGGCCCGGCGCGATGCCGGTGCGGCGGGGCACGTCGCCCCCAGAACACCTTCCTGGACACCATCATCCGCAAGTTCGAGGGGCAGAGTGAGTGGGGCCTGGGGGCACCGGGGCCGGGGGAAAGGCGGGAGGGGCGGGGCCGGGGAGCCGGGGGTGGGAGGGACGGGGCGGCGGGGACCGGGGATGGGGCATTAGGGGACATTGGGGGGACCCGGAATGGGGAGGACCAGGGAGACAGTAGCCTCAGGTGGGTTTGGAGTGATTGGGACAAGCCCAGCTTGTGGAGGGGGGGACACTGCCCACCCTGGCCCCCAGAACCCCCCAGCAGCCCCCAGCCCCGGGCGGGTTTGAGGTGATGGGGACAAACTTAACTAAAGGGGGCCCACCTCCCCCAGTCCCCAGCAGCCCACAGCTCATGGCTTCCCCTAGTCCCTGAGGGGTGATGGAGACCCTGCCCCCAGCTCAGGCTGCTGTGGGACTGGGAATTCCACCTGGCCCATGGACCCCCCAGCCTCCTGCCCAGCCACAGGTACAGGGAAACCTGGGGGACATGTGGGAATGGGGGGACTGGGAGTTCTGAGGGTCCCCAGCACCTATCAGGGAACATCCCCCTGGGGACAGGGCAGTGACATGGGGACGATGCTGCCCCACGGGTTGGGCTGGGGAGTGTTACCCTGCTGGGGGACAGGCTGTGGCCGGGTGTCTGGCCTGGCTGAGCCCCTGCCTTGGGGTGGGGGTCCCCATGGTAGTTGTGTCCCTGAGGAGTCTCTGTAGATTTGGGGGTCCCTGTGGTGATGAGGTCCCTGCAGAGCTGTGTGTCCTGGGGTCCTTCTATTGGTGCAGTTCTGGGGTCCCTGTTGTGGGGTCCCTGCCCTGCTGAAGTGCCTGCCATTGTGGGGTCCTCATGATGACGATGTCCCTGCAGTGGTGGGTGTTCCTGGGTCCTCATGGTAGTGGGGTCCTTGAGGGGTCCCTGCAGCGTTTTGAGTCCCTGGGTCACAGCAGTTATAGGGTCCCAGGTCCATGTGAGGGTGAGGGTCCCTGCGCCCCTGTGGTTATGGGGTCCCCACAGTTCTGGGGTCCTCATGGTGGTGCCATCAGCTTAGGGAGTCCCTGTGGGCGGGGGGGGTGTGGGCAACTCACAGGGTGTTTTGTCCTGGGGAGCCCAGGATGGATGGATGGATGGGGAGGCCCATCCCCATGGGCTGCCAGGCTGGGGCTGCTCTGTCCTGACCCCGTGTCCCCTCTCCCCCCAGGCCGCAAGTTCATCATCGGGAACGCGCGGGTGGAGAACTGCGCCGTGATCTACTGCAACGAGGGGTTCTGCCGGCTCTGCGGGTACTCGCGGGCCGAGGTGATGCAGCAGCCCAGCACCTGCGACTTCCTGCACGGGCCCCGCACCCAGCGCCGCGCGGCCGCTCAGATCGCACAGGCCCTGCTGGGGGCCGAGGAGCGCAAGGTGGAGATCTGCTTCTACCGCAAGGATGGTACGGCCCCGGGCACGGGGAACGGCTGGGGACAGGGGAGCTGTGCTGGGGACACCGTGTGTGGGATCTGCTTCTACCACAGGGATGGTACAGACCCCCGGGGGGACAGGAGACAGGCAAGGACGGGGGGCAGCAGGTGTGGGAGTTCAAGGTGCACGTCCACCTGTACCACAAGGACAGTATGGACTTCCCTCGGGGGGCTGTGCTGCGCACAGGGGGACAGCAGGCACGGGGCAGACCTACGCCGTGCCCATCCAGCACCTGCCAATGCCATGGGTGGCACGAGGCACTGGCACAGGGGGGAACCTGGCACTTGTGGCTCCTGAGGGATGCTGGTAGCTCCCGAGGGGCTGCAACACCCACAGGGGTCCACAGTGCTCCCCAGTACCATGATGGCTCCCAGCAGGCTAGGAGCCTGGCACTGGTGGCAGCTCTCGAGGGGCACTAGCACCCCAGGGCTCTGGACTCTCCCCAGTGCCACAATGGCTCCCAGCCGGCCGATGGTGCCAGGACCACAGTGCCAGGGGTCCCAGGAAGTCACGTGCTGTGGGGCTGGGGTATTTGGGGTGGGAGCAGTGTGCTGTGCCCCCCCCGCAGAAGGGTGACAGGTTGTGTGGGGGCACTCTGTCACCTGGAGGAGGGACAAGGGCACGGGAGTGGCGGGAGCTGAGCCAGTGTCGAGTGTCACATTTCCACTGTCCCTCTGGGGTGTGTCTGGGGTCATTGGACAGAGTGACATCGCAGGGTCCCCGTACCAGGGGATGCCGTGACCCCCAGAGCCCAGGCCAGGGCTGACACCCCACGTTGGCAGTGCTGGCGCTGCCCCTCACCGTGGCCTTGTGCCAGCGCCATGTGTCCCAGCTCTGAGCACATGGCCCTAGTTCCGGTGCTGGAGTAAACAAAGCTGGTGCCAGCTGCCGGCGTGGCCACGGCACCATGGGAGCCACCGTGGCTCTGGGGGCCCTGATGGGGCTGAGCTGGGGTGGGGGCGCTGCTCCTGGCCCTGGGATCCCCCCCTTGCCACCATGGCACTGCCTGGCATGCCCCGGTGCCCTTTGGACTGCGTGGTACTGGGGGCTGTGGGGCGCAGGTGGCACATCGATGCCCCCCCACACCCTGTGCTGAGCCCTCGTTAGGGTGGCACTAATCACCCTGGTGGTGCCACCAGCTGTGCCAGGCATGGGGATGGGCTCATGCTCCTGCCTGGGGCCTTCTTGGGGCTCCCAGGGGACCCCAGCACGCCCAGTTGTGCCTCCCAAGTGGTGTGGGGATCCCACCCCCTACCAGGCCTTGGGTGCTGCTATTGGACCCATGGGGACACGTGATGGGGGTCCTGGGGGTTGCTCTGTGACCCTCCACCATGACTGCCCTCCATGGGGACCAGCTACCCTGTGGAGCAGGGGGTGGGACCCCCTGGCAGTCCGTGACCCTGGATCTGGGGTGTCCTGCACCCACAGACAGGCCCTGTGCTTGGGGACTGGCCCTGGGGGCTGTGGTGGTGCCACCGTGGGTGTCCCCTCTGTGACACAGTGCTGGTGCCACCTGCCACTGTGGGGCTAGCTTGGGGGGTCTCATGGGGTCCTCTTGTTGCCCCTCCCCCGACACGGGAGGCAGGGATCCTATTGCCAGTGGCTCTGGCCTTGTGGCTGGGCCGTGGCATTCCCGGTGCTCCTGGTGCTGCTGCCACCCGTTAGTGCCCGTGGAGTTATGTGACCCCCCCTCGCCCCGCATCCCCCTATCCCGAGCCCCGATGTGTTGTGGTGCCGTAGCAGAGCCGTGGTGGAGCCGTGGAGCCGCCGCGTCGCTGCCGTTGCCGCAGCCATTCATCTTCCCGACGTGTTGTTTATGGTGCTGGGGACGCCGGGAGGTCACGGCGCCCGCAGGGGACCCGTGTCCCCGTGGCGACACCCGTGGGGCCTTGGGCTCCCCGGGCCCTGTCCCTGGGGGACTGCCGTGGCCTTTGGGGTCCCCCTGTGCGTGGCCCCGGTGTCAGTGCAGGGCGGGAGCTGAATCAGGGCTGTGTCACCATGGCACGAGGTGGCATCTCTGGGTGTGGCTGTCCCTGCTGTGCCAGTGGGGTGTCCCTGTCCTCGCTGCACGTTTAGGGGTGCAGGTTGCAGTCCAGGCTAAGTGTGTGGGGGTGCAGGGTTGCAGGGTAGGGTGCAGGGACGGGGGTGCAGGTTGAGGGGCTACAGGGCTTCAGTGTGCAGGGAGTCCTCCCACTTTGGGGGTCCTGGTGGTGCTCACTGGCTGTCATGAGAAGTGATGCAGGGGGTGCAGGGTGGATTTGGGGTGCAGCTCTGGAGGTGAGGGGTGCAGCTGGGGTACAGGGCACCATGTGAGGTGCAGGGGGTTTGGGTACACAGACAGGGGTCCCATTGCAGTGCATTGTGTGTCCCCGCCATGGGGGTTCTCCTGTTACCCCTACCCCATGGTCCCCTCATTGGTCCTACCATCACCCTCACCATGGGGGTCCCCATATTGATCCCCCCATCACCCCCTGCCCCCACAGTCCTCCCATAACCCCCATCCTGGGCCACACCCCTGAGGGCAGTGGGATGGGGGGGCCAGCGTCGCTGGACTCGGGGACTCAGGATTCCCGTGGGGGCGGATGAAGCCGACAGCAGCAGCGGCCACGTGTTGGTGCCACTAATTCCCCCACGGCGTAGCTCGGCCAGGACCCCACGCTGGCCTGGGCCACCCTGTGCCACCCTGTGCTGGCCCCTGGCCCGTGGCCTCACATGCAACAGGGAATCCCCCTGCCACAGGCACAGGCACGGGGACAGTGCCAGCTGGCACCCGCCCTGCCATGCTGCTGGGCCCGGTGCCAGCAGGGGGGACACAGAGGGAGGACAACACCGTGGGGGGGTGATCCGGTGCCTTGACGTCATCCACGTCTCGCTGTTTTCACCCACGTGTGTCCCCCTGGGGTCCCCTTAGGGGGAGGGGCGCGGAAGGGGGCAGGATGCCCCCCCCCCATCACACAGAGATTACCCTGGGCTGCCCTGACCGCCCCGGTCCCCCCTCCAGCTGTGGCACCGGATTAACGCCACAGCTGTTAACAACTCCTGAGCGGCTTAACCCGGCCCCGCACCCCCAGAGCCCCCCTGGGCCCCGCTGCCCCCCATGGCCCTGCCTGCAGTACCTCCCCCTCCCCCTCCTGTACCCTCCTGTGCCTCAGTCTCCCCCTGTGGTGCAACTGCAGGGGTGGCTGCACCCACTGAGTCAGGATTGGAGGGCTGGACAGGGTGCCCCCCAGGACAGAGTGCCCCTCATGATGGGGTGCCTGCCAGGAAGGGGGGAGCAGGAGGGGATGCTTAAATGGTTTGGGGGCCAGGAGTAGGTGCCCAGCAGGGACAGGGGTTGCACAGCAGAGTGGGGGGCAGGAGTGGGTGTACAGGAGGGGTGGGGGAGTGTACCCCAGTATGTTGGGGGTAAATGGGAGGGGCAGGCAGGGGTCCCCCCTACGGGGGTGCTGTCCCCCCATGTCACTGACCCCCCCCTCCCCACAGGCAGCTCCTTCCCGTGCCTGGTGGACGTGGTACCGGTGAAGAACGAGGATGGCGCTGTCATCATGTTCATCCTCAACTTTGAGGCCGTGAGGGAGCCTGAGCCGGGGGAGGCCCCAGCCCCCAGCACCAACCACTGGGTCACCCCGGCCCCCTGGGGCCCTGCAGGTACAGGGGGACAGGGACACCAACCCCTCGGTCACCCCCTCCTCCTGGTGGGGAAGGGGCCTGTGTCACCCTGCTGACCCCATGTCCCAGGGGGACACGGTGCTGTGGGGCACGTGGTGTGGGCAGAGGGTGCCTCAGTGCTGGTGAACAGCACTGGTCGGGGTTGAGACCAAACCCAGATCCCTACCCCAAACCTGACCCCCAGCCTGTCCTTTCCTCCCAGGGCACAGCTGGTTCCTGTGGCTGAAGCAGCACCATGGGGAGGGGATTGGAGCTGGACCCTGACCCCAGCCCCAGCCCTGACCCCAACCTGTCCTTCCCCCAGGGCGCAGCCGGTCCCTGCGGCTGAAGCTGCTGGCGCTCACAGGCAGCCGCCAGTCGCTGCCGCCGGAGCCGCCGGAGCCACCGGACGTGGTGGTGGTGGACCCGGGGGTTGTGGACCCGCTGGTCATGGAGCCGGCCCTGCCTGGCAGCGACTTGGGCCCTGAGGATGCCTCGTCCTCGCTGGAGCCAGGGGCTGGGGACCGTCCCGAGGACGAGGCAGCGTTGATGGGGGACTCCGAACCGCCAGCGACACAGTCGTCCCCGCGGGCCGAGCGCCTGGCGCTGGCCTTCATCAACCACAGCCTGGCCCGGAGCCAGTCCCAGGAGCGCCGGTCCCGGGAGAGCCTCCGCAGCCTGCGCCGGGCATCGTCCGTCGATGACATCGAGGCCATGAAGGGTGACGGGGACAAGCGCTGCCACAACCGCCACACCAGCGCCAGCGCCGGCCTGCACCGCGGCTCCAGCACTGGTACGGCCCAGCCGGCACAGGGGACACTCGTTGGGGTTGGGGACATTGGGGCAACCACAGCCAGAGACCCTGGTGACCCCCCACCCCCATTTCCCACGGACCCCATGGCAGTGCCCAAGGGCTGGCAAAGGGCTGGAACCCCTCATTACCCCTGGGACCTCTGTCCTGCCTCCTGTGGCCCCCCTATCACTGCTGGAAGCCTCCCAGCCCATCCTGCAGGCCCCCCCCCCCATCCCCTGGGCCACATTGAGCCTCAGGAATCATCGTGGGAATCACCACGGGAATCACCTTGTTGGCCCTGGAGCTCTTTAAGCGCATTATGAGAAGGGACAATAATTATAATGATATTAAGGTTAACTGAGAGCAGCTCCACAGGTCCCCAGGGGGGGCCTGTGGCACATGGCTAGGGGGGCCCCCTTGCCCTGGGGCTCCCCACTCGCTTTACCTACTGTGGGAACCCAACCCTGGTATCTGTGGGGAGCCGTGGGACCCCTGCCCCAGGAGCCTTGGGGAGCCATGAGACCCACCCTGGGATCCAGGGCCCATATTCCCCAGTTCCCAGCCCACTGTGGGACCCCCAAGGGGTCCGTGTCCCCTGGTGACGGTGTCCCCTGCAGGCGCGGTGGCCGCTGTGCGCAGCGCTCTGCTCAACTCCACGTCGGACTCGGACCTGGCGCGGTTCCGGGCCATCGGCCGCATCCCACAGATCACCCTCAACTTCGTGGACCTGCAGCCAGGGGGGCTCCTGGCCCCGCCACCGGCCCCCCGCCCCATCATCGCCCCCACCAAACTGCGCGACCGCACCCACAACGTCACCGAGAAGGTCACGCAGGTAAGACCCCAGAGGGACGGGGGGAACCCAGAAGTTGGGCAGTGCAAAGGTGACGAGGTGATGCTGGAGGTGACCAGGTGGTTCTGTGGTGGCCAGGGGATGACAGAGGTGTCCAGGTGATGCCAGAGATGGCTGGTCAGGTGACGCTGAGGTGACCAGGCAGTAACAGAGGTGACCAGCTGGTGCAGAGATGGCCGGGCAGTGACAAGTTGTCTAAATGATGTTGGAGGTGGCTGAGCAGTGACAACATGGCCAAGCAGTGCCAAGGTGTCTGGGCAGTGCCGGAGGTGATGAACAGGACCAGAAGTGGCCAGGTGGTGCCAGAAGTGGCCAGGTGGTGCCAGAAGTGGCCAGGTGGTGACTGAGGTGACTGGGTGCTGCAGGAGGTGGCCAGGCAATGCCAAGGTGGCCGAGTGGTGCTGGGGCATGGCCGGAGCCCAGGGGATGCTTCAGCAGGAGCTGGAGCTCATTGGGAGGTGCCAGAGTGCACTGGGAGGCAGCAGGAGGCAGTACTGGTGCCAAGGGCACCACTGGGTCCCTGGAGTGCCTCAGCATTGGTGGGGCCAGGGGGGCCAGTGTGGCAGGATTGGAGGCCACTGTACCCCCACTCTAGCACCGAGTTGCTCAGGGAGATCGGCCGGGCAGGTTGTGGCCGCAGTGTTCTGGTGCCGGTGGGTGCCATGGTGGAATGTGGCCAGGACAGACCACCCAAGGCACATCATGTCCCTGGGATCTCCCAGTGGGGCACAGGGGGCCAACACCCCCGACCAGGGCACCCGTCACCCCAGTGTCGTGCCTGCCAGTGCCGGGCGCTGGCGGCAGCCGCTAATCCGTGGCCCGTTGTGTAACCGCCATCTGCCGCGGGAGCAGGAGGCGCCGCTTAATTACACCCTGATTGCCCCCCCGCTAATGAGCTGGGGTGGGGGGCGGGGGGCTCTGGGGACCCCTGGGGGCTGTGCAGGGGGGGGGACCCACTCCCTGTCCCTGTAACTCCCACGCTAGGGCTGTCCTGGTGGTCCCCGGCAGCTGGCGGAGGACAAAACTCCCCCAGCACATCTGCCCACGCCCCCAGAGCCCCCGAACCCCCCAGCCCCGCACCTGCTCGCACACGTGAGGCAGCCTGTAGGGGATCCCCGTTCCCGCCGGGAGCTCCCGGCCCTGCTGCCGGGGCTCCAGGTGCTCCTTGCGCCAGTGCTGGAGCAGCCGCGGGACCCTCGGTGGCGTGGGGGTACCACTCTGGGGCTGAGGACCCCCTTCACTCTGCACCCCCCGGCGCCCCCTGTTCCTCACAGAGCCTCTTCGTTGCCTCGGTCGTGATTAATTGCGCCACCAATGACACCCCGGTCCCTCCTGCCCCCACTGTCGCTACGAGGGGACACGAGGGGACACGGTCGCCGTCGCCGGGGCGGGCTCTGCCCCCGGCACTGGGAAGGGGTCTCGGGTTGCCTCAACTGTGCTGGGGGGAGCACCCGGCATCTGCCCGGAACGGGATGGGGGTCCTCCCCGAGGTGGGCAGAGCCGAGGACACAGACACGGGACTGGGGGCACGGGGGTGTCCCCGGGTCGGGCACGGCGAGCCCCGATCCGCTGGCACTGGGGAACGGCATGTCCCGACAGCGGCACCGTGACTCACCCCTGGGGCTGGAGCCAAGCGCCCGGCAAGGTCACCACGCCCTGAGTGACAGTGACAGGGCCTGGCGTGGCCGGGATGGCCGTGGCATCCCCATGGCTCAGGAACCCCTGGGGACCCCCGGCGCGTTCCGGCGGGGACACCTGGAGGGGACAGGATGGGGCTGGGAGACCCCAGACCCACTCAGGGTGTGCGGAGACCTCGTGGTGCCACCAGGCGAGGAGTGTCACTGGAACGTCACCGGCTGTCGGTGGTGGGCCGGGGACACCGGGGACTCCCCGGTCCCTTTGGCACCCACTGCGTGTGTGCAGGCGCTACCCCCTACATCCCCCTTCAGCCAGGCTAGGGGTGCCTGGGGGTCCGAGCGGGTGCAACCGTGAGGCACTGCCAGGGCTGGGCAGTGGCCAGGGACACCGGCGACGTGGGGACATGGGCACACCAGGAGCCGTGAATCAGCCGAGGCTGCCACGGCCAGCTCAGCACCACCGTCACTGTCCCTGTCCCCATCGTCACTGTCCCCACGCCACCGCTGACGGGGCTGTGCGGGTCACGCATTGGGGGATCCCTTGGGAGGCGGGGGGCTGCAGGTGACATCTGGCAGTGGGGCTGGCAGAAGGTGACCGTGGGGCAGGCAGGGGGCACAGCAGTTCCGGAGTACCCCCATGCCCCGCCTCGCCCGGGTCTAACCCCCGTCGTGCCTCAGTTTCCCCGCGGGGCCGTTCCCGGGCGCTCCCGGTCCCTCCCCCGGGGAGTGGCGGCGGCTGGAGCCGGGGGAGATCGGGGGAGCCCAGCGGGGGCGGGCGCCGGGAGGGCTCGGGGTCCTGCCCCGCTCCATCTGCCGCACGCGGGGCCGGGGGCGGCGGGGGAAGCGCGGGGACCCCCGGAGCGCGGCCATGGCCCCGGCGCGGCGCGACAGCGGCGACCGCTCCGACGGGGAGCGGCGGGACCGAGTCCGCAGGGCCGTCCGGGTGTCCAGCCTGGTGGCACAGGAGGTACGGGGGGGCCGGGGAGATCCCGGGAGAAGGGGACCCGTGGTTTATCGCGTCGCGCGTGGGCACGGGGTCCCAGGGATGTCCCCACGCCAGGACTGCAGGGACGGAGCGGGGGGAGGCACCGGGCGTCGCGGCAGGCGGCTCTGGGGGGTGCCGGGGGTTCCTGGGGGGTCTCCCTTGAGAAGGAAATGGGTTTCTGTGATTTGTCTTGCGCGGGGTCCCGGGACTGTCTCTGGGGTGTCCCCACGCTGGGATGTGGGACACGAAGAGAGGGGGCACCGGGGGTTGTCGGGGGGGTGTTTTGGGGAGTTTGGGGGTCCCAGGATTTTCGGGGTCTCCCCCCCGGCGGGAACAGGGACCCGCATGCGACTCGTCCTCCCATGCGTGGGTGCTGGGTCTTGGGGATGTTGCTGCGCTGGGAGGGGGGACACTGAGCAGGGGGTGGCGCTGGGAGTTGCAGCAGGCGGCTCTGGGAGGCTGCAAGGGCATCTGGGGGGCCCAGGGGCTCCAGGGGGTATCCCCTGCTTGACGGAGGGGGTCCCATGGCTTGTCTTGATGTGAATGGGTGTGGGGTCCCAGGGATGCCCCCACAGTAAGGTGGGGACACCGAGTTGAGGGGACACCAAGGGTTGTAGTGGGTGTCTCTGGGGGTCTGGCAGGGTCTGGGGCTCTCCCGATGCCCCCCCGGAGTTGGGGGGGATCACCCTCCACAGGCACCCCATGGCCAGGGTTGGGGGCATCACCCACTCCGAGCCCTCAGTGACCACCTGGTGCCATGGCTGGGCCTGGTGCTGTGTCCAGCTGTGCCATGGTGGCCATGGCTGTGGCATGGGGAGGGGTGATGGCACACGGCTGTTGTCCCTGCTGTGTCCCCAGGTGGTCCTTACGTATCCCAGGTGGTCCATACCACGTCCCAGGTGATCCTCACTGCGTCCCTAGGTGGTCCCCGCTGTGTCCCAGGTGGTCTCTGCCATGTCCCAGGTGGTCCCCGCTGTGTCCCAGGTGGTCCCATGGCCGTCCCCTCACCAGTGGCCCGTGGCCGTGGGACAGGTGTGGGTCAGCACCAGCGTCACTGGGTGGAGGTCGGTGCTGGGACGGGCACGCCGCCCTCTGAGACGTCACCCTCTCCCCTGGGGACGTCACCCCGTCACAGGGCTCGTCCCCCGCCCTGCCACGGGTGCCACCAGCAGCGGTGCCACTGTCGCCGCCCGCTCGGGGTGGCCGCATGTCCCCCGTGCCCATGTCGGGGGGTCCCGAGGGCACCGTGACGCCGCAGCTCAGCGATGTGAGTACCCCCAGTGCCACCTCTGGGGGGACAGCGGGGTCAGCGGGGTGGGAGGGTCCCCACTGCCAGGGGGTCCCCACAGTTGGGATGTCCCCAGTGTCAGAGGGTCCCCACAGCACTAGGTGTCTGCACTATTGGGGGGTCCCCTGCATTGGGGTGTCCCCGGTATTTGGGTGTCCCCTGAGTAAGGGTGTTGGCACTGTTGGGGTGTCCCCTGCATCAGGGTGTACTCACCAGGGCCAGGTGTCACTGCAGCCAGGTGTCACCTGGCCGGTGGTCAGTGCCGTCCCAGTGGTGACCATGTTGGGTGACCCCTGCGAGGTCGTGGGGGTGTCATGGGGGTCGGTGTCTGTCTGGCCATGGGTGTCCCCAGGGGTCTCCCCTGGCCCCCCCCAAGGTCGGTGATGTAGGTGGGTGTTGGTGTTCAGGTGTGTGGGGTCCAGTGTGTCTGGGAACCTGCTGGGGTGGCTGGGTGGGTGCAAGGGCCTGTGTAAGTGCTGCTGTAGGGTACCTGGGCAGGTGTGGGGTACGTGGGCAGGTGTGGGGCACCTGCCAGGGCGAGCGTTGGTGCCCATCTGGGTGTTGGGGGTCTTTTGGTACCTACTGGTGCAGGAGTTGGGGGACTGTGGCTGTTGGGGACCCCCTGGTGCTGGTGTGGGGTACCTGGGCAGGTGGGGCACCTGCCAGTGCAGGTGTAGGTGTGAATGTTGGGGGTCCGTGGGGCAGGTGTCAGGTACCGGTGCAGGTGTTGGGGGTCTGGTTTGAGATCACCTACCAGAGCAGGTGTTGGGGGATCCAGGGGGTCCCCACTGGGGGAGCCACTGCATCGGAACCAGGCGGTTCTGCCATGGGGGTGCCGGGGGGTGTTGGGGTGCTGGGAGGTGCCAGGGGGTTGTCAGGGTGGCAGGGGGATGTTGGTACCCCTGAGAGTACCCCAGTGGGTGATAGGGATGTGTTGGTGCCCGGGGGGGTAAGTCAGGATGCCAGGGGGTGCCGGTGCCCCCCCATCCCCGCGTGGGGTATTTGGGGTGCCCCGTGGGCGCAGGTGTCTGGGTCACGGCAGGTGCAGTGCCGGGTGTCCCGGGGGGGCGAGGGGTGTCGGTGCCACCACAGGTGTTGGGGACGCGTCACCGGGGCGGGACGTGTCACCGCGTGTCACCGCGTGTCGCCGAACGTGTCACCGGCACCGCCGCCATCTGTGTCACTGTGAGTGACGGGTGCCAGAGCGGGGGGAGCACCGTGGGGGAGGGGTCGGGATGTCTCCACATATCAGGCCCGTCTTGACACGTGGGTGGGGGTCTCACTTGTGTCGAGGGGTCCCCAGCCCCTCATCACGGCACCCCTGAGCCCTGTATGGCATGGGAGGGGGGGCTGTCCCCATGCCTGGGGGACTTGGAGGAGCTGGGGGCTGTCCCCACTGCTTGGTGGGCTGGGGGCCCCACGACTGAGGGTCATGGGGCACGCTGGGGGTCCCCAGCTGTATATGCGGGGGGGTTGGCTCAGGGAGGGGTTACCAGGACTGTGTCGTCCCCCCCCGAGCTGTGCTCCCCCCGGGGGTGGCAGGGGCCTGCACTGAGGGGGTTAACCAGGTGCTGGGGTTGGGGGTGTGTTTTGGGGAGCTGTGACTGGGTGGGGGTCTTGGTCCCTCTCCCCCCCATCCATCCCTTCCCATCTGCCTGCAGGGCCAGACAGTCCCTAGATGGGGGTCCCGGGGGATGTCCAGGTGGGACGTGGGTGCCACCTCCCTCACGCGTGGGGGCCACACAGTTCAGGGAAGGGGCCAGTGGTGCCCAGTGATGGTGTCCCAGGCAGTCCAGGGTCTCCCCCGGTGCACGGCAGGACCGCCCCCCCCCGCCTTGAGGGCTTCTGCAGGTCTTGGGCCCACCACTGTTGTCCCCCGCCCCTCGCCCTCCCCTTCACCGCGGGCTGGGATTTGTCCCACTTTGCCGTGGCATCTGCGATAAATTTAGCGGCAGGAGCGGCTGGTGGCTGGAGCCGCGCCCCCCGGCCTCCCTCCCCTGCTGTCCCCCCCCGTTTTCCCCCTGGGCCCCCCACCCCTGCTCACACCGCAGCCACCCGGCACAGCCACAGCCCAAGGGGCCCGGTGGCTCCAGGTTTGGGGTATCTCCCTGCACCCCCTCCCCTTCCCTGCTGTCTCCTCCCAGCCCCCCGCCCCCACTCACACTGCGGTCAGAGTGGCCGTGAGGAGCTCTGGAGTTGGGGTGTCCCCCCAAGGCCCCCAGCGACACCGCCTCCCCTGCTGTCCCCCCCCATCCCTCCCTGTCCCCACTCATATCGCAGCCAAAGGGGCTACCTGGGGCTCTGGGATTGGGGTTCCTTCTGCAGGACCCTCCCAGGGACTCCCCCAGCCCCCCTTGCCATCTGGGACGCTGTAACAGTACCTGTTACCCCCCCTCTCCCCAGGGTCCCCGTGACCTCACATGACCCCATGGAACCTGCCACCCCCCAGGGGGGATATATCTGGGACACGTAGGAGGTGTTGGTGCACAGCTCCTCGGGAAGGGATGTGGGAACAGGGACCACCCTGCACACAGGCCACGTGTGGCCTCGGCCCTCCGTCACACGGCGCGTGGGGATGCGGTGGCAGCGGGAATCCCCCGCGTGGGGGTGGCAGTGGGTGACGCAGGAGCTGCTGCGTGTCCCTGAGCTGTCACCATGTGTCCCAGTGCTGTCATCACATGTCACTGCGTGTCCCCGGCACCGTCATCGTGTGTCCCAGTGCTGTCACTGTGTGTCCTGCTGCCATCACTGCGTGTCCCTGTCACCCATGTCACTGTGTGTCCTGGCGCCATCACTGCATGTCACCGTATGTCCTGCTGCCATCACTGTGTGTCCCTGTCACCCGTGTCACTGGGTGTCCTGTTACCATCACTGCGTGTCCCTGTCACCCATGTCACTGTATGTCCTACTGCCATCACTGCATGTCCCTGTCACCCGTGTCACTTTGTGTCCTGGCACCATCACTGTGTGTCCCGGCGCCATCACTGCATGTCACCATATGTCCTGCTGCCATCACTGCATGTCCCTGGCACTGTGTGTCACTGTGTGTCCCGGTACCATCACCCTTTGCCCCACTGCTGTCACCACGTGTCCCATTGTCACATGGCTGTTCCCGCAGTGACACGGCTGTACCCACTGGCCCATGAGGCCACCGAGGCCAGTGGCTCCTGGGGACGGAAGTGACAGGGTCCCTGTGTACCCCCAGGGAAGGGTGGTGGCAGCAGGGGACACGTTTGGGCTGAGCTGGCAGGACAGGAACCGTGTCCTGGCCCATGGGCACCACGCAGTTGGGACATTTTCCTGGCATGTTTCTGGTGTGTTCCCAGCATGTTGGTGCCCCATGGCACCTGCTGCCCACCACAGGGCCGATTGTATGCCCTCCATGCCAGGCACAGGTGTGGGGTGTTCCTGGCATGTTCCTGGTGTGCGTGTGCCCCGCGACACTGTGCTCCCTGCCAGGGGCTGGCTGTGTGCCCTGCACACTGGCACAGGTGTGAGATGTTCCTGGCATGTTCCTGACGTGTTCCTGCTATGTTTGTGGCGTGTGTGTGCCCCGTCACACCCTGCTCACTGCCACGGGGCTGGCCTTGTCCCCCTCGGTGCCATTGGGGTGCCTGTGAAGTGCTGGGGGAGTCGTGACGTGTCCCATCTCGTGCCACATTGCCTGTGGGCACCCACGGCCTCACCGGTGTCACCGCCATGTCACCAAAGCACGCTGACCCCTCCGGCGTGTCACCGCATGTCACCATGTGCTGGGGGACCGGGGAGGGCTGACGGGGGGACCGGGGAGGGCAGCCCTGGCTGCGGCCGTGGCGGTGGCAGCGGAGCAGCCTGGGAAAAATTTCCGCCCCAATAATTCCTGTCGGCTCCGGCGGAGCGTGGCCAGCGCACGCCACACCGGGGGACCCTGCCACACCGGGGAACCCTGCCATAATGTGGGGTCCTGCCATGCCGGGGGGCCCCACTGCCACTGAGGGCTCCCCCTGCCCCTGAGGGTCCCTGCTGCTGCTGGGGGTCCCCAGGCACTGTGATGGGCACAGGGCCAGGGCACGGGGGTCCCCGGTGGCCACAGGCCGGCGGGAGCTGACCCCCGCTGCCCCCCTCGCCCCGAGGATGCTGCCCGCTCTCCTGCAGCTGCTCCAGGAGTTCCCGGGCACCCCCCCTGCAGCCCCCCGGTCTGGGCACCCCCCTGGCCCCAGCTCCATGCCCGGGGTTTCCCTCTGTGGCACCTGCCTGGGGCTGCGCCGCGATGGCACCGGGCACGGACAGGAGGAGAAGGTACCGGTACCGCACCCACCGACGGGTCTGGCATTGGGGGGGTTGGGGGGGGGTGTTGGACAGGGGGGCACTGTGCCCACCCGTGACCTGGTGGTGGCCACACAAGGCTCCAGCTGCGTCCCTGGTGCTGGTCTGAGGAGGTTTGGGGGTTACATAAAGCTCTGGCCCTGCATGACTGGGGATCCCCCCAGCCACCCCCAGGAGACCCCCAGCTCCCCAGAGGTGTCTCTGGGGTTGGGGGCCAATTGGGTGTCTGTCCGTCCCTTTCCCTGCAGTGCCACAATGGGTGGGAGCCCTGTGGTGGGCATGGGCGGGGGGGCAGAAGTGGGGCAAGGGGACCCCAGTGGGGAGCAGGGGGACTGCGACCCCTGCGGGGCACAGGGCCGGGGGGCTGTGGGTCACCCCCTGTCATTTCTCACCTGAGCTTTGGGGCTGCACATGGTAACAGTCTCTGTAATGGCAGGGAGGGGAGGTACCCCCCCAGGGACCCTTGGGGTCCCACTCAGAGGCTGTGCCAGGTGTCCTGCATGGGGAGTGGGAGGCACAGGGATATCTGTGCCCCGCAGTGGAGATGGTGGGGGTGGCTGGGGGTATTCATGCCCTCCTGATGGAAATGGTGGGGGGGTCTGTGCACCCCCCCAGATGGACATGGTGGGGGTGGCCAAGTTGGGGGGCACAGGGTGAGGGGCACAGGGCAGTGTTGTGTCTGTGGGTATTTGGGGTGGGAAGTGCCCTGGCGGTGTCTGGGGCAGGAGGAGTTTGTGCAGTGACTCGGTGTTGGGGGGGACTTATCCCAGCTGTGCTCTCCAGCCGTTCCCCTTCACCCCACATCATCCATGTCATCCCTGTGCACCCCTTGTGGCTCACACCGGGGTGTGTACTGGGGTCCCTCTGCACCCCAGAGAGTTACAAAACTGTTCATTTTAAGACTATCATGCCCAATGTTGACCCAGCATCCAAGGCCACCCCTGACCCACATCTCCAAGTGCCACCTCTACCTGGGCTGGGAAGCTGAGCCCTGTGGGGTGTTGGGGTATAGCACTGACCCCCATGTGCCCCCCAGGTGCTGTCGCTGGGTGCTGACGTGCTCCCCGAGTACAAGCTGCAGGCGCCGCGCATCCACCGCTGGACCATCCTGCACTACAGCCCCTTCAAGGCGGTGTGGGACTGGCTGATCCTGCTGCTCGTCATCTACACAGCCATCTTCACGCCCTACTCGGCCGCCTTCCTGCTCAGCGACTCGGAGGAGGCCCAGAGGCACCACTGCGGCTACTCCTGCAGCCCCCTCAACGTGGTCGACCTCATCGTGGACATCATGTTCATCATCGACATCCTCATCAACTTCCGCACCACCTACGTCAACTCCAACGAGGAGGTGGTCAGTCACCCCGCCAAGATCGCCATCCACTACTTCAAGGGCTGGTTCCTCATTGACATGGTGGCCGCCATCCCCTTTGACCTGCTCATCTTCGGCTCCGGCTCCGAGGAGGTGACGAGCGTGGGGACGTGGGGACGTGCTGGCACTGGCTGGGCCGTGCCCTGGGTGGGCGGTGCTGTTTTGGTGCTGGGGGCTTGTGTTTGGAGGTCCCACCTGTGCCCCCAGGCTGGGGATGGGTGCCAGGTCCTCCCAGGGGCTGGTGTTGGGGGGTCCCACCTGTGCCCCCAGCCCAGGACACCCCCAGTACCCCTGGTGACCACCCTGTCCTCTGCAAACCACCTTTGCTCTGGGGTGGGACACTGGGGGCACCTGGGGTTCATGTGGGAGCTTTGGGGCAGGGACCCAGGACACCCTTTGCCCTTCCAGGGATCTGTGGGGGTTCTTTGCCAGCACTGTCCCCTTTCCTCCCTCCCCAAACCCCCTTTGCCCTGGCCCTGGGGGGCACCTGAGGCTCTCTCTGTTGGAGAGAGACTCCTAGAATGGAGGTGCCTGGCTGGGGGCAGAGACCCCCGATCTTTCTGTGGTTCTGTAGAGTGTCTCTCCACTGTTGTGCCCCCAGATGATGACACTGATTGGGCTGCTGGTGTGGATGGGATGGCCCACTCTTCTGGGTGCCCATGTAGTATCTCTCCCCCATTAACCCCCTTTCCACACACTCCACCTGAGATGACAACTCTGATCGGGCTGCTGATGTGTGGAGAGGGGATGGGGGCTGGAGGTGCCTGGCTTGGGTCAGGGACCCCCCTCACCCTTCTGGGTGCCCATGGGGTCTCTCTCCCCCCACTCACCCCCTGTGCCGCCCCGCAGACAACGACACTGATCGGGCTGCTGAAGACGGCGCGGCTGCTGCGGCTGGTGCGGGTGGCACGGAAGCTGGACCGGTACTCGGAGTACGGGGCGGCCGTGCTGTTCCTGCTCATGTGCACCTTCGCCCTCATCGCCCACTGGCTCGCCTGCATCTGGTACGCCATCGGCAACGTGGAGGGGCAGAGCACGGGCTGGCTGCACGCCCTGGGCCAGCAGATCGGCAAGCCCCTCAACAACAGCGACCCCCGCCGAGGGCCCTCCATCAAGGACAAGTACGTCACCGCACTCTACTTCACCTTCAGCAGCCTCACCAGTGTCGGCTTCGGCAACGTGTCCCCCAACACCAACTCCGAGAAGATCTTCTCCATCTGTGTCATGTTGATCGGATGTGAGTGACCAGGGGGTGTGAGAGCCCCTCTGTGTGGGTGTCAGAGCACACCTCTGTGTGGATGTGCACACCTGTGTGTGTGAGAGAGAGCACACCTGTATGTGTGTGCACACCAGTGTGTGTGTGCACACCTGTGTGTGTGTGCACAGCTGTGTGTATGAGAGAGAGCACATTTGTATGTGTGTGCACAGCTGTGTGTGCACCTGTATGCCTGTTGGTGCACAGCTGTGTGTGTGCACACCTCCATGTGTGTGAGAGACACATCTGTTTGTGTGTGCACACCTGTGTGTGTGTGACACCTTCACTGATGCCAAGGGCACCTCGGCCCATCCACAGGTGACACACCTGGGTAGGATGTGGCTCTGTTGGGGGCAGGAGGCTCCACAGAGGGATCCAGACAGTGAGATCCATGGGCTGAGGACACCTGCATGAGGATCAGGCAGGCCAAGTGCCAGGTTCTGCTCTGGGGTCACACCAGTCCCATGGAACACTCCAGATGTGGGGCAGAGTGGCTGGAAAGGTGAAAAAGGCCCTGGAGGTGCTGGTGACAGAGGCTGGACATAAGCCTAGGTGGGCAAGAGTGGGCACCTGGCTTGTGTCACCATAGTGTGACCAGGGCAGTGACCATCTCCTGTGCTGGGTAACACCTGGAATCCTGGGGGCAGTTCTGGGCCCCTCACTGCAAGAAGGACATTGAGGGGCTGGAGCGTGAGCAGGGAAGGGAACAGAGCTGGGGAAGGGGCTGGAGAAGCAGGAGTGGCTGAGCGAGCTGGGAGGGCTCAGCCTGGAGAGGAGGAGGCTCAGGGGAGACCTTCTCACCTGGGGACACAGGGACCCCAGAGGTGACAGTGGAGGGTGAGGGGGGACTTGGGGGTGCAGCCCCCTCTGACCTGCCCTCTCCCCAGCGCTGATGTACGCCAGCATCTTCGGGAACGTGTCGGCCATCATCCAGCGGCTGTACTCGGGCACGGCGCGGTACCACACGCAGATGCTGCGGGTGCGCGAGTTCATCCGCTTCCACCAGATCCCCAACCCGCTGCGCCAGCGCCTCGAGGAGTATTTCCAGCACGCCTGGTCCTACACCAATGGCATCGACATGAACGCGGTGAGACCCCCAGCACCCCAAAACCCACCATGGACCCCTGGAACCCATCACATCCCCCCCAAACCTCCATGGCCCTCAAGGACCCCCAAAACCTGCCCTGGGCTCCTGTAACCCACTGCATCCCCCCCCAAACTCCCATGGCCTCCCAGCTCCCCACTCAAGGAGTATTTCCAGCACTCCTGGTCCTACACTAACAGCTTCAACATGAATGTGGGGAGACCCCCAGGACCCCTCAGGACCCCCAAAGGAACCCCTAAACCCTCCGATGGTGCCCTGGCCTCTCCCCAGGTATTTCCAGCACACCTGGTCCTGCAGTAATGGCATTGACATGAATGCAGTGAGGCCACTCAAAACCCACAGGCCCCCAAAACCTCCATGGGACCCCTAAAATCCCCCATGGCCCTCAGCCCACCACTCCTCAGGGAGTGCTTCCAGCAGTCCTGGTCCTGCAGTCATGGCATCGACATGAAGGCCATGAGACCCCCGGGATGCCCCAAACCCAGCAGGGCCCCCCAGCACCCCCTGCAGTCCCCTGGCCCCTCACTCTTCGAGCTCCTCCAGCACGCCTGGCCCTACAGCAGTGGCATTGACATGAATGCAGTGAACCCCCCCAGGATGCCCCCACAGACCCCCAAAACTTCCCAGGGACCCCTAAAATCCCCCATGACCCTCAGCCCCCTATTGCTCGGGAAGAGCTTCCAGCAGTCCTGGTCCTGCACCAACAGCACCCACATGAACACGGTGACCTCCTCTCAAAACCTGCCTTGCCCCTGACCCCTGTGCCCCCCTCCAGGTGCTAAAGGGGTTCCCCGAGTGCCTGCAGGCCGACATCTGCCTGCACCTGAATCGGAGCCTGCTGCAGAACTGTGCCCCGTTCCGGGGAGCCACCAAGGGCTGCCTGCGGGCGCTGGCCATGAAGTTCAAGACCACGCACGCGCCCCCCGGGGACACGCTGGTGCATGCTGGGGACGTGCTCACCGCGCTCTACTTCATCTCCCGCGGCTCCATCGAGATCCTGCGTGGGGACGTCGTCGTCGCCATCCTGGGTGAGACCCCCAACGTGGCCTGGGGGTCCCACAGGGTCCCCTGGGGCAGCCACTTTGTTCAGGGGCCCCCCAAGCGCTGGGTGCCCCCAGGGTGAGCCCCCACCTCCTGGGCACCTCACAGTGTCCCATGGGGGACCCTCTGTGTCTGTGGTCCCTCCAGTCTTCCTCGAGTGACCCCCACCTGGGGTCCTCCCAGTGCCCCATATGGCACATATCCCCCCAGTGACCTCCACAGTGCTGACACAACCTCAGTGCCCCTGAGTGACCCACAGTGCTTGGGGGCAACCCGTGTTGGCCCCGCTCATCCTGAAGAACCCCCGCTGTCCTGGGGTGACCCTCCACCTCCCAGGGTGTCCTCCCTCTCAGGAACCCCCCAGTGCCCCTCCTGCACCCCCAGGTAAGACCAACAGCTCCGGGGAGCTGCTACACCTGCACCCCCGAGCCCCTGGGATGCCCACCCAGCACCCACTACGTGCTCCCCCAGTGACCACCCTTTCTCAGGGACCCCAGAGTCCCCTCCGCCCTTCTCAGGGACCCCCCAGAGACCTCGCATTTCCTGGGGTGCCCCCCCAGGTACAAACACCTTTGGGGAGCCACTGTACCTGCATGTGTGGCTGGGAAAGTCCAAAAACCCCAGAGCCCCAGGGACCTCCCAGCCCCGCGGACCCCTTCAGTGACCCCCCGGGACACCCCCCGCCCCCCAGGTAAGAACGACACCTTCGGGGAGCCGCTGCATCTCCACGCGCGGCCGGGGAAGTCGCGGGCGGACGTGCGGGCGCTCACCTACTGCGACCTGCACAAGATCCTGCGCGAGGACCTGCTCGAGGTGCTCGACATGTACCCCGAGTTCTCCGACCGCTTCTGGGGCACCCTCGAGATCACCTTCAACCTGCGCGACGTGAGCGGGGACCCGGGGGGCGGGGCGGGCAGGGGGGGAGGTCCTGAGCAAATTATAGGGTCCTGAGCAGGCTGGAGTGTCCCAGTAAACTGGGGCTTCCTAGAAAGTTGTGGGGTCCCGAACAAAGAAGGGGACTCCAAGCAAGCTGATGGGGGTCCTGAGCAAGTGGGGAGAGAAGGCCCTGAGCAAGTTGGAGGGGTCCTGAGCAAGTGGGAGTTTCTTGGCAAGTTCTAGGGGGCTGAGGAATCTCGGGGGTCTCGAGTGATCCGGGGGGTCCTGAGCAAGCCTGAGGACTCTGAGCAACGGCTGGGAGGTCCTGAGCAAGCTGGGGGGCTCCTGACAAAGCGGGGGGGTCCCGCAGCCCCCCAACTGTGCCCCCTTGTCCCCGCAGACCAACATGATCCCCGGCTCCCCGGGCAGTGACGAGCTGGACGGAGGCTTCTCCCGGCTCCGGCGCCGCAAACTCTCCTTCCGCCGGCGCCCCGAGAAAGGTGGGGGGTCGGGGGGGCCGGGACCCCCGGGGTGACCCCAGGGTCACCGGGACCCCGGCCCTGATCCCACTTGTCCCCCGCAGACGCTCCCAGTCCCGAGAAGCCCCGGGCACTGCGGGAGGGCAATGGGGGGGGTCAGGCCCCCGGCGCCCCCCGAGGCCCGGCCGAGTGGGACCCCCCCAGCCCCTCCAGCTGCGGCTCCAGCGATGAGGAGGAGCCTCCCGCGCCCCCCCCGGGGGCCACCGCGCTGTCCCCCTTCCGCAGTGCCCCCGCCCCCCCGAGCCCGAGGAGCACGAGGGCAGCGACATGTGCAACCCCCTCTCAGGTGGGTCGGGGGGCTGGGGTTGGGGTGGAGGGTCCCCCATTCCTTCCCTCCCTGCTGGGGTCCCGCAGACTCCACAAAAACCCCGGCACCCCCATCCCTCCCTCAGCCCCCAGAACCCCATCTCACAACCAGTACCTGCCCCCTCCCTCGGGTGGGCGGGGGGGTTTGGGATGGGGTGGGGGGTCCCGCATTCCTCCCCTCCTCACTCGGGGTTCTGCAGACTCTCCCCAAAATCCCAAACCTGCCCTCCCCCAGCGCCTGCCCCGGCACCCCCTAGAAGGGCAGGTGGGACTCAGGATGGGGTGGGGGGGGGCAATCCTCCCTTCCTTGTTTAAGGTTCTACAGCCCCCCAAAAAGCCCCAGCACAATCTTCCCATCCTTCTCCCAGTCCCCCTTAAACGTCCCACCCCACTTCACACCCCCCCCACCTTTTCTAGGCGCCTTTTCGGGGGTCTCCAACATCTTCAGTTTTTGGGGTGACACCCGGGGCCGCCAGTACCAGGAGCTCCCCCGTTGTTCCCACGGGGCCCCCCCAAATCCCACCCCGTCCCTGACCCGCCGCCAGCGCTCTGACCTGGAATCCCGCTTGGATCTGCTCCAAAAACAGCTCAACAGGTAATTTTGGGGGGTTCAGGTGTGACCTGAGGGGGGTTTTAGGGCAGTGTGACCCTGTGGGAGCCCCCCAACCACCCCCAAAGGGAACTGGGGAGCCCTGAGTGCAAGGGGAGGAATGAGGGACCCCCATCCCAACCTGAGCCCTCTGACACACCTTAAGAGGGTACAGAGGTGCAGGGGGAGGTGCCGTGGGTCCAGAGGGGCTGGGGGAGGGATGGGGTTGGGGGTGCTGGAGTTTTGGAGGGTCTGTAGAGCCCTGAGTGAGGAGGGGGGGAATGGGGCATTCCCGTGCCATCTTGAGGCACCTGACCTACCTGGTGGGGTACAGGGGTGCAGGGGCAGGTGCTGGGCAGGTCTGGGAATCCTGGGGGGCTGAGGGAGGGATGGGGCTGGGGGTCCCACCTCTCATCCCGGCCTGGCCACACTCCACCACGAACGTTTCAGGCTGGAATCCCGGCTGAGCACGGACATCTCGTCCATCGTGCACCTGCTGCAGCGCCAGGTGTTGGTGCCCCCTGCCTACAGCACCGTGACCTCCCCCCACCAACCCCCCCCGGGGCCGCTGCAGCCTCCCCTGCCCATCACCTCCCTGCGGCCGCTCGCTCAGGTAAGGGACCCTGGGCTTCGGGGGCACCTGCTTTGGGGGTCATCCTGCTGTCACAACCTCTGTGGGTTGGGGTCACACTTGAGCCCCCTGGGTTTGGGATGCACCTGGTTTGGGGGCATCACCTTCTCTTCCAGCCCATTGTGGGTTGGGGTCACACCTGAGCCCCCAGGGTTGGGGTGCGCCCCGTTTTGGGGGCCATCACCCTGTTATGCAGCCCCTCTGGGGGTTGGGGTCACCCCTGAGCCCCCACAGATTTGGGGTACACCCCCTCCTGTGCCACACCACTCCGTTCCCCCACTGCTGTGGGTGGGCTCTCTGCTGGGTTGGGGGGACACCCTAAATCCCTGGTGCCGAGTGGGGGACACGCTAAGCCCCCCAGATTTGGGGCACACCCCCTCCTGTGGCCATCACGGTGTCCTCCAGCCCTTCTCTGGGTTGGGGTCACAGACAGGGAGTCCCGCTGCTGGGTGGGGTGGGACATCCCTAGCTCCTGGTGCCGTGCGTGAGTCCCCCGGTCCCTCCCCTGACTCTCGCCCTGCCCGGTCCCGGCAGGTCCCGCACCCGCCGCGTGCCCCGGACCCCCCGGATGTGGTGGTGCTGCTGGAGCCGCCCCCCCCACGGCGACGTTCGCTGCCCGGGGCGCTGCCCCCCCCCGCGGGGACCCCCCCGGGGACCCCCCCGCTCCAGAGACACTGCTCCGACCCCGGCAGCTAATGGGAGCACCGGGGCGCGGCGGGACCCCCGGAGCCACGGGACCCCCGGAGCCATGGGACCCCCGACCCCGGAAAGTGGCACCCCCGGAGCACTCGGACCCCAGGACCTGGGACCCCTGGAGTCCTGAGGCCCTGGCACATGGAACCCCCAAAGCCACAGGACCCCCAGACCCCAGAATGTGGGACCCCCCAAACTTGGCACCCCTGGACACCATGACCTGGGACCCCCCGAGTCATAGGATCCCTGACCCTGGAATGTGAGACCCACGGAGCCCAGGAACCCTGGGACCCCCAACCCTGCAATGCAGGACCCCCAGAGTCCTTGGACCCCCACATCCTGGGACCTGGGACCCCTGGACCCCAGCATGTGGGATCCCTGGAGCCACAGGACCCCTGACCCCAGCATGTGGGACCCCCAACGCCCAAGACGTGGGACCTCCAGAGCCCTGGGACTCCTGACCCCAGAATGTGGGACCCCCACACTTGGGACATGGAACTCCCAGATTCTGGGAGCTGGGAGCCCCGGAGCCGTGGAGACATGGGGCTCCTGGACCCGGTGATGTGGGACCCCCAGAGCCCCCACCCCTGGACCCTGGCCTGCCAGTGGGCCCCAGCTGCTGCTCCCCACGGACACTGCCCCCCAGTGCCGGCAGGGGGGCTCAGGACCCTGGGGACCCCCTGCTATCCGACCTCCCCCGGGTCCCCCTGCCTCGGACTGTCGGATTCTGCTGCTCTTCCTCCTCCTCCTTCCAGAGCCCCGAGCGCCCCGGGACCCCCCGCGGTCCTTGGGCTGGCGGGGGTGGGGGTGCACACAGGTGTGTGTGTGCGCAGGGCTGTGCACAGGTGTGTGTGTGCACAGGTTTGTGTGTGCACAGGGGTGTGCACAGGCGTGTGTGCACATGTGTGTGTGTGCACAGGTGTGTGTGTGCACAGGAGTGTGCACATGTGTGTGTGCACAGGTGTGTGTGCACAGGGGTGTGTGTGCACAGGAGTGTGCACAGGTGTGTGTGCACAGGTGTGTGTGCACAGGTGTGTGTGTGCACAGGTGTGTGTGTGCACAGGGGTGTGTGTGCACAGGTGTGTGTGCACAGGAGTGTGCACATGTGTGTGTGCACAGGTGTGTGTGCACAGGGCTGTGCACAGTTTTGTGTGTGCACAGGTGTGTACACAGGTGTGTGTGTGCACAGGGCTGTGCACAGGAGTGTGCACATGTGTGTGTACACAGGTGTGTGTGTGCACAGGTGTGTGCACAGGTGTGTGTGCACAGTTTTGTGTGTGCACAGGTGTGTGTGCACAGGGCTGTGCACAGGAGTGTGCACAGGGCTGTGCACAGGTGTGTGTGTGCACAGGGCTGTGCACAGGAGTGTGCACAGGGCTGTGCACAGGTGTGTGTGTGCACAGGTGTGTGCACAGGAGTGTGCACAGGTGTGTGCACAGGTGTGTCCCCGTGTCCTGTCCCCAGGACGTCACGCGTGTGTCGGGGGGTCCCGCTGTGCCGGGACACGTGTGCTGCCCCCCCATCCGTGTGTGTGTCCCTGCCGTGTCCCCCCACCGGGACAGCCCTGCCGGGCTCCCCCGCACACGTGTGTGAGCACCGGTGGTCTCTGGTGGGGCCGTGTGTTTCCCCCTGCGTGTCCCTGTCCGTGTCCCAGCTGGGGGGGTGGGGACACGTGTGTGCCCTCCCTGCCTGGCTGCGTGTCCCCTTGGAGCCCCCAGAACCCCCAGAGCCCCCCGGGCGCTCCCCCCGCACAGCCGGGTGTCACATCGCGGTGTCACCCCACGCACAGGGAGGGGGACACGGGGCGGGAGGGGGCTGCCACCCCCATAGCGTGTGCCGTGTTTGTCCTGTGTCACCCCTGCATGTCACCCCTGCCGTAGGTGTCCCCAATAAACCGTACGGAGACCCCCCGGGCTCTGTGTGTCACCGGGGGAGGGGACAGAACCACGGGGAGGAGGGGGGGACACAATGACCTGGAATGTCACTGTGATTAGACATTGTGACAGCCAGGGACAGGTCAGGGCATCTCGCTGGTGGCAGAGACAGGGCAGAGGAGGTGACATCGCCTTTACTGAGCCTGGTGGCACTGGTGTGCCGCATGATGGTGGAGAGGGGTGGCATCACCTTTACTGAGCCCAACAGGTGGAATATGGCACTGCGTGGCACCGAGTGACGCATCCCGTGCCACGGTGTCCCAGTGGCACTGGTGTGCCACACAGTGCCAGTGCCGGGGTCAGATGAGGTGACATCACCTTTACTGAGCCCAGCCCAGCGCACGTGGCACCAAGTGACGTGTGGGACGTGCTACCATGGCACCATTGGATGGTATGACATATGGCGCTGTGTGGCATGGTGCGACACACCCCAGCGTCCAGGCGGCACCAGTGTCCCCGCGGTGCCAGTGCTGGGCTCAGAGGAGGTGGTGGCACGTGGCCCGTCCCACAGCTGGTGTCCCGGTGTCCCCGTGTGCCAGGGTCACACCGGCCGGTAGGTGCCATTGTAGGTGAAGGGCTCGGGGTGGACGCAGGCGCCGGGGCTGGGGGGGGTCCAGCGCTGGATCTGCAGGCGGGAGCAGGTCGGGGGGTCCAGCGGGCGCACGATGACGGGGGCACGTGAGGCCACCGACGGGTCCTCGTCGAAGAAGTTGAAAGGGCGCAGGAAGAAGCCGACGGCGTTGCCGGGGGTGGCCGTGTTGGGGACATCCTCGGAGTGGGGCACGTGCAGGAAGCCCACGGTCACCCAGGCCACCAAGTCCTGGGGGGTACACCGCAGAGTCAGTCAGGAGCCCCCCACGGGAGCTGGGGACACCAGTGGGAAATGGGGAGACCCCCCAGAGCTGGGGAGCCCCTGAAACCTGGGAAGCCCCTCAGGAGCTGGGGAGACTCTGGAGCTGGGGGACCCCATGGAAGTGGGGGAAACCCTGGAGCTGAGAAACCCCCTGGATCTGGGGACCCCCCAAAGAGATGGGATCCCCCTGTGCCCCCAGCGCTGCGTCCCCAGTGTCACCTGGTCCTCGATGGTCTCGTTGTCGCGGATGAAGCTCTCGAAGGTGACCGGAGGGTCCCAGGGGTTGTTCTGGCTGTAGATGCTGCTGCTGCTCGGCTCGTTCTCGTGGCGCCGCGTCACGGCCAGGTGATACCTGGGAAGGAGAGGGGGCGGGGTCAGCCCAGGAGTGGGGCCCAGCCATATGGGGGTCTCTCTCCCACCCCTGCCTGGGTCCCCCCGGCTGTGCTACCCCCTGCCCAGTCGCATTGTAGGGACACGGGGTCGGCAAGGGGGCTCAGGGGTTCCCCAGCTTTGGGTGCTCCCTCGTTTCAAGGTCCCACCCAGCTCTGAGGGGCACCCACTTCCAAGGGGGTTCCCCAGCCTCTGAGGGGCTCTCAGGCTAGAGGGTATCACTGGACACATCCCCACTGCACCGGGCCAGGGCCCCCTCAGCCAGGGCACTCACGGCTGGGACCCCAGAGACCCCAAGCTGAGGCCACCACCTGCTCTGGGGGGCCACGGCAGGAGCGAGGGGGCTCCGTGGGTCAGGTGGCACCAAGGGAAGGCACCCCCAGGGACTGAGGCAAGATGCCATTGAGGTCTGGTGCCACCAAGGGGGAGGTACCACTAAAAGAAGGTGTCCCCAAGGGGAAAGTGCCACCAGAGGAAGGTGTGACCAAGGGAAAGACACCGTGCCCACGGCACTGAGTGACGCCGGTGACTCGGCACAGATCTGGCAATGCCAGAGCCCACGGGGCAGCCACGTCCCCCACCACGGGCCCCCCCGCACCCACCTGGCCCAGGTGACGCCGCGCTCCTCGCGCCAGCCGCGGGGCAGCACGGGCCCGGCGTGGGAGCTGAGCTGGAGGCGGTAGGTGCGGCGATGGCCCCAGCGGTTGCGCCGGCGTGGGTTGGTGAAGAGCAGGTACCGCGGCGGGGCCCGGCCCAGCGGCAGCGCCGCCTCGCTCCCGGCGCCGCGGCTCCCGGTACAACCACGGCTGCACCACGCGGGCCCCCGCGCTCCAGGGGTTCGAGATGTTCTCAAAGCGAATGTCCATCGTCTCGAAGCTGTTCCCGGTGCCTGCGGGGAGGGGCGGTCAGTGGGGGGGACACGGCGGCACAGACCCCCCTGGCGTGGGGGTAGGACCCCACAGAGGCATCGCCATAAAGGGGTGGGACCCTACGGACATGCTGCAAGGAAGGGTGGGACGCTGTGGGGATGTCACCAGGGATGTGGTCTGGGACCCCATGGAGATGCCAGCACCACGGAGGGGTGGGACACAGCGGAGATGCCACCTTGGAGGACTGGGAAACCAGATAGATGCCGCCATCATGGGGGGCTGGGACCCTCCAGAGATGCCACCACCATGGAAGACTGGGGCACCGCAGAGATGTCCCCATGGAGAGGTGGGACCCCACAGAGATGCCACCATTTAGGGTGGTCATCACCACAGGGTCCAGGCGATACCCAGGTGGTGCCACCCCCATCAGGGACAAGGCCCCTGGTCCCTGGAACACCCCATGGGTCCAGCTCCCCCTTCCAGCACCCTCCCCATGGCCAGGGTGTGTCGAGAGCTGTCGGGGCCCTTCACCTGCGACATCCAGGTCCACCTTGTAGTGCACGAGGTGCGTGTGGAGGTTGCCCAGGAGGTGGCTGTGCACGCGGCTGCCGTAGCGCCGGCCCTGGGGCGTGTAGAAGGTGGCGTGGATGTAGCCGGTGGCGTGGACCTTGGCCTCCAGGACGCCGTTGGGGTAGAGCAGGAAGTCCCAGATGTAGTCGTAGTTGTAGACGGTGGAGGTGGTCCTGAGCACCAGCGCCCGCCCCTCCAGCCCCGCGTAGAAGTTGAAGCCGCCCTGGAAGTCGTTGTCGAAGTGGCGGCGCAGGGGGACGCCCGTGGGCAGCTCGAAGACGCAGAGGGCGTGCGTGAAGCGCACGGGGCCGTCGGCGTCCAGGAGGTGGTGGGCGTCCAGGAAGGTGGCGGTCTCGGGGCAGTCCACGCCACGCGCCAGCTCGTAGCTGGAGGCGCCCATGGCCCAGCCGGCGTCCATGTACTTGGTCTGCATGGCCGCCGGCGAGTGGCCGCCGTAGAAGGCGATGGCCTCCTGCACGCTCAGCTCGTAGGCCACGCGCTCGCCGGCGAAGCGCACGTCGAAGAGCTGGAGGCCGGCGGAGGAGCGCAGGCGGAAGGCCAGGCTCCAGCCGCCGTACTCCAGCCGGTTGCCGCGCAGGCGGTAGCGCTGGCCCTGCGGCTCGCACACCTTGGCGCCGTGCACCTCTGTGGGTGTCCCGGTGAAGAAGCGCCCGCGGGGCTCGTAGCTGGAGAAGAGGTGGCGGGCGGGGGGCTCGGGCAGGCGGGCCAGGGGCAGCGCCCCCTGCGCGTGGAGCTCGGCCAGCTCCCTCACGCTGCCGAAGTAGCGCCCGTTGTACCAGAGCTGCCGCACGGCCCAGCGCCGCGGGTCGGGGTCCCGGTGGTCCAGCAGCACCTCCAGCCCCACGGGGTGCAGGAAGTAGCCCTCGACGAAGCGCTGGATCACCAGCCAGGTGCGGCGCTCGCCGGGGCCCAGCCCACGCGGCGCGATGTCGGAGAAGGTGAGGCAGCGCGCCGAGCAGTTCTGGAAGCCGAAGCCGGTGGCCTCGCGCAGCAGCGGCTCCAGCGGCGCCACGGCGGCCACGAGCGCCTCGTGCAGCAGCTCGTACTCCAGCTGGGTCATGGGCCGAGCCCAGAAGGGCACGGCACGGCCCCCCCTGAGCCCCAGCACGCGGTAGGAGCTGGGCCGCGGCAGGGGCCCCACGGCCAGCTCGGTGATGTTGGGCTCCGCCTGCGCCCCGAAGAAGACGATGGCCCGAGCCTCGCGCTGCGGCCGCGGCCCCCCGTGCGCCAGGAACCGCAGCGCGGCGCGCTTGGGGGGCGGCAGCAGCTCCACCAGGAACAACGAGTTCTTGGCCAGGGGGCCCCCCCGGCTCGGGGCCAGGCCCAGCTCCGGCCGCTCCATCAGGAAGGTCCGCACGGCCCGGAGCTCCGCCGGGGACAGGTCGGAGAAGATGGACGCGGGGTCCAGGGGGCTGCCGAGGGGCCGGGGGGGGCCGCGCCGACCAGCAGGGTCAGTGCCCAGGGCACACCCAGCAGCCACATCCTGGGGGACACGGGGACAGAGGGGTCAGCACCGGGAGGGGTACGGGGAACAGCTGAGCCCCCACACTCCAGTGCCACCAGCAGCAGTGCTGGCACCCCCCCAAAATGGGGGAATCACGGGATGAGCCCCAGCAAAACCGGAGACAGCATGTGATGACTCCCCAGGAAAACTAGGGACAGCACAGACAACCCCAATGAAACTGAGGTCCCATGGAGTGCTCCCAGTGAAAGTGAGGGGCACCGTGGGGTGACCCCATGAAAATCGGGAGGATCATGGCACGATCCCAGTGAAACTGGGGACACCGCAGGGTGACCCAAGACAAACTGGGGACACAATGATGACTCCCAGCAAAACCAAGGGCACCATGGGGTGATTCCCTGGAAACCTGTCCCCCCCCAAGCACGCCTAGACCCCCCAAACCACCCCACCCCGGGACAGGGGGAGCTCTGCACCCCCCCCAGAATGGCTGTTGAGCCCCAACCCAGCACTGAGCCCCACCGGGAGGGGCAAGGGGAGGCCCCCCAGTGCCCCCAAGGAGCACCCTGCAGGGCCTACCCCGGAACCCCCCAAGCGCCCCCTCACCTGCCCGGGCTCTGCCGACCCATCAGTGCAGCGGTGCCAGCCTCTGCCCCGGCCCCAGGGGCACTGACCCCCCTGCCAACCCCTCGGGGGCATTGACCCCCCTTTCCCGCCCCCCAAGGGGTCACCGCCCCCGTTCCTGCCCTCTCTCCGCCCCCACTCCCACGGGCCGCCCCTTCCCGAGCCCGCCCCTGTTCAAGGCCACCAGCAGGACCCCCAAGTCTCCTCCACCCCGGGGAGCTGCAACCCTGCTCCTCGTGCCCCCCAACCCCCGTACCTGCGCTCTCTCCGCCGCATCGCCCCCGCGGGAGGGGGGTGAGGGACACCCGAGCCCCCCCCCGCGGGTTAATGATCACCCGGGGGGGTCACAAGCGCTCCGGGCCCGCCCGGTCGTTGCCCCTCCCCGCTCCTGGGGGGACTCCGAGCGATCAAATTCCAGGGATGAGGCGAGATAAGAGCCGGGAATATCCCACGGGAGACCGTGGGCTCCCAGATTTTGCCGGGGGGGGGCCGAGGGGGTGTGGAGCCCCCCCCAAAAAATACACACGGAAAAGGGTCTTTGACTCCCCCATCCCCACGGCTCCATCTCGTCTCCATGGAAACGCGTCCCTGACCCTGCCATTCCCATGGAAACGACTCTCCGGCCCCCAAAATCCACCTGGAAAGGGGGCTTGGACCCCCCCCAACGCCAGGGCTGCATCCCGTTCCCATGGTAACGCATCATCGGCCACGCCCCCTCCCTTAGCCACGCCCCCCTCACAAACCAGGAATAAATGGAATAAAAGCAAAAAAAGGGGGATAATTGGTTTTTAAAGGCCCCAAAAAAGAGAAAAGTTGTTTTAAAAAAATCAAAAAATTCGGAAATAGTGAATTTATGAGCCCAAGGAATGGGATGAGTGGTTTTAAAAGCCAAAAACCCACAGGAAAAACTCTTTTAAAAGCCCCCAAAATGGGATACGGTGTTTTAAGGCCCCAACAATTGAATGAGAGGTTTTAAAAACGAGAAGACCCAGAATAAGTAATTTTAAAGGTCAAAATACTGGGATAAATGGTTTTAAAAGGACTCTAAATTGTAATCAGTTGGTTTAAACCCCAAAAAAAAACAAAAAAAAAAACAAACAGGATAAGTAATTTTAAATGCCAAAAAATGGCATAAACTGGTTTAAAAGCCCCCCCCCCCAGAATGCATAAGTGGCTTTAAAAGACCCGAAATGGTATAAGTGGTTCTAAAGACCCAAAGCCCCAGGATGAGTCATTTTAAAAGCCAGAAAACTGGGATAGGTGATTTTAAAAGGTCCCCCAAAATAAGATGAGTGGGTTTAAAGTCCAAAAGAAGTTGGGTAAGTGCTTTTAAAAGCAAAAAAAACCCCACTCTAAGCAGTTTTTAAAGCCCCCAAATTGGGATGAGAGGTTTTAAAGGTCTCAGAGAGGAGGAGCAGTGGGGAAATGTCCCCTAGTTTGGGATAATTGGTTCTAAGAGCCCCCAAATAATGGGAAGTGGGTTAAAAAAAAAAAAAAAAAGGATAAAAAATTTTACAAGTCCCCCAAAATGGGATGAGTGGTTTGAAAAAAAAAAAAAAAAAGGAATATATTGTTCTAAAAGCAAAAAAATCCACAGAATAAGTTATTTTAAAAATCAGAAAAATGGGATAAGAGGTTTTAAAAGTCCCCAAATCGGGATGAGTGGTTTTAAAAGCCACAAAGAACAGGATAAGTGGATTTAAATGCCAGAACCCATAAAATAAAATAAAATAAAATAAAATAAAATAAAATAAAATAAAATAAAATAAAATAAAATAAATAAAAAAAAAAATAAAATAAAATAAAATAAAATAAATAAAAAAATTAAAATAAAATAAACCAAAATAAAATAAAATAAAATTTAAAAATTTAAAATGAAATGGGATTAATGGATTTTGAAGACACATAAGAATATTGAGTAGTTTTAAGGGTCCCTAAAAAGCAGGATAAGTGGTTTTAAAAGAAAAAAACAACCAACCAACCAACTAAAAAAAAAACCACCCACACCAGGAAAAGTCATTTTTAAAGGAAAGAGAAAAACAAGGGATAAATGTCTTTAAAGCCCCAAAAGAACTGGATAAGTGGTTTTAAAGACAACAAGAATTAAAAGGGGACAAGTGGTTTTAAAGCCCCCCAAAAATGGGATGAGCAGTTTTTAAAGCCCCCAAAACAGAGTAAGTGGTTTTAAAAGGCAAAGAAATGTGATGAGCAATTTTAAAAGAAAATTAAAAAAAAAAAAACACATCCAAAAAAAAAAAAAAAAAAAAGAAAAGAAAAAAACCAGGAGAAGTGGTTTTAAAGGAAAAAATGGGGTAAGTGGGTTTTAAAGCCCCAAAAATGTAAGAAGGAGCTTTAAAAGAAAAAAATTCCCCAAGTATTTGTCACTTTAAAAGCCAAAACAAAGGGATAAACTGTTTTAACACCCCTCCCGAAATGGGTTAATTAATTTTAAAAGCAAAAAAAACAAAGCAAAAAAACCCCAAAACACACAAAAATCACAACAAACCAACAAAAAAAAAATCCCACACCAGGATAAATCATTTTTAAAGCAAAAAGAAAAAAAAGGGTAAGTGGTTTTAAAAGCAAGGGAAAAAAACAAACAAAACCAGGATGTGTGTGGGTTTTGTTTGGTTTTTGTTTTTTGTTTTTTTTAAAAAAGGGATAAGTGATTTTAAAAGACAAAAATAGAGATGTGGTTTTTGTAAACCCTCCAAAATAGGGATAAGCAGTTTTAAAGCAAAAAAAAAAAAAAGGAAAAAAAAAAAAAAGAGATGAATAATTTATAGAGGAAAAAAACCCAGGGGGTAAATGGTTTTGAAAGCCCTAAAAATAGGATAAGTGGTTTTCAAAGAATAAAAAACCAAACACCCAGGTCAAGGAATTTTAAAAGCCCCCAAAACTGGGGTGTGATTTTACAAGAAAAAAAAAAAAAGGGGGCTGTAATTTGAGAGTCATTTTGAAATAAAAAAATAAAAAAGCCAAAAAAATGGGGAGAAGTGGTTTTAAAAGAAAATAAAAAGAAATTGAAAACCAAACCAACCAAACAAAAAGAACACCTACACTCTCCAAACCCAACCAAACAAAAAGCAAAACAATCAAAACAGAAATAAACACACAAAAAAACCTTTCCCCCCAAATCCCACCAAGATGTTCTTTTACGAACCAGAAAATTGGAGTAAGTGACCTAAAAAATGGGATGAGCAGCTTTGAAAGCCCCAAAAGTGGGTTAAAAAAAAAGGAAGAGTGTGTGGGGGGGATGGCTTTAAAAGTTCCAAAAACTGGGTTAATGGGGTTTTAAAACTACAAAAAAATGGGAAAATGGTGATAAAAACAACAAACCCCGAGGGATAAGTCATTGCAAAAGCCATAAAATGGGATCAAGGGGGCTTTTAATCCAAAAATATCCTGGAATAAGTTGTTCTAAAAGCAAAAAAAAAAAAAATAAAATAAAAGACACACACCCTCCCCAAAAAACAAAACCAAACAAAACCAAGAAAAAAAAATAAAACAAAACAAAAAAACCACCACCAAAAATAAAAAAATTGGGGTAAGTGGGTTTAACACCCCTCAAAAATGGGATGAGTGGCTTTACAAGGCTCCAAAACTGGGGTAAGTGGTTTGAAATAAGAAAATCAATAAAAAATTGGTTGTTTGAAAAGTTCCAAAAATGGAATAAATTGTTTTAAAAGCCTAAAAAAACCCACCCCAGGATAAGTCCCTTTTGACACCCCCCTTTCCTCCCCTGCAAAAAAAGGGATAATTGGTTTAAAAAGCAAAAAAACCACTCCAGGTAAGTTATTGTAAAAGCATTCAAACTGGGGATAAGTGGGTTTAAAAGCAAAAAAAAACCCTCAGGATATATAATTTTAAAATCCCCAAAAGAATGGGTTAAGTGAATATAAAGGTCCCTAAAAATGGGATAAGTGGCATTAAAAGAAAAAAACAAACAAAACTGGGATAAGTGCTTGGAAAAGCACCAAGAACTGGGTTAAGTGGGTTTTAAAGTCACAAAAAAATGGAACAAGAGGTTTTAAGAGTCCCCAAAAGTGGGATGAGCAGTTCTAAAGATCAGACAAAGACTGGGATGTGTGGGTTTGAAAGCGAAAAAATCCCAGGGTAAGTCAGTTTAAAAGCCCACCAAACACGATAAGTGATTTCCAGAGCCCCTAAAAAGGATAATCGAGTTTAAAAGTAAAAAAAAAAAAAAAAAAAAAAAAGGAAGAAAGGACAAGGGGGTTTTAAAAACCAAAAAAATCCCTGAGGCAAGTTGTTTTTAAAGCCCCCAAAATGGGATAAGTGATAGTAAAAGAAAACCAAAAAAAACCACAACGAAACAGGATAAATAATTTTTAACACCCTCCCAAGAAGATAAGTGGTTTTAAAAGACCCAAAAGAATGGGAGAAGTGGGTTAAAAAGCAAAAAATAACCCACACCAAACCTCAAGTTAAGTAATTTTAAAAGAGCCAGAAGAATGGGGTAAGTGGGTTAAAAAACCCCACAAAAGTGTTGAGTGGATTTTAAAGCCCCCAAAAATGGGGTTGGCAGTTTTAAAGACCAAAAAAAAAAAATACCAGGACAAGTGGTTTTAAAAGCAAAAAAACCACCCCAGGATAAGGAATTTTATAAGCCCAGAAAATGGGGTAAGTGGTTTTAAGAACCCCTAAATGGGATAAGTAGGTGTAAAAGTTCCAAAAAACAGGACAAGGTGGTTTTAAAATAAAAACAAACAAACAAACAAACAAACACCCTGGGCTAAGTCATTTTAAAAGCCAAAAAGAACTGGGATGAGTGGTTTTAAAAGCAAAAAACAAAAACAAAAAAACCCCACCAAATGTAATTTTAAAAGCCAAAAAGCTGGAATAAGTGGCTTGAATGCCCTTTAAAAATGTCTTGAGCAACTTTAAAACCCCAAGAAATGGGAGAAGTGCTTTTAAAAGTTCCAAAAACTGGGTTAAGTGCTTTTAAAAACCACAAAAAAATGGAACAAGTGGTTGTAAGAGTCCCCAAGAGTAGGGATAAGTGTATTTAAAGTCAAAAAAAAAAACCAGGAAAAGTAATTTTTAAACCCCTGAAAAAAGGAGAAAGCAGTTTTAAAAACTCCGAAAGAATGGGATAAGAGGTTTAAAAGGTAAACAAAAACCCACCCCAGGGTGAGTAATTTTAAAATAAATGGGAATAAGTGGCTTTAAAATGCCCTCAAAACTGTTTTAAAAAGCCAAAAACCTGCCAGGATAAGTCACTTTAAAAGTCACAACAGAATGGGTCAAATGGTCTTAAAAAGCAGGTTAAGTGGATTTTAAAGTCCCCCAATAAATGGGATAAGAACTTTTAAGAGCCCCCAGAAATGGGATGAGGAGTTTTAAAGACCATTAAAAGGGCAGGACAGGTGGTTTTAAAAAAAAAAAAAAAAAGGGATAAGTAATTTAAAAAAACCCGAAAAGAGGTTTTAAGAGCCCCAAAATGGGGTAAGTGTGTTCAGAAGTTCCAAACACTGTTTTCCCAGGGCTGTCCCAACTGCAGGAGCTTTATCCTGGCACAGAAAAGCTCCGGGATAAGCTCTGTGGATCCATCTCCTCAGGATGTCCTGTGGTGTCACGAGCCCACAGAGTCAGAAATAATTCCCCTCAGTGTTGCCAATCCAAACCCAGCAGAGCCGCTTCAATCCCAGCCCGATCCAGCTGCTGGTTATCCCAGGATTCCTCCGAGGGGCAGCTCCTGGGTGCCTGACCCAGCTCCACAGCGGGTTCTCCTCCTGGGCAGCGATGCCTTCCCACCCCGAGCCAGTGCAGGTGGTTGGGCTCGCGGTTATCCCGTCACTGTCCCCGCCCCACGGGGCATTCCCACCACCCCTGACTCAGGGACAAAGCACTGACCGTTTCCCTCCTTCAGGAATGTGCAGGACCAGCTGGAGACCTTTTCCTCTGCAGACTGACTCCATTCACCCTTTCCTTCAGGAATTCCCATAACCTGTCATGGGGGACTCCATCCAGCTGCTTTCCATCCCATCAGTAAACAGGGGACATTGCTCCTCCTTCCCTGGTAATCCACGTTCAGTGAGGCCTCCTCAGTATGTGTCACCCCCTCCTCCGGTGACATTCCACTGTCTGGGACCTCTGGGAGTCCACGGTCACTTCCAAGGTTCCTGGACGAGTGGGGTTTCCTCTCCCAGCTCTTTGTGTGACCATGGAGACCCTCCCCCTGAACCCCCACCCCAGCAGGGATAGCAGGAGCAGTGGGGGTTCGGTGCCAGCCACCTCCTTCACAAGCCTCCAGGATCCCTTTTCCAATTGGAGCATCGTGGGTTTGGGATCCTCTGTAATCCTGACTCCAAAAGCTGACCTGGAGTGTCCTGTGCTTTGTGCCAGAGGCTCCAGGAAGGTCCAAGGGGACAGGGTGGAAAATCTCTTGTTTGAATTCCACAAAACTTGCTGAGGGTCCATTGGGAAGGAGAGGGTGGACAACCACACTGGAATCTGGAATGTGCATTCTCCAGAATCCCACAGTGTCCCAAAATCCTTGTGTTTCCTTCCCGTCAGTTGGTGGGGATGTCACTGTTATCCTGTTATCCATTGGGATCTCACCACATCTATCCTGCCATTTCATTCCCAAAACCTGAATCTCCTCTGCAGGTCCCTTTACTTTGTTCTATGGAAAACCCCACTTTTAGTAGGATTTGAATTGTTTTTTCCAATTCCTCAAAACCTTCAGCTCTGCTGCCCCACTCAGATGGGATGGTTCCAGGGTCAGGGGATCAGGCCAGTGGAATTCCAGCATCCTAGGGCACCAGCTGGTTTGGGAATTGTATTTCCCTTGGGAAAGCTGCTGTGGGGGCAGAGGGGCTGTGTGATCCCCGAGGATGTGGAAAAATGGGAGGAAATGTCCTTTACAGGCCTCAGTCCCATCACTTGGAGCAGCCTGAGACCCCCCAGGTGCCAAAGGCTCTGCAGATCCCGGGATGAGCCACATCCACCACCCCCCCTCCCTCCGGAGCTCAGTTCCAGGGATGGAAAACTAAGGAGGTTTAGTCCCAACAATCTGCATCCTCAAGGGTGCTGGAAGGGAGTGACGGACACCTCAGCATCCCAACTGCCCTCCATGCTTCCAGCTCTGCTCTAATTTCAGGTATTTAGTTGGAAAAACGTGTCCCAGCCTCGTGATTTCACCCGAAAGGCAAAAATCAAAGAGGAAAAATTGGGATTTTTCCTGGTTATTTGAGTCCTGGAGCACAAAGGTCTCGTGGCCCAGCACCTCCCCCTCTGCGTCCCGTCCTTCCGACCTGGATTCCAGAGGATCCTCCACGTGTGCTCCCAGCACGTTGAACTGGGACATCCCAAAAAAGCCACAGGGGCCGTGGCGTTGTCACACCCGGGGGTGGCAGGGAGGTGACAGGGTGACATTCCCAGTGCCGGGCTGGGAATGCTGGGAACAGCCTCAAGTGGCACAAGGGGGTGGGTTGTAGGTGGGATTTTGGGAATATTTTGGGACTATTCCTCCTGAAAAGGGTTGTGTGGCCCTGCAGGCTTCACAGTCATGGGGATGTGGCACTTGGGGACACGGTCAGTGGTGGCACTTGGGGACATGGGGCAGTGGTGGCCTCGGGGATCAGCAGACTCGAGGGGTCTCCCACGGTTTTCCCACCTCAGCAATTCCCTGATTTCGTGGTGTCCCAGTTTCCACAGTGCATTCCCATCCTCCTTCCTGGCTCTGTGGGCAGATGGAGTTGGGGAGGGGGGTGTCTGTCCCCATTCCTGTGGGAATGTCACCATCTGTCCCACTGCTCAGTGACATCCAGCTTGGGGGACACTCCCAGTGCTCCCAGCGCGGAGCAGCCTCCAGCTTACTGGGAATGACTGTGGGGCTGTGCTGTGGGAACTGGGCTGTACTGGGAATGACTGTGGGGCTGGTCTGGGTGAACTGGGCTGTACTGGGAGTGGCCCTGGGGCTGTCCTGTATGTACTGGGCTGTACTGGGAGTGGCCCTGGGGCTGTCCTGTATGTACTGGGCTGTACTGGGGGTGGTTGTGGGGCTGCAGGTGCCCCCCCAGGTACGTGGGTGCCCCCCCGGTGCCCTCGAACCACTCCGAGCCTCATTTGAATTTTTTGCTTGTTTCTGCATTAAACCCCCAGTTTGGGGTTTATTTCTTGGGGGGGGGGACACTGGGGGGGCACTGGGGCGACATGTGGTGGCTCCCACTGTCACAGGACCCTCCACGACCGGGGGGTTTTCCATCTGTGTCCCGGCAGGTGCCAGTGGGTATGGAGGGAGCAGGAATGAACAGAAGGAGAAGAATTAGAAGAACTGGAATAATACAAATAGAATTTAATAAAATAGAAAATAATAAATAAATGACAATGATCAGAATAAACAGACTTAAAGAAACTCCCAGCTTTAAACACAGACCCAGGGCAGGGCACTGGTGGGACTGGGAGCACTGGGAAGTGCCCTGGAGGGACATTCCAAGTTCTGGAGGCACTTCAATGACCAAAGGGAACATGGAGACACAACCCAGGGGGATTTTCTATGGCCTGAAGATACCTCAGGGTCCAAAGGGACGCAGAGAAGCCCCTCAGGGGTTCCAGGGGTCCCCAGGTGCTCATGGCTCTGAGGTGTCTGGGATGGGCCGCGGCACCAGCAGCGTCACGTCCGTGGGAGCACCGGGACAATCCCATCCTGTGGCCACTGCTGGGCACCCCCTGGGTCACCCCCAGCCCCAAGGGGGTTCCCATCCCTGAGGGGGTCCTTGTCCCCAAGGGTGACACTGTCCCTGAGGAGGTTCCCATCCCTGAGCAGGTCCCCATCCCCGAGAGAGTCCCTGTCCCCAAGGGAGGTCCTGTCCTGGAAGGTGTCCCCATCTCACAAGGGTACCCTTGTCCCTGAGGAGGTCCTCATTCCTGAAGGGGTCCCTGTCCCCATGGCAGTCCCCATCCCCACGTGTGTCCTGGTCCCCGAGGGGATCTCTGTCCCTGTGGGTGTCCCTCTCCCCATGGAGGTCCCTGTTCCCCTCCCTGTGGGGGTCCCTCTCCCCAGAGGGGTCCCTGTTCCCACCCTCGTGGGGGTCCCTCTCCCCATGGAGGTCCCTGTTCCCCTCCCTGTGGGGGTCCCTCTCCCCAGAGGGGTCCCTGTTCCCACCCTCATGGGCGTCCCTCTCCCCATGGGGGTCCCTGCTCTCCTCCCTGTGGGGGTCCCTCTCCCCAGAGGGGTCCCTGTTCCCACCCTCATGGGCGTCCCTCTCCCCCTGGGGGTCCCTGTTCTCCTCCCTGCAGGGATCCCTGTTCCCATCCCCATGGGGGTCCCTGTTCTCCTCCTTGAAGGGGTCCCTGTTCTCATCCCTTTGGGGGTACCTCTCCCTGTGGGGGTCCCTTTTCCCATCTCCCTGGGGGTCCCTGTTCTCCTCCCTGCAGGGTTCCCTTTTCCCATCCCCATGGTGATCCCTGTTCTCCTCCCTGCAGGGATCCCTGTTCCCATCCCCATGGTGATCCCTGTTCTCCTCCCTGCAGGGATCCCTGTTCCCATCCCCATGGTGATTCCTGTTCTCATCCTTTTGGGGGTCCCTCTCCCCGTGGAGGTCCCTGTTCTCCTCCCTGCAGGGATCCCTGTTCCCATCCCCATGGTGATCCCTGTTCTCATCCTTTTGGGGGTCCCTGCTCTCCTCCCTGCAGGGATCCCTGTTCCCACCCTCGTGGGGGTCCCTCTCCCCCCGGGGGTCCCTGCTCTCCTCGGGGCGGGGGTCCCCGCGGGCGGGGGGGCGGCAGCGGCGGCGCAGCCGTCGGTGCGTGCTGAGGTTGGCCTGCGAGGCGAAGGCGCGGCCGCAGCGGGCGCAGGGGAAGGGCCGGTGCCCGGTGTGGGCGCGGCGGTGCAGCCGCAGGTGGCCGCGGCTGCGGAAGGCGCGGCCGCACTCGGGGCAGGGATGGGCGCGCTCGGGGGGGCGGTGGTCCCGCAGGTGCAGCTCCAGGCTCTCCCTCCAGGCGAAGTCGCGCCCGCAGCGCCCGCACACGAAGGGCCGCTCCTCGCCCGGCGCCGCGCGGTGCCCGCAGCATCCCTGGGGACAGCGGGGGCAGGGGGGCAGCCCGCGGTGGGAGCCGCGGTGCCGCAGCAGGTCCCCGCGCAGGCAGAAGGCGCGGCCGCACTCGGAGCAGCCGTGCCGGGCCCGGTTCCCCCCGCGCAGCCTCTTGTGCGTGAGGAGGTTGCGGCGGTGCCGGAAGGCTTTGCCGCAGGTCCCGCACAGGAACGGCGGGCCCGGGGCGGGGGGCTCGGCCCGGGGCGCCCCCGGCGCGGCCCCGCAGCTCAGCCCGAGCCTGTCACGCGGGGGCGGCCTCGGCTCCTCCCGGGGGGGGTCCCTGGCGCAGCCCCCCGGGGTGGTGCCACGCCAGCCGGAGCGGGGGGCACCGAACACTAATTCCCAGTGTCTGCCGTCATCATCCTCCTCGCTGGCAGAACCATCCTGGGCGCCTGTTGAGAAAAGAGTGTCACCACGGGCGGTCCCAGACCCACTGCCAGCCCCTCGCCCACCCCCGTGACACCCAGGGGGCTGGAGGGGACTCCCACCCAGTCCAGGTGAGTGTCAGACAGGGGGTCTGGCCCCGGCCAGCCCCTCATGGCACAGCGACACCCCAGGGTGTCCCCACAGGATGTCCCCAATCACTCACCAGTGCTGGAGACTTCAGAGGCTCCGCTGTCCCCCCCAGCACAGGGGACCTCCCTGGGCGACTCCTCCTTCATGTGGATGAACTTGGACTCAGAGTCTGTGCACGAAAGAGACTCTCAGTGCCCCCAAAATGCCTGGTGAGTGTCACTGGGGGACTGTCACCACTATCAGGCCAGGGCTGCACTGGGAGTTGGGGGGGGCACAGCAGATGGGGGGCTGTGGGGCAGCAGGGCAGGGATGTCTGGGGCCTTTATTCCTCACACCCAGGACTGCACTTGGGGCCCTCCCTGCACTGAGAGATAGCAGGTCAGACTCCTCCAGGGCACTTGGGCTGCAGACCCCTGGCTCAGCCCCCAGATCCTTGGCCAAGCCTCCACACCCCAGATGAGTCTCTGAACCCCTGGCTGAGCCCCTGGGCCCCCAGCTCATCCTCCAGACCTCCCGCCAAGCCCTGGACTCCTGCTGAGCCCCTGGACCCCTGGCTGAGACCCTCACCCCCTGCAGACCCTCACCTCAGCCTCTGACCCCTGTCCAAGCCTCTAGACCCCCAGTTCAGCCTCCAGCCATGTCCCCAACCCAGTGACACCCCCATTTCCATGCCCCCAGCCCGCTGACACCCCCAACTCCATGTCCCCAACCCAGTGACACCCCCATTTCCATGTCCCCAACCCAGTGACACCCCCATTTCCATGCCCCCAGCCCGCTGACACCCCCACCTCCATGTCCCCAACCCAGTGACACCCCCATCTCCATGCCCCCAGCCCGCTGACACCCCCATTTCCACGTCCCCAACCCGGTGACACCCCCATCTCCATGCCCCCAGCCCGGTGACACCCCCATTTCCATGCCCCCAACCCGGTGACAGCCCCACCTCCATGCCCCCAGCCCTGTGACACCCCAGCCCGGTGCCCCCCCGGCCCCTCACCCAGACTGGCCACCAGGTCATAGTTGTCAGCCATGACCTCCCGGTACAGCGCCCGCTGCCAGGGCAGGAGCTCTGCCCACTCCTCGGGGGAGAAGTAAATGGCCACCTCCTCGAAAGACACCTCGGGAGGCACCCCCTGGGGGGACAGCGGGGGCTCAGGGGGGCTGGTGGCACCGACCCCTCGCTGGGCACCCCTTGCATGTCACCCCAAGGCTGCAACACCCCCCGGGGTCTCAAAGGCTTCTGTCCTGGGGCCTCTCCAGCCCCCACAGTCAGCACAGGGGGACTGGGGGGACCGCCAGGGCTGTGGGGAACCCACAGGGAGGAGTGGGGACCCCCGGGGCCCTGAGGCTCCCTGGGGCTGTAGGGACCCCCAGGGCTGTGAGGACTCATGAGCAGGGACCCCCAAGGCTGGGGAGCTCCCCGGGTCTGTGGGGACCTCCGAAACTGTGGGGACCCCCCGGAGGAGCAGGGACCTCAGGGGCTGTGGCGACCCTAGAGGTGAGTGGGGACCCCTGGGGCTCTGAGTTCCCTGAGGCTGTGGGGATCCCCGGGAGGAACTGTGGGGACCCCTCGAGTTGTGGGGGCTCCCGGGGCTCTGGGGAGATGCGTGGGGACATGCTGGGCCGTGGGGACCTCCGGGTGCCACCCCCCGGACTCTGCGTGCCCGCCTTCCCCGCCCCGCTAATCGCGCCCCGCCCTGTCCGGCCCCAGCCCCCTCCGCGGGGACCGCCGGAGCCCCCACCCCTGGGCCTGCCCCTCCGCCCGGACAGCGGGGCCGCCGCACCCGGGACCCCGAGCCCCCGGCGCCTCCCGGGCCCCCCCGCACTCACCCTCTGCATCTCCGGGCGGGGCCCGATGGCGGCGGCGGAAGGGGCCGGGCTGGGGGGCGGCACCGGGACACGGGAGGGGGCACCGGGACACGGGATGGGGCACCGGGAGTTGGGAGGGGGCACCGGGAGAGGGGAACGGGGGCTGGGCTGGGGGCGGCACCGGGACACGGGAGGCGGCACCGGGACACGGGATGGGGCACCGGGAGTTGGGGAGGGGGCACCGGGAGGGGGAACGGGGGCCGGGCTGGGGGGCGGCACCGGGACACGGGAGGGGGCACCGGGACACGGGAGGGGCACCGGGAGGGGGAACGGGGGCTGGGGGCGGCACCGGGACACGGGATGGGGCACCGGGAGTTGGGGAGGGGAACGGGGGCGGGGCGGGGGCGGTGCCGGGAGCGGGTTTGGAGTACCGCGCACCCACCTCCCCGCACCCACGGGCGGGGGATCCCCGCGTGGTTTGGGGAGCTCTGCCGAGGCGGTGGCGGCCGCGATCGCCCACCCCGGCAGCATCACCCGCCCCCCAAGCGGGGCTGCTCGGGGACACTCCCCCTCCTCTCCAAGACCACCCTCCACCCCCTCCAAATCGCGAGGAACCGGCCCGGCTACTCCGGGAGTCTGGGAGCCCCCACACCGGAGGGTCCTGCTCTAGAGGGTCCCAACCTGAGGTCTCACACTGGAGGGTCCCACGCCAGAGGAGGGTCCCACACCAGGACAGGAACAACCAAAGCCCCCCTAGGTCCTTGCCCCTGTAGCCCGTGTGCCCAAACCTCCCAGAACCCACCCAGGATGACACCAAGTGCCCCCAACCGGGACAGGGCTTGTCTGTGTCCCAGTGTGTCCCCCCAGTGAGAGCCCTCAGTGCGAGACCCCCAGTCTGTCCATCTCCAGGAGCATGGGGGGGTTCAGTGCCATCCCAGCAGATGTGACAGTGACCCCAGCCTTGGGCTTGGGCCCTGAGCTCCCACCTGGTGTCCAGGGGAGATTTGGTGGCCACAGAGCACGCTGGAAGGTCCCGGCACTGTCACTGTCCCAGTGGCCCCTTGGTCACGGTGATGGTCCTGGGGCTGCTGCTGGCACAGATTCAGGCTGGGACTGAGGCTCCAGGGAGATCCCTGTGTCCCCCCATTCCTGGACAGAGCACCCAGAGCCGCTGGAGCCATCAGAAGCTTTTATTTTAAATAACCTCAAAAAATAGAATTGCAGAGAGCAGAGCTGGGGGGAAGAAGAGAGTTGGGGTGGGACCCTCACCCGGCTGGGGCTCCAGCGGTGGCTGTCCCCGTGTTGGTCCCCTCAGAAGATCCTATTCCCTTTGGGATGAAGCAATGGCAGATCCCAGTGCCCGTGGCCAAAGCTCTGCCCGAAGTTGCAGCCCCCTGCCCACTGGCTCTGTCACAGCAGGGCGGACTCAGAGATGCCAAGCAAAGCCCAACAAGCATCCCATGCCCCCGTGGCCCTGGAAGCCCTCCCAGCCCCCACCAATATCGAGTCCCAAAGCGCAGTTATCCAGAGCAAGCAGAAGCACAAGCTGCCCCCCCGCCCCCCCTCCCCCCGGACCGGAGGCATCTCCAGGTCCCTTCTGGAAGCAGAGCTGACCCTTTCCAGGCCATTTTCCTCGCTGTTTTCCCAGTGCTCTCCCAGCTCTTCTGTGTGAGCTGGACTGGGGATCCCAGGCCACCCAACAGGAAAAAGGGCCTCAGTACTCCTGCACTGGCAGGGCTTGGCTCTTCCATCCCGACCATGTCCTTGTGGAATGCCATCCAGTCTGGAACAGCCTGGAAGGTTCTGGAAGCAGTGGGAGCCCTCTCATCCCATGGCTGCCTCCAGTGGATGCAACTTTTAAGCCACTGGATCCAGCTCTTCCCAGTCTATGTGGCTGGACTCAATGTGGCAGATCTAGGTCTGGTGCTACCCCCTCGGGTCCTTTGGTGTCCTCCCGAGCCAGAAATGTGCCATGTCCCAGTCTGGCTCTGTTTTGGCCCCTCCAATCCCCACAAGGCTCCTCCAAGTCCCAGTGCCATGTCCAGCCAGAGGTGTCACCCTGGCTCCAACCCCTCGGCTCCGTGCTCATCAGGGTCCGGTGTGGGTGAGTGTGAGAGCTGAGGGCTGGCCCTTGCCCGTGGGGGTCCTGCTGAGGGTCCCGGTGCAGGGGGGTCCCAGGCAGCCAGGGCAGGTCCCAGTGCAGGTCCTGCTGTGGGTCACAGGCAGCCAGGGAAGGTTCCAGTGAGGGTCCCAGTGAGGGGGCAGGGGTGGGGGTCCTGGCAGGGGTGGGGGTCCTGGCAGGGGCCCCGGTGTGCATCGTGGTGCACATCCCTGTGCAGGTCTCAGGGGGTTACAGACAGCTGGGACACGGGGCTGGTTTCTCCTCGACACGCTCCTGCTCCGGCGCTCCCGCCGCTCCTGGCACTCCCGGCACTTGCTTCTCCTCAAAGGCCCGCGTGCAGCCCCCAGCCTTGGCCCACAGCTGCCCCCGGGGTGGCTCGGGAGGGCGGGGGGCCAGGCAGGCGGCACAGCAGCAAGGGGGGGGCAGCCCCGGTGCCCTGGGGCCCGGACCCTCCCCCGGGCACTTGCACAGGGGCACCGGGGGGGCTCCGGGGCCCGGGGGGTGCTCGTCCTGCATCAGCTGCAGGAGGATGTCGGCGGCACCCGAGGGGCTGTCGGGCCGGGCCGGGGGGGCCCCGCGGGAGCAGGGGGGCAGCAGCAGGGCCGGGGGCTCCAGGCCCTTGCCCAGGGGGTCCCCGGCGGAGCAGGCGGGCACGAGGCCGGCGCCGTGGGTGCGGCGGTGCCGCAGCAGATGAGCCTTCTGGCTGAAGCCCTTGCCGCAGTCGGCGCAGCGGAACGGGCGCTCCCCCGTGTGCGTGCGCAGGTGCACGGCCAGGTTCACCTTCTGCCGGAACCGCTTCCCGCACTCGGCACACGTGTGCGGCCGCTCGGCGCAGCCGTGGGGGCACTCGGGGCACGGCTGGGGCTGCTCGGCGCAGGGCAGCGGCTGCTCACAGGGGTGGGGCCGCTCGGCACAGGTGTGGGGGCACTCGCCGCACGCGTGGGGCTGCTCCACGCAGGCGCGAGGGTGCTCGGCACAGCCGTGAGGCTGCTTGGTGCAGGCGTGGGGCCGCTCGGCGCAGGCGTGGGGACACTCGGCACAGGGGTGCAGCTGCTCGGCGCAGGTGTGGGGCCGCTCGCAGGCGTGGGGCTGCTCGGCACAGGTGTGGGGCCGCTCACAAGTGTGGGGCCGCTCGCAGGCGTGGGGCCGCTCGCAGGCGTGGGGCTGCTCGCCGCAGGGGCGGGGCTGCTCGAGGCAGGGGTGCAGCCGCTTGGCGCAGGGGCACTTGGCACAGGTGTGCAGCTGCTCGGCACAGGCGCGGTGCTGCTCCGTGCAGGGGTGATGGTGCTCGGCGCAGGGGCGACGCTGCTCGGGGCAGGAGTGCGGCCGCCCGCGCGGGTTCACCGGCAGCCCCCCGTGCTCGCCGCAGGCCTCCCCGCAGGGCCCGCAGGGGAAGGGGGCCCCGGCGGGGTCTGCGCTGCCGGGGGCGGTGCCGGGGGGCCCCGCGTGCACCCGCTGGTGCACCCGCAGAGACAGTTTGCTCTTGAAGCGCTTGGGGCACTCGAGGCAGGTGAAGGGCTGGCGGCCCAGGTGGGTCTTCTGGTGGGCCAGCAGGTTGGGCTTCTGCGCGAAGCGCTTCCCGCACTGGGTGCAGGCGAAGGGCCGCTCGCCCGTGTGCACTCGGTAGTGCGTCACCAGGTTGCCCTTCTGGTTGAAGCGGCGGCCGCAGACGCCGCAGGTGAAGGGCCGCTCACCTGTGTGGATGCGCTGGTGTGTGGCCAGGTTGGTTTTGAGGCTAAAGCGCTTCCCGCAGGTGTCGCAGCGGAAGGGGCCGCGCCCGCCGGCGCCGTGCCCGTGCCGCAGCAGCCGCTCACACTGCGCCAGGCTGCGCCCGCACTCGGGGCACGGCCAGGGCCGAGCCTCGCCTGCCCGTGCCGGGGGGGACCCAGGGGGCAGCTCCGCACCGGGGCTGGGCTCGGGGGGGGCCCCGGGGCACGGCTTGTGCCCCGCGTGGCTCTTCTGGTGGGCAACGAGGGCGAGCCAGAGCCCAAAGCTGTTCCCGCACTGGTTGCAGATGAAGGGCTTCTCTGGGGGGGCTGTGGCGTCCCCCAGCCCTGGCTGCGCCCCCTGGGGCCCCAGGAGGGGGGGGCCGGGGGAGAAGTTTGGGGGCACCTCAGGGGGCCGCAGCAGGGGCACCTTGGGGCAGAAGCCATCAGCACAGTGGGTGCAGGGGAAGGGAGGCTCGCCTGGGGGCGGGGGGGGAAAGCCCTTCTCTTCACAGGGGAACAGCTCGGTGCCCTCAGGGGGCTTTGGGGCGGGCGGGAGAGGGGCGAAGGGGGTGTCCTGTGGGGTGGGTGTGGGGGGCAGCAGGGCGGGCGCAGCCCCAAAGGGCGCGGCGGGGGCCGGGCCGCGCGCGAGGCAGCGGCGCTGGCGGGGGACGTGCGTCTTCTGGTGGGCCTTGAGGGACACCTTGTCCTTGAAGCACTTGTGACACTGGGCGCAGGGGAAGGGGCGCAGGTCGGTGTGGGTGCTCTGGTGCGTGACCAGGTTGGTTTTCTGGGTGAAGCGCTTGCCGCACTGGGCGCAGGCGAAGGGCCGCTCACCTGTGTGCACCCGGTAGTGCGTCACCAGGTTGGTTTTCTGGTTGAAGCTGCGGCCGCACAGGAAGCAGGAGAAGGGCCGCTCGCCCGTGTGGATGCGCCGGTGCGTGATCAGGTTGGGCTTCTGCCGGAAGCTCTTCCCGCACTCGGGGCACACGAAGGGCGTGTCCTCGGCGCAGCCCCGCGCCGGCCGCGCCCGCGCCTTGCCCTCGTCGGGGTGGGCGCCGTGGATGCGCTGGTGGGCCAGCAGGTTGGCCTTCTGCGAGAAGCTCTTGCCGCACTGGGCGCAGGGGAAGGGCCGCTCGCCTGTGTGCACCCGCCGGTGCGTGAGCAGGTTGGGCCGCTGGCTGAAGCTCTTCCCGCAGTCCCCGCACCGGAACGGCTTCTCCCCGGTGTGGATCCGCTCGTGCGTCACCAGGCTCTGCTTCTGCCGGAAGCCCTTCCCGCACTGGCCGCAGCGGAAGGGGCCGGGGACGCCCCCCTGGGCCCCCCAGCAGCCGGCACGGGTGGCCGGGGGGTCCCGGGGGGGCTCGGGCCCGCGCTGCCCACCGGGGAACCAGCGGCCGGAGCTGCTGCCGGCGGCCGGGAACAGCTCCAGGGAGCCGGCGCCGATCCCGGGCTTCTCCTCAGGCTCCACCTTGCTCACCCGCCCGGGCTCCACTGCACCGGAGAGATCCCAGAGTCAGCCCGACTCTTGGGGAATTCCAGGCTGTCCTGAGTGGGAAGGCCTCGGACCCAGCCCCCCCCACTCCATGTGGGACTCCCAACATGGAATCGCAGTGGTCTGTGGCTCCCCCAACAGCCTCCAAATCCCCTCAAAGCTCCCAGTTTGTGACACCCCAAAGTGCCCCCAAATTCCCCCCCAAAACCCACTGCACTCCCCAGTTTGTGGAACACCCCAACCTCCTGCACCCCTCAGCCTCGCCCACAGTGGTGCTGGGCCAGTGCCAGGAAAAAACTGCCAGTACCTAGCCCAGACTGGTCAAAACTGGCCCTAAACTACCATAAACTGGCCATAAAATGGCCACAAATCGGTTCAGAATGGCCCAGAATGGGCCCCAGGATAACAAAAACTGGCCCAAAATTGCCAAAATCAGCCCAGAATGGCCAAAACTGGTTGAGAACGGCCATGAACTGGTCCAAAAATGGCAAAAACTGGTCCACAAAACTGGTCAAAACTGGCCGAAAATGGCCACAAATTGGTCATAAATGGCTGCAAACTGACCCAGAATGGCCACAAAATGGCTGAAAACTGGCCCAAAATGGCCACAAACCAGCCCCAAACTGACCCAGAATAGTCCTAAACTGTCTTACACTGGCCCAGAATGGCCCCCCCACTGGTCCCAAAATGTCCCTGAAGGCCCCAAATGTCCTCACACGGTGCCAGCCCATCCTTTCCCTGGAGCCTCCAATCTCACCGCTCCCCCATTCCCGTGGATCCGGACTCACCGGCGCAGGGGCTGCCCAGGGCCTTGGAGTCCTCCGGGCCCGTCCGCGCGGCTCCGAACGGCTCCTCCGGTGGCTTCATCCCGAACAAACCCACCGGCTTGAAGAACCGGTACCCTGGGGGGACACGGCTGTCACGGGGAGAGCCAGGATTTGGGGACGGGGACACAGCTGGCACCGAGAGAGCCAGGATCAGGGATGGAGCCGCCACTGGGAGAACTGGGAAGGCGGGATCGGGCCGCTCCCAGGAGAACTGGGCTCTGGGAATGGGGGATGGAGCCACTTGTGGAGAACCAGGCTCCAGGTGAGGTGGGACGGAGCCATTCCTGGTTTCTTCCCGCAGCCTCTCCCACCTCTGGGAATCCCCCGGAACACTTTCATCATCCCAGTTCAAAGTTCCCACAAAAATGCACTGGGCTCTGAACAGAGAATTCCCCACCCCCCATCTCACGGTGTCCCCTGCCCGTGCCCCCCACCCACCTGTGCAGGGATCCGAGGAGATCTCGGCGCTGACGGCATCCAGCTGGGATCCGGCCCGCGGCGCCGGGCTCAGCCGGGAATACGGGAGCAGATCCAGAGCGTGGGCGGGCTGGGGAGGGGGCAGCAGCTCAGCGGCATTTGGGGGCCATTTGGGGCCCCTTTGTGTCTGTTTGGGACATTTCCCCGGGCAGGGATCCTCCCCTTGTTCCCACATCCCGAATCCCAGGGCCAGGCCCCTCACTCCAGGATGGAGCCCACGGCACTGGAGCGTGTCCTGCCCGGGTAACAGGGATGTCACCCCACCCTCCCATGTCCTCCGGGGGGGTCCCAGCTCATGGGCTCATTCCCAGAGAAAATCCCAGCACTAGGACCCACTGGAATTTCCCCCAGGGTAAAGAAGCGGTGGCTCTTCTGTGCCTGTGTCCCCACTGGAGCAAGCAGGGCTTGGCAGAGCCCCCAGAGCTGAGGGATAAGTCCCCAAAGATCCCTGTTCCCCAAACCAGATCACTGCCCCCCCAAACCAGATCCCTGTTCCCCCATCCTGATCCCTGCCCCCTAAATCTGATTCCTGTCCCTCCAAACCAGATCCCTGCCCCCGAGCTGGGAGCTGACTCCCCCCTCCCTGACCCCCTCAACGGATCCTTCTCCACCCAGGATCTGCACTGAGGGAGGAGCCTTCCCTGAGGAGCCGATCCTGCTTTTCCAGTGACACTGAAACCCCCAAACCCCCACTCCCCCCGTGCCCCCAGAATTCCTCTCATGTTCCCAAGCGCCAGAGCCTGGTGGAGGCAGAGCCGGAGGAAGCCCCGCGCTCCGGGGCTTCCCAAAGCGCCGATTTCCCAGAAAAACGCTTGGAGGGTTCCAGGGGTGTGAGGAAAAAAAGCACGGGAGGAGTTCCCGGCCCCGGGAATTCCCCGAAACGTCCCCCCCAAATGTCCCGGGGCGGAGGCGGCGCGGGGGATCCCGCCGGGAAACCCCCCGTACCTGGGGCGCTCCCCCCGCAGACATCGCTGCCCCGGGGCCCCTTCCCGGCCCCTTTCCGGCCTCCTTCTCAGCCTCTTCCCGGGCTCTTCCTCAGGCTCTTCCCGGGCTCTTTCCCGGCCTCTTCCCGTCCTTTTCCTGGTCTCCTTCCGCCACCGACTCGCTCAAATGGCCGCAGCAGGGTCCTGGGAGAGCGGGAATGTGAGTGGGAATGGGAACAGGATGGGATCGGGAGCGGGATCGGGAGCCGGGCCCGAGGAGCTCTGCGGCCCCGGAGCGGCCTCGGCCTCCCCCCCGCCCCTCCTCCTCCTCCTCCTCCTCCTCCCCCCGGAATTTGGGGCGCGGAAGGGCCGAGCGGGGCCGGATCCGGCTGCGAACCGAGAGAGCTCGGGAGAGCTGGGAGTTGTAGTTCGGGATGGGATGGGAGACAGCGGGAGTGGCAGCCGGAATGGCCCCGGAGCCGGGAATGGCCCCAGCACCGAACGGCTTATCCAGCCGGGAACAGCCCCGGCGCCAGGAACTCCCCCGGGAGCCCGGAACAGCCCCGGTACAACAAACATCTCACGGACAACCGGGAATGGCCCCGGGAGCTGGGAATGGCCCCGGGGGCTGGGAATGGCTCCGGGAGCTGGGAATGGCCCCGGGAGCTGGGAATGGCCCCGGGGGCTGGGAATGGCTCCGGCACAGCCCAGTCTGGGCAGTCAGGAATAGCCCCGGGACAGCCTGGCCTTGTCCAGCCGGGACAGCCGCAGGAGCCGGGAATGTGGAATCCCCTCGTTAACGAGGAGCAGCCCCGGGAGCAATCCCAGCCCCCGGCCCCGGTTCGGGGGGTCCCGGTTCTCCTCGGTCCGGGTCGGGGGGTTCGGGGTGACCCCCCAACACCAGCACTCCCGGGCCCCCCCGAGAGGCTCCCGCGGGAGCCCCGGACCTCGCCGCCGTCCCCTTGCTGCCCCCCTGAGACCCCAAAGCACCGCCCCAAAACACAGCCCGACCCCCCTCTGAGCCCCCAAGCACTCCCGGCACCCCTGAGACCCCAAAACACCGCCCCAAAACACAGCCCGACCCCTCTCTGAGCCCCCAAGCACTCCCGGCACCCCTGAGACCCCAAACCCCCTGGCACCCCAACCCCTCCTCCGTGCCCCTGGGTCACGTGACACCCCGAGCCCTCTCCCAGGGAAACTCACGGGCCGCCGCTGTCCCGCGACGCGATGACGTCACACGTCATCTGACGTAAACGCGTCAATGATGTCATCTAGACAGACACGCCCGCCGCGTGACCGCTCCCGGCCGGGGGCGGGGCGTGAGACAGCGCCCCCTGTCGGCACCACGGGCTGCGACCGGATGGGAGGGGCCGGGAGACCCGCCCAGTGCCCCCAGTACCCCCAGTGATCCCCAGTGATTCCCAGTGATCCCCAGTGATCCCCAGTGCCCCAGTACCCCCAGTGACCCCCAGTGCCCCCAGTACCCCAGTGCCTCCCAGTGATCCCCAGTACCCCAGTGCCACCAGTGATCCCCAGTGCCCCCAGTGATCCCCAGTGCCCCCAGTACCGCATGATCCCCAGTGATCCCCAGTAACCCCAGTGATCCCCAGTGATCCCCAGTGCCCCCAGTGCCACCAGTGATCCCCAGTGATCCCCAGTGCCCAGTGATCCCCAGTGCCCCAGTGATCCCCAGTGATCCCCAGTGATCCCCAGTGATCCCCCAGTGCCCCAGTGATCCCCAGTGATCCCCCAGTGCCCCCAGTGATCCCCAGTGCCCCCAGTGCCCTTCAGTGCCCCCAATGCCCCCAATGATTCCCCAGTGATCCCCAGTGATCCCAGTGCCCTCAGTGTCCCCAAGTACCCCCAATGCCCCCAGTGATCCCCAGTGCCACCAGTGATCCCAGTGATCCCCAGTGCCCCCAGTGATCCCCAGTGATCCCCAGTGCCACCAGTACCCCATAGCCCCCAGTGCCCTACGTGATCCCCAGCGATCCCCAGTGCCACCAGTGATCCCCAGTGCCCCCAGTGATCCCCAGTGATTCCCCAGTGCCCCAGTACCCCCATAGCCCCCAGTGCCCCCAGTGATCCCCAGTGATCCCCCAGTGCCCCAGTGCCCCAGTGATCCCCCAGCTATCCCCTCAGTGCCCCCAGTGATCCCCCAGTACCCCCAGTGATCCCCAGTGCCCCCCCGGTGATCCCCAGTGCCCTCCAGTGCCCTCCGGTGATCCCCAGTGCCCCCAGTGTCACCCCCAGTGCCCCTCCGTGATTCTCCCAGCGTCCTCAATGCCCCCAGTGCCCCCTCAGCGATTCTACCAGTGCCCCCAGTGCCTCCCAGTGATTCCCCCACTGCCTCCGTAATCCTCCAGTGCCCCAGTGCCTCCCAGTGATTCCCCCACTGCCCCCGTAATCCTCCAGTGCCCCAGTGCCTCCCAGTGATTCCCCCTGCCCCCGTAATCCTCCAGTGCCCCCAGTGCCTCCCAGTGATTCCCCACTGCCCCCGTAATCCTCCAGTGCCCCCAGTGCCTCCCAGTGACTTCCCCACTGCCCCCATAATCCTCCAGTGCCCCCAGTGCCTCCCAGTGATTCCCCACTGCCCCCGTAATCCTCCAGTGCCCCCAGTGCCTCCAGTGATCTCCCAGTGCCCCCGGTGCCCCCAGTGCCTTCAGTGACCCCCCAGTGCCCCCCAGTGTCACCTCCAGTGCCCTTCAGTAACCCCCAGTAACTTCAGTGTTCCCCAGTGCCCCCGTGCCCACCATTGTCCCCCCGTGGCTCCAGAGTGCCTCCCCCAGTGATTCCTTTGTGCCCTCCTGTATCCCCCCATGACTTCCCAGTGCCCCCCACTTTCCCCCCGGTGCCCACCCTGTGTCCCCCCTGTGTCGCCCCCACCCCTTCCCTGCACCCCTTCAGCCTCTCCGTGTCCTCCCCAGTGTCCCCCGGTCCCCTCTGTGTCCCCCACCCGACACCCTCCCCCATCTCTCCTGCTCTCCCCCCTGCTGCTCCCCGGCAGGGACATCCAGGACAGGGACACTCGGGACAGGGACACTCGGGACAGGGACACTCGGGACAGGGGCAGGAGCTCATTCCCAGGGCTCAGGGGGCTGTTCTTGGGGACAAGAGCTCATTCCGGGCTCAGGGGTCTGTTCCCGGGGACAGGAGCTCATTCCCAGGGCTCAGGGGGCTGTTCCCGGGGGCAGGAGCTCATTCCCGGGGCTCAGGGGGCTGTTCTCAGGGACAGGAGCTCATTCCCAGGGCTCAGGGGCTGTTCTCGGGGACAGGAGCTCATTCCCGGGGCCGGGACACCATTCACAGTGGCCAGGAGTGGCTCAGTAGCTCAGTCTGTTCCTGGCAGGAGGGTGTCATTCCCAGCGGGACGTGGTGACATTCCCGGGGAGCAGGAGGTTGTTCCCAGGGGCAGGAGCCCATTCCCAGCGGGTTGTAGCCCGTTCTTGGTGTTTAGGAGCCTGTTCCAGGGGGGCAGGACACATTCCCAGGGGCACAGTGTCATTCCCAGTGAGACACAAATCCATTCATGCGGGGCAGGAGCTATTCCAGGGGGGCAGGAGCCTGTTCCCAGGGCGTGGAGCCCCTTCCCGGGGCAGGATGTCGTTCCCAGTGGGATGTGAAGCCATTCCATAGGGCTGGAGTTGGTCACGGGAGCTGGAGTTTGTTCCCGGGATGTCACTCCCAGCAGGCCATGAGGCCATTCCCGGGAGCTGGAGTTTGTTCCCGGGATGTCACTCCCAGCAGGCCATGAGGCCATTCCCGGGAGCTGGAGTTTGTTCCCGAGGGGCTGAAGCCGCTCCCGGGGGTGCAGGAGTTCGTTCCCGGGGAGCAGGAGCCGTTCCCGGGGGCAGCAGCCGATTCCCGGGGGCAGGACGTGATTCCCAGCGGACTCCGCCGCCATTCCCGGGGTCTCTCCCCCCATCCCGTTCCAGCCCCTCCTCCCGGTCACTCGCGGGGCCGTCCCGGGGGCGGATTTGGGGGCAGATCCCAGGAAATCGGCTCATGCCAGCCCGACGCCAGCGGCCGGCGGCTCCGTGAGGCCATTCCCGGCGGGATGAGGCTGCCGCTGTCCCTGTGGCTGCCGCTGGCCCTGGCGGTGGCCGCGGTGGCCGCGGGGCAGTCCCCGCTCCAGCGGCGCGTGGTCCGGGATGTGCTGGAATATTTCCACGGGCGCAGCAACGTGCACTTCCTCTTCAGGGAGAGGGAGCTGGACGGGGTCATCGAGAGGGTGAGCAGCGGGAGCGGGGCTGGGATGGCCACGGAACGGGGAGGGGGCCGGGCAGGGGGCTGGAGTGCCCCGGAGGGAAGAGGGAGGGAGGCGGAGTGTGCAGGAGGCAGCAGGCAGTTAGGGGGGGTCACGGAGTGGGGGAGCAGGGATTGGGATTAGGATCTGGATCTGGTGCTCAGGATGGCCACAGGAACTGGGAGAGGGTTGGGGAGGGAGTTGGGATGTCCTGGAAGGAATGGGGAGAGGGTTGGGGTGACCCAGAGGGCATGGGGAGGTGTTTGGGGTGTCCCCGGACGGAGCAGTCAGTGGAGAGGATCGTGGAGTGGGTGAGTAACGGGATTCAGGATTCAGGATCTCGGATTCAGGGTTTGGGATGGCCACGGGAACAGGGAGGGTGTTGTGGTGTCCCAGGGTGTCCTGGAAGAGAGCAGGTGGTGGAGAGGATCACTGAGGGGTTGAGCAATGGGATTTGGGATTGGGATTCAGGGTGAAGGATCCAGGATGGCCGTGGGAGTGGGGAGGGTGTTGGGGTGTCCCAGAGGGAGTGGGGAAGGGGTTGGAGTGCCCCCTAGGGAGTGGGAGTTGGATGGGGGTGAGTACCAGGATTCAGGATTCAACGTTTGGGATTGGGATCTGGGATGGCCGTGGGAATGACAAGGGGGTCAGGGGAGTGGGGTGGGCATCCCAGAGGGGACAGGTTGGCGGTGGGTGCCAGGGTGTCCCGGGGTGCCTGGGATTGGCCCCGCTGGCCGGGCCTGGCTGAGCTCAGTTACTCATTAACAGATCCAGGTCCATCCTGGTGCCCCCTGGAGCACCACCCATGCCCAGAAGAGCAGGGAGCTCTGGGCACCCCCCCTTTGGGCCACTCACCCACCTTGGAGACACCCTGGGGTCATTGCTGGGGCTGATTTTCCTGGGAGTCTGCAGGAAGAGGTCCCTTTGGAGTTTGGGGTCCCTCCCCGGGGTTGGGATCTGTGGGGCTCAGGGTCCCTCCTGGCATTTGGGGTCTCTCTGGGGGCTTTGGGTTGCTCCCAGGGTTGGGATTCCTCCAGGGGCTGGATTTCTGTGGGACACTATGCCGTTTGAGGTCCCTCTGGGGGTTGGGATCCTTGCCAGGGGCTTTGGGGTCCCTCCCATGCCTTCCCCACCGTGTTCCTGCAGGAGGATCCCTCGGGAACGTTCGTGCAGCTGCGCCTGGGCCTGGCACAGACGTCGTGTCGGAAGCGAGGGCCGCAGCGGCAGTGCCGCGTGGTGGAGAACCGGGTGAGGGGACACGTGCTGGGCTGTCCCCCCTGCCCTGAGGCACAGCCCAGGGCGTTCCCATGGCTTGGTGCACGTCCCACACCATGGGATGTGTTCCCCTCCCTTGGGCCACATCCCTTGAGTGACCCCATCTCCCCTGAGTCACATCCCAGGTGTCCCCCCACCTCCCTTAGGATACTTTCCAAGTGTTCCCCTCCCTTGGGCCGCATTCCCCGTCCCCTGGGACACATCCTGGGGGTGTCCCCATTCCTTGGGCCGTGTGCTGGAACGTCCCCCTTCCCTTAGGGCACATCCCAGGGTGTCCCTTCCCTTGGGCCCTATCCTGGGTGCGACACAGTCCCCAGAGCACCCCCGGACTCCCCGTTCCCACCCTGCGCGTGCCAGGCTGGGATGGAGGGGGTGAGGGTGGGTGCCAGGGGCTGGGACGGCCCGGGGAGGGTGACATCCCGCCGTGTCCCCAGCGGAAGCCAACCTGCCTGGCCTGCTACAAGTTCGACACCAGTGACGTCCCCAAGGTGCTGGACAAGTACCACAACTGCGGCCCCGCCCATCACCTGGCGGCCAAGGTGAGGTGCCCCGTCCCCTCAGTGCCCCCCTGCGCCCCCCCAGCGTCTCCACACGGTGCCAGCCCGTGCTGTGCCCGCAGGAGATCCGGCAGCGGGACGAGGCCGAGTGCCGGGCGGTGGAGGAGGCCGGGAAAGGAGGGGACGCGCTGTACCTGCCCGGAATGTTCGCCTTCTCCCGGGGGCTGCCAGCATAGGTGGGGATGGGGACACCCGGGGGACACCCCGGGGACACCCTGGGGACACTCTGGGGCAGGGACATACCCGAGAACCCCCTGGGACAGGGACATGGGAATACACCTGGAGAACCCCCTGCGATGGGGACAAGGGGAAACCCCAGGACAGGAGCATGACCGGGAGAACTCCCTGGGATGGGGACACCCCCTGGGATGGGAACACTCCCTGGAATGGGGACACTCCCTGCGACAGGGTCGTGGGCGGGAGAACCCCCTGGGATGGGAACACCCCCTGCGACAGGGCCGTGGGCAGGAGAACTCCCTGGGATGGGGACAGGGGACACACCTGGAGAAATCCCCTGAGTGGGGACACGGCTGGAGAACCCCCCAGGACGGGGATGTGGCCGAGAACCTCCTGGGCTGGGGACACAGGGACATGAGGGTCCCGTCACAGCCCTCCCTCCCCATGTCCCCTCTCCAGGCACCACGGCACCCACGGATGCTGCCATGGGGGTCCCAGCCCCCCCCGCTTGTCACCCCCCAGCACCGCATGACCGAGGAGGGTCCCGGGTGTGGCCCCCCCTCCTGCCTGTCCCTGCTCCCCAGTAAACCCAGTGCTGGCTCGGCTGTCCCGGCTCTTATTCCTCATGGGAACTGGGAGGGAACTGGGCTCCCTGTCACCACCCTCTGTGCCACCCCCCGCCCATTTTCCCCGGGGATGGGAGGGGACTCCGTGGGCCCGGGCTGAGCAGTGGGTACAAGGGAGTCCCCCTGAGGCCACAGAACACAGGGACGCCAGAGGGTGGGATGTGTTTACTGCACTGACACCATGTCCCCTGTGCCCAGGATGTCCCCCCAACATCCCCTGGTCCCCACGATGTCCCACAGCCAAGGCCAGGCTCCCTGCAGCTCCGCTGTGTCCTCTGGTGATTCTGTGCCAGGCAGGGGTGGCTCTGGGGGTCTCCCAGCCCCGGTTTTGGGATCCCATGGCTCAGAAGCTGAAGGTGCCAGGCTGTGGTGGCTCTAGGTGGTCTCATGGTCCTGGTGCGGGCTGTGGTGGCTCTGGGGGTCTTCCAGTCCCATTTTTGGGCCCCCCCCAGCTCAGAATCCAAAGGTGCCAGACTGGTGGTGGCTCTGGGTGGTCTCCCAGTCCCAGTGTTGGCTGTAGTGGTTCTGAGTGGTCTGGTCCTGTTGTGGACTGTGGTGGCTCTGGATGCTCCCCTCCCCCCGCCCTGTTTGGGACCCCTCAGGTCAGAACCCCAAGGTGCCAGGCTGTGGTGCTCTGGGTGGTTTTCTGGTGTGAGCTTTTGGTGATGACTTTGGGGGTCCCCCAGTCCTGTTTCTGGAGTCCCATAGCTTAGAAAATGAAGGCTCTGGGGTCTCACGACCCAGAGTGGTCTGTGGTGACTCTGGGTGGTCTCGTGGTCCCAGTATTGGCTATGGTAGCTCTGGGTGCCCCACCATCCCCATTTGGAGCTCCTCAGCCCTATTTTGGGACCTCCCCAGCCCTGTTTTGGGCCCCCTTAGCTCAGAACTCAAGGGCTCTGGGCTCTGGGTGACCCTCAGCTCCATTTGGGAGTCCCCCAGCTCAGACCTGGAAGGTTCTGGGCTATGGTGGCTCTGGGTGGTCTCATGGGCTCAGTGCTGGTTGTGGCATCTCTGGGTGCCCACCAGCCCCATTTGGAGCTCCTTCAGCCCCTTTTGGACCTCCCAGCCCCATTTTGGGAGCCCCTCAGCCCTGTTTCAGGCCCTCCCAGCTCAGAACTTGAGGGCTCCTGGCTGTGGTATCTCTGGGTGGTTTCATGGTCCCAGTGTTGGCTGTAGTGTCTCTGGGTGCCTCCCAGGCCCATCTGGCCCAACCCAGCCCCATTTTAGGACCCCCCAGCCCCACTTGTAAGCCCCCAACCCTATACGGAGTCAGCTCAGAACTCCAGGGCTCCTGGCTGCGGTGTCTCTGGTGGTTTCCCAGTCCCGGTGTTGGCTGCGGTGTCTCTGGGTGCCCCCAGCCCCATTTGGAGCCCCCCCAGCCCCATTTGGAGGTGCTGGGCCCCGCTGTGGCTCAGAAGCCGTAGTTGCCGGGGTGCCGGCGGCCGAGTGCTCGCTGCGCCTGGGCGATGGAGTCGTCGGCGCGCCGGCCGAGCTCGCGGCACTCCCGCAGGGCCTCCCCGAGCTGCCGCGTGGCCTCCTCCAGCACGGCGCTGCGGCGCGGCGCCCGCGGCTCCCAGAACCCCTCCTGCACCCAGGGCTGGGGGTTGCGGGGGGGCTCCGCCGGCCCCTCGGCCGCGGCGCCGCCGTCCAGCGCGGCGTCCAGCTCGCGGCACAGGCGGAAGAGCTCGCTGCCGCGGCCGGCCACGCGCTGCCCGTCGATGGCCTTGAGGCCGGGCAGCATGGCGGCCAGCGCGGCGCGGTAGGCGGGCGCGGCACACAGCGGGTTGCCGAGGCGCGCCAGCGGGTCCCGCAGGCGCAGGCTCTCCAGGTGCCGCAGCCCCTGCAGGCAGCGCAGCTGGCGCAGGCTGCGCAGCCGGTTGCCGGCCAGGTTGAGCTGGCGCAGGCTGCGGCAGCCCCGCAGCGGCTCCACGCTGGCCACGCGGTTGCCGGCCAGGTTGAGCACGGCCAGGGCGCGCAGCGCGGCCAGCGGGGCCAGCGCCGCGATGGCGTTCCCGGACAGGTCCAGCCACTCCAGGTTGGAGCAGTCGGCCAGGCAGCCCAGGTGGGCGATGCCGCGGCCCCGCAGCCGCAGCAGCAGGATGGACTCCAGGGAGAACTCGCCCGTGCAGGCCTTCAGCAGGGCCGGGGTCACGCACACCCCCGAGCCTTCCTCCTCCTCCTCCTCCTCCTCGTCCTCCTCCTCCGACGGCTCCGACACGTCCGGGTCTGGCACCGGCGCTTCCTCCCCGCGCCCCTCCATCCCTGCGGGGGGGTCCTGGGAGGGGGAAAGGGGTTGGGGGTGGCACTGGGGAACAGCCCGGGAGGGGCTGGGGGTCATCCTGGGGCATGGGCACATGTGAGAGACGTGAGTGGGAATGTGCGTGGGGCAGAGCTGGGGGTCTTTGGGACACACGGGGGGGATGTGTGGAACACAGGGGGACACGTGGGGCACATCTAGGGGTGTCACCTCCTCCTCCCAAGCCCCTCCATCCCCGCAGGGTGGTCTGAGAGCGGAAAGAGGTTGGGGGTGCTACTGGGGAACCTTTCAGGGGTGACACGGGTGCCGTGGGGTGGCTTGGGGTGTGGAGACACAAGGGGGACGCATCTGGATGGGACCTGGGTGCACACGGGCACATGTGGGGCACATCTTGGGGGATGGACCTGGAGCGCAGGGACAGGTCCAGAGCCCATGCGGAGCCCCCGGACCCCGGCCTGCCCCCATCCCGGTGCCCTGGGACCACCCAGAACCCCTCAGACCACCCCCTTCCCTCCCCAGTGCCCCAGATCCCTCCAGACTCCCGGTGTTCCCCCACCAGTGCCCCCGTTACCCCCTCCAAAGCCCACCCATTCCCCACGGACACCCCCAGACCCTTCCTATTTCCTCCCCTAGTGGCCCCCCCATCCCCCAGACCCCCTGCTGCCTCCCCAGTGCCCCGTTATTCCCCTCGTAAACCCCAGAGCCCCCACACCTCTCCGTTCCTTCCCCCGATGCCCCGCCGGTGCTCCCATTCCCTCTGGTACCCCCAACCCCCAAACCCTCCGTGTCCCCCCATGCCCCGTCGGAGCTCCCATTCCCCTGGTACCCCCAAACCCCCCGTGTCCCCCATGCCCCGTCAGAGCTCCCATTCCCCTGGTACCCCCAAAGCCCCCCTGTCCCCCGCGCTCACCGCGGCGGCTCCGGCGGCCCCGAGGCCCCGCCCCCGTCGCCATGGAGACGAATCCCCGCCCCCCGGCCAGGCCGCGCGCCCATTGGGCGGGTCCCACCGCTGGCCCCGCCCACACTCCCGGCTCCTCTGCCCCCTCCCGCTTTATCCCCTCCATGGACCCCTCCCCGGCCCCCTGAACGTTCCATAAAAACGGCTTTATTGGCAGTTTCGGTTCATTCCCGCTGTCCCCGGCCCGCGGCAGAGCCCCGGCAGGAGACCGCCCCATCCCCGGGCGGGGGTTCCCCCGTGTCGCCCCCACCGGCCTCAGCCGGGGGTTCGGCCGTCCCGGAGCCACGGGCGGCAGAACAGGCCGGAATCCTGTTGGGGGCCCTCCCGATGGGACCCCCAGTGCATCCCGGCACATTCCGGTGCTCAGCATGTGGCACTGGCAGACAACCAGGCCCCCAGGCACATCCTGGCACATCACAGTGTCCAGGACTCACCACCGGCAGCGGCTGGAGCCACCGGCGTGTCCTGGCACGTCCCGGCACATCCCGGTGCTCAGGATGTGGGGCTGGAAGCCACCGAAGTCCTTGGCACCTCCTAACACATGCCAGTGGAGGGTGCCAAGGATGCAGCACTGGCAGTCACGAGGGAACCAGGCACATCCCAGTGCTCAGGTTGCACCACTGGCAGCTACCAGGTCCCCTAGCACATCCCAGTGCCAGGACTCACCACTGACAGTCCTCAGAGTCCTGGCATCTCCCAGCACATCCTGGTACTCAGGATGCACTGCTGGAAGCCACAGAAGCTCCTGGCACATGCCAGAACATCCCAGTGCCCAGGATTCAGCACTGGCACCTCCTCGTGCTGAGGACACATCACTGACAGCTGTAAGGACCCCTGGCACATCCCAGTGCTCAGGATGTGCCACTGGCAGCCACCAGACCCCCTGGCACCTCCCAGCACATCCCAGTGCTCAGGATGTGGCGCTGGCAGCCACCAGACCCCCTGGCACATCCCGGTACTCAGGGGCAGAGAGTGGGGGGTTCTGGCCAGCCCAGCTGGGGCCCAGTGATGCCGGAGCCAGTCCCTGTGCCCACCCCAGAGCTGGTGGCGGTGCCAGTCCCTGTGCCAGCAGTGCCCATCCCCGTGCCAGTGCGGCCGTGGGTGCGTTCGTGGCGCTCCAGGTGAGTCTTGCGGGTGAAGCCGCGGCCGCAGCGGGTGCAGCGGTGGGGCCGCAGCCCGGTGTGCACGGCCTCGTGCCGGCCCAGGTTGGTCTTGGAGCTGAAGCGGCGCCCGCAGCGGGCACAGGCGTGGGGGCGGGTGCCCGTGTGCACCAGCAGGTGCCGCGCCAGGTGAGCCTTGCGCCCGAAACCGCGCCCGCACTGTGGGCAGGAGAAGGGGCGCTGGGCAGGGGGTGCCTGTGGGGCGGGCTGGGGGTCCTGGGCGAATGGGCACTGGGCAGGGGACACCTGGGGCATGTGCTGGGGGTCCTGGGTGAAGGGGTGCTCAGTGCTGGGCACCTGCAGCAGGTGCTGGGGGTTCTGGGTGAAGGGGCTCTGGCTGGGGGGCACCTCTGGCAGGCGCTGGGGGTCCTGGACACCGGGCACCTGTGGGGACTGTGAGAGGTGCTGGAGGTCCTGGGCACTGGGCGCCTGCGGCGGGTGCTGGGGGTCCTGGGTGCGGCCACGGCCACACTTGGCACTGGGCACCTGTGGCAGGTGCTGGGGGTCCCGGGCACTGGGTGCCTGCAGTGGGTGCTGGGGGTCCTGAGCGCAGCCGTGGCCGCACTCGGCACAGCCCAGGGGTCGGTTCTCCAGGTGCTGCCACGGGTGTGGTGCCGGGCTCTGCTTCCAGCTGAGGCTCATCCCGCACTGGGAGCAAGGGAGAGGCTTCTCCTCGGCAGGGACATCCCTGTCCCCGCCCCCATCCGGGTGTCCATCCAGGTGTCCATTCCCATCCCCCGGCACCGGTGCCAGCCCCGCGTGCAGCCGCGGGTGCGACGCCGGGCTCTGCTTCCAGGTGAGGCTCATCTCGCAGCCCGGGCAGGGCAGCAGCTTCTCCTCGGGGGGCACCTCCCCGTGCCCGTCGCGGTGCCCCTGGGCAGGCTCGCCGTGCAGGCGCAGGTGGCGCAGGAGGTGCTGGCGGTGGGCGAAGCGGCGGGCGCAGCGCGGGCAGGGGTGCGGCCGCTCCCCGGTGTGGGTGCGCAGGTGCCGGTCCAGGTGTGTTTTCTTGCGGAAGCGGCGGGCGCAGCGCGGGCAGGGGTAGGGCCGCTCCCCGGTGTGCGTCCGCAGGTGGGAGCGCAGGTGGATGCGCTGGCGGAAGCGGCGCCCGCAGTGGGGGCAGGGGAAGGGGCGCTCGCCCGTGTGCACCCGCAGGTGCCGCGTCAGGTGCGCCTTCTTCCCGAAGGCCTTCCCGCACTGCGAGCAGGAGAAGGGCCGCGGGGTGAGCTGGGGGCAGCGCTCGTGCCCCACGGGGACGGGGCCCATCCCGAGGCCCATGCCGATCCCAGGGCCGATCCCGATCCCGGTGCTGAAGCCGATCCCGATCCCGGTGCCATCCAGGCGCTGCCCCAGCCCCCAGGTTGGCAGCACTCCGTATCCCAGCTCCTCCGGGCACGGTTCCTCCGCTTTGCAGGCACCGGCGATTCCGGGTGTCCCAGCAGGATGGGGGGGACGGCGCCAGGAAGCGGCTGCGGAGCCAGGGGGCCTCAGTTCCGGCTGCCCAGGCCTCGTCCTCATCCTCCTCCTCCACCTTCACCTTCCGCACCAGCCAGTGCCCTGCGGGGACACGGAGGGGCCGTGCCAGGGATGGGATGTCCCGGCACGGACATCGGAACCAGGACACAGTAACTGTCAGCCGAGGACCCGGAGCTGCCACCGGCCCTGGGACACAGTGACCATCAAGGCCAGCGGCACCAGGGACACGGTGACTGCCACCCAAAGACTCAGCACTGCCACCAGCCCCAGGACGGGGTGACAGTGACCATGTGGCCCTGGTGTTCCCAGGGGACCCCTGGCAGTGCCAGTGTCACAGCCGTGTTCCTCACCTGAGCCGTGGAGCTCCGGGTCTTCCAGATTGTCCCCATCACCTTCAGGGGTCACCTCCACCTTGGGGACCACCGGCCACACTGCGGGAACAAAGAGACACAGCCAGGTCTTCTCCCTGCTCCAGGGTGGCCCCAAGTGCCCCGGGACCACCCTGGTGCCCACTTGACACCCCCCAGGACCCCAGTGCCCACCTGAGCTGGCACATCCCGGTGCCTGCATCTCCTCCAGCTCCACCTTGGCCACGGTAGGACCTGCAGGGGGTGGGGGGTAGCACCAGGTGAGACCCCCAGACCCGAACTGGGGATCCCCCTGCACCCTCCCCAGAGGTTGGGCTCCCCAGGACGCCCAGGACCCCAGCACGTACCCAGGGCACAGTGGGGGTCAACGCTGTCCTGCATGGTGGCTCCAGGGGGTTCAAGGAGGGTTTGCGGGGGTCCCGGGGGGTTCCGTGGGGTGCGGGGGTTGAGCGCTCAGCGGGGCTGTGGGAGGCAAGAGCCGTGGGCTCGCTCGGGGGGCCGGGGGTCCCGCGGAGCCCCCCAGCCAAGTGATGGGGATCCGGAGGCGTGCAGGGGGTCCCCGCCAGCCCTGACTCCTCCCAGCGAAGAGGGGTCTCAGACCCCCTACCCCAGGAAACGCCCCGGGGTCCCCCACTGGGGGTTTCCCCGTCCTGGTTCCCTCAGCAGCTCACCCCCCCGCTCTTCTCCGCCCCCGCAGGTCCCCGTAACCCCACCCAAGCCATCCCTGCCCTTTCAGTCCCCAGGCAAGTCCCCAGCCCCTCAGTCCCCCTGTCCCCACCACAGCCTTTTTGTCCCCCACTGTCGCCCCACGCCCTTCCCGTCCCCGCCCCCAATCCTGCACCACCCCCGGTCCCTCCTCCCTTCCCGCACCCACCCCGCCGGTCCCGGTCGCGGCCCTGATCCGGTCCCGGTCCCGGTCGCGGTGCCCCCCGTTCCCGCAGCCTCGGGGCACGCCCGGCCCCACCGGCTCCGCCGCCGCCGCCACCGGCCCCGCCCCCGCGGTGGCCGCCGGTCCCCGCCCCCGGGACCGCCCCCGCGCCGCGCCCTGGCTGTCCACCCCCGTGTCCCCCATTGTCCCCTCCCGTGTGACCCCCGTGCCCCTCCGCACCCCCCGCCCCGTGCCGTACCCGGTGTGTTCGCCACGGAGGGGACGCGGACACGGCTGGGGACAGGATGGGGGGGCGTGGGGACACGGGCAGGGACATGAGGACACGGGGTGGACACGGGACAGAGACAGGAGGACACGGGGACAAGGGACAGGGATATGAGGACACGAGGGGCATGAGAACACAGGGGGATAAGGGACAGGGACATGGGGACCCAGGGGGTGACACGGAGGGGACAATGGCAAGGGCAAGGACACGAGACAGACACGGAGGGAATGGGGGAGACGCGGGACAGAGACTGTGGACTTGGGGGACACTGGGGAGGACATGGGGGGACAGAGGACAGGGATATGGGGGACACAGGACAGGGAGTGAAAATATGGGGGCACCCCATGCAGAGACATGGAGGGACACAGGGGCACATGGAGGGACAAGGGGACACAGGGCAGGGAGATGGAGACACGTGAGGGGACATCGGGCGATACGGATCAGGGACACAGGGACACAGGGGTACATGGAGAGACACAAGAGTGGGAGGGGGGGCATGGGGGGACACAGAACAGGGAGTGAATATCTGGGGGACATGGTGCAAGGACATGGAGGGACACTGGGGGGACATGGAGGGGACATGAAACAGAGATATGAGGGGACACAGGAGGACACGAGGGGAAACAGAGGGACACAGGACAAGGACATTGGAAGGCACAGGACAGGGGGACACAGGGGGACAGAGGGGAACACAGGACAGGGACATGGGAACAAAGGGGACCGAGTGTGACCAGGACCCGCAGTGCCACCACATCCGTGTCCCCCGCCCCGTGCCGGATCCTGGATGTCCCATGCCATGACCTTCTCCCAGGAAACAGGGAGATGTCACCCTGATGTCACCGTGTTCTCCCCCCAGCTGCCAGCTGGGCCCAATCAGTGTCTCCTCAGCTGGTGGCACTTCTGGGGACTTTCCATAAATTCCAGAGCCTCTCAGCAGCGCCAGAGCTGGGGCCGGTGAGTGACATCGGGGTGGGTGACACTGGGAGCATTCCTGTACCTGGGGGGTCCCAGTCACAGGGGTGGCCCTGGAATTGTGACAGTGGAGTCACCCGGATCCCACTTTTCCAGGAAAAAGTGAGATCTGGCATGGCTGGAGTGACCTGTCTGGGCGTGGCCAGGGCGGCTGTGGCTGTCACGGTGCTGTGGGTGACGGTGGTGGGGGCAGCCACGGGGTGAGGAACTGGGAATGGGTGTGGGAGGTGGGAAAGGGAACTGGGCATGGGAGGTGGGAACTGGGTCTGAGGGATAGGAACTGAGAATGTGGGTTGGGAGCTGGGAATGGGGGGCAGGAGCTGGGAATGGGAATTGGGATGGGAAATGGGAGCGGGGAATGGGATGGGTGCTGGAAGATGGGATGAATCCCAGGATGGGTGCTGGGAGCCAGGATGGATGTCAGGAGTTGGGATGGGTGCTGGGAGCAGGGATGGATGCCAATGCATCCCAGAATGGGTGCTTAGATGCAGGCTGGGAGCTGGGATGGGTGCCAGGAGTGGGGATAGGGGTGGTGAGTGCCAGCTGGGTGCTGGGATGGATCTGGGATGGGTGCTGGGATGGATGTGGGATGGGTGCTGGGATGGATGTGGGATGGATGTGGGATGGATGTGGGATGGATGCTGGGATGGATGCTGGGATGGGTGCTGGGATGGACCTGGGATGGATGCTGGGATGGATGTGGGATGGGTGCTGGGATGGGTGCTGGGATGGATCTGGGGTGGATGTGGGATGGGTGCTGGGATGGGTGCTGGGATGGGTGTGGGATGGATGTGGGATGGGTGCTGGGATGGGTGCTGGGATGGGTGCTGGGATAGATCTGGGATGGATCTGGGATGGGTGCTGGGATGGATCTGGGATGGATGTGGGATGGGTGCTGGGTCCCGGCTGGATGCCGGTGTGTGCCCGGCAGGCGCTGGTGCGAGCGGCTGGTGCAGGTGACGGAGCAGGAGGAGGTGACGCCGCGCCGCGAGGCCGCGGTGCCGTGTGCCACTCTGTACCAGTACAGCCTGGCCGGGTGGCAGCTGGACAGGGACCGCACGCGCCAGGGCCACAGGGACCCCTCTGGGGACACCAAAACCGCCCCCCCTGGGGACACTGGCACTGACACCCCTGGGGACACCAGCACTGGCCCCTCCCTCTGCTACATCTACCGGTGAGCCCAGGGAGACGTGGCACGGGGTGACCCTGGGTGGCACTGAGGTGGCACCTGGTGACACCGGGGTCTCCCCACAGCCCCCCAGAGACGCGGCCGGTGGTGCGGAGTCACACAGAGCGCGGCTGCTGTCCCGGCTGGAGCGGCCCCCGCTGCACCGAGGGTATGGGGATGTGGGGGTGGCACTGTGGGATGTCCCCAGGCTGCCATCGCCACTGCACCATTCCCACTGGGTGCCAGGAGCTGGGATGGGAGCTGGGATGGGTGACAGGAGCTGGGATGGGAACCGGGATCGGTGCCATTCCCACTGTGTCATTCCCACCGGGTGCTGGGATGGGTGCTGGGAGCGGGGGTAGGTGCCAGGATGGGAGCTCAGATGGGTAATGGAAGCGGGAATGGGACCCAGGATGGGATCTAGGATGTGTTCTGGGAGTCAGGACTGATGCTGGGATGGATGCTGGGAATTGGGATGGGTGCTGGGATGAGGTCCGGGATAGGTGCTGGAATGGGAATTGGGATGGGCACCATCCTCCGCGTGTCACCCAGTGTGACCCAACGCCACCCCACCCCACAGGCCCGGGCTCTCTGGGCCGCTGTTTTGGCACGTGGCAGTGCCAGGATGGTGCCAGTGGCCATAACGGCAGCACCATGAGCCGTTCCGAGTGCTGCCGGCAGCCCTGGGGGCACAGCTGGCGCCGTGGGGACCCCGGGGACACCGGGGACACAGGGCCCTGCCTGCCCTGCACCCGCCTGCCCCTGGGCGGGGACGGAGGGTCCCCGCGGCACCGCAGCCCCCCGGCCACGTGCCAGGCCTGGGCCAGGACGCGGTTCCGCACCTTCGACGGGCGGCACTTCGGCTTCGCCGGGACCTGCCGGTACAGCCTGGCCACCGCCACCGACGGCACCTGGGACGTCACCATTGGCCTCGGCCACCCCCGGGTACGGGGTCATCCCCAGGGGGTGGGATGGGGCTGGGGGCGGGAATGGGTGCTGGGAGCTGGGATGGGTTTGGGGACAGGTGCCGGGAGGTGGGATGGGTGCTGAGATGGGTCCTGTCCCTGTGGGGTGGGTGCTGAGATGGGTCCTGTTCCTGCCCTCAGGGGCTGTGACACACCTGAGTGTCCTGTCCCCATCCCCACTGTCCCCGGCACACCTTTGTGCCCCAGTGACATCCCTGGTGTCCCCAGCATACCTGTGTGTCCCGGTGCCACCCCTGATGGCTGTGACACAGCTGTGTGTCCCGGTGCCATCCCAGTGACACGGTGCTGCCCCAGGTGCTGCACATGACCTTTGGGACAGACACGCTGGTGGCCCGGGGACGGAACGTGTCGGTGAACGGGGTGGCGGTGCTGGAGGGACACCCCTACCTGCACAGAGGTGCGTCCCCCAGGCCACCAGCCCCTGGGAGGGTGGGGATGAGCCCCCAGTGACCCTGGGTGGCACCGGGACTCTGTGATGGATCAGCGGTGGCGGCAAAGCTGCCACCAGGATCCCTGTCCCCATCCCGGCCCCATCCCGCCCTGCAGGGCTCGGTGTCACCTGGCCAGGGGACTGGGTGGCCGTGGCCAGCAGCCTGGGCGTGCGGGTGGCCTGGGACGGGCACCTGGCGGTGACGGTGACGGTGGAGCCCGAGCTGCGCGGGGGCACCTGGGGGCTCTGCGGCACCTACACCGATGACCCCGTGGGTAAGTGCCACCTGCCCAGTGCCACCCCACCCCACGTGAGGACTGGGGGGACACCCCCTGTACCCCCACCCTCCCTGTCCCCCCAGACGACTTCATGAGCCCCAGTGGGGACGTCGCTCCCTTTGCCGCCTCCTTTGGCAACGCCTGGAAGGTGCCGGTGGCTGGCACAGAGGTACCTGGGCAGTGCCACACACCCGGGGGCGGGGTGACCCCCCCGTGCCCATTTGGGGGTCCCCGGGTGTCACCCCGCGCTGAGGGACCCCCCCTGCTCAGCCCCCGTGCAGGGACGTGCCAGAGGGAGGCTCCAGGTGTGGCCCAGGTGAGGTGGCACCTGCGGTGGCCACGTGTGGGCAGCTGCTGGCCCAGCCCTTCAGGCAGTGCCACGGCGAGGTCAGCGGCTCCTGGAGTGGGGTCGGGAGGCCTGGGGGAGGGGTCCCAAGGGGTCTGGGGGGGTACTGGGAAGGTCCTGGGAGTGTCCCGGGATGTCCTGAGGGATCCTGGAGGTGTCCTGTGCTGTCCTGGGGGATACTGGAAGGTCCCAGTGGGTTCTGGGGGGTTCTGAGGGGTCCAGGGGGTCTCCAAGGGGTTCAGGAGGGTCCCTGGAGGTCCGGGAGCAGTTCTGAGGGTCCTGGAGAGTCATGGAGGGGTCTAGGGGATTCGGGGATTCCTGGAAGATTCTAGGGGGTCTGGGGGTTCCCAGGGGCTTATAGGGGGTCCTCACCTCCACCCCCCTCCAGGTGGACCCCAGCGGGTTCTATGCAGCGTGTCTGGCACTGCTGTGCGGGGACCCTGGACCCTCGTCCCCCCCCGGTCCCCTGTCACCCCCCCGTCCCCTGTCATCCCCTGGTCCCCTGGCGTTCCCCGCTCCCCTGTCTCCCCCCGACCCCCTGTCGCCCCCCGTCCCCCCGCCCCCCGCCGCCTGCGACACCTTCGCCGCCTACGCCCGGGAGTGCTCCCGCCGCCAGCTCGATGTCACCTGGCGCCGGCCCGGCTTCTGCGGTAGGAACTGCGGGGGGGACCCTCCTCGACCCCTCCCCACGGTGCCACCGGTGCCACCGCGGTGTCCCCTCGGCAGAGCGCCGCTGCGGCGCCGGGCAGCGCTTCTCCGACTGCGTGTCCCTGTGCCCGGTCACCTGTGCCACCGCGGGCAGCGCCGAGGAGGGGACGTGCCAGCGCCACTGCCACGGCGGCTGCGAGTGCGGCCCGGGGCTGGCCCGGGACGGGGACGTCTGTGTCCTCCCCACCGCCTGCCCCTGCCACCACCGGCGACAGCGCTACGGGCCCGGCCAGAGCATCCGCCAGCGCTGCAACCGCTGGTGGGTGACACCGCGGGGACAGCAGCCATCGGAGGGGGACCCGGCGGATGGGCAGCACCAGGATCCCTGTGGCGTGTCCCCTCCCTAGCCCGGGATCCCCTGCTGTGTCCCTGCGGTGACCCGACTATCCCAGTGTCCCTGTGGCGTGTCCCCCCGCCCAGCCCGGTGTCCCCTGTGATGTACCCTCTTCACTCCAGTGTCGGCTGTGGCACGTGCCCTCCCAGTCTGGTGTCCCCTGTGGTGTCCCCCACTACCCCGGCATCCCTGTGACATGTCCCCCACTACCCCAGTGTCCCCTGTGGTGTGTGCCCCACCCCGGGGTCCCCTACAGCATGTCCCCCTCCCTCCCAGTGTCCCCTACCGTGTCCCTCCTCCCCCCAGTGCCCCCCCCAGTTTCCCCGCCGGTGACCAGTGTCCCCGGTGTCCCCAGCACGTGTGAGGGCGGGCGCTGGCGCTGTGAGCAGCAGCGGTGCCCGGCCGAGTGCGCGGTGCTGGGGGGGCGTCACTTCGTCACCTTCGACCGCCGCCGCTTCTCCCTCCCGGCCCCCTGCGCCCACACCCTGGTGGAGGTGAGGGGCCGGGGGGACTCGGGGGTGGCTGTGGGGGTGGCCGCGGTGGCCGCCGTGGCAGGGCTCTGCCCGGGGGTGTCACCGTGTCTCTGGCCGCCAGGACTTCGTGGGGAGGCGGCTGCTGATCACGGCTGAGCACGAGCACTGTGACAGCCACCGGCCCCTCGGCTGTCCCCGCACCCTCACTGTCACCACCAGCCGCACCACGGCCCGTCTGCACGGCACAGGTGACACACCTGGGCAGCACCGAACTGGGACCGGGGTCATCCCTGCACCCTGGTGGCAGCCATCCTAATGCCTGTCTCCAATGTCCCCAACGTCCCCATGGCAGTGGGTGCCATCCCAGTGCCCGCCCCCACTGTCCCCATAGTGATGGGTACATCCTGATGCCCACCCCCATGGTGCCACCGCTGTCCCCCTCAGGGGAGGTGACAGTGGCCGGGCAGGAGGTGACACTGCCCTTCTCCGGTGCTGGGCTGAGCATCCGCCGCGCGTCCTCGGCCTTCCTGCACCTGCAGGTGCCCGACGCCCACCTGCTCTGGGGGCTGGGGACCCCCCACACCTACATCACCCTCCAGCCCGCCATGGCCGGCACGGTGAGTGGGCCCCCGGGGCCCCCGGGATGCTCCCGGTGGGATGGGGTTCCTGTGGGATCCCGTGGGATGGGGGTGTGGTGAGATGAGGGGCCGGTGGGCTCACCGTGACACATCTGTGCAGGTGCGGGGGCTCTGCGGGACCTTCACCGGGGACCAGCGGGACGAGTTCACGACGCCGGAGGGGGATGTGGCACCGGGAGTCGCCGACTTCGCCAACGCCTTCCGTGCGGCCGGAGCCTGCCCGGCGCTGGGCCCCGGCATTCCCGACCCCTGCCACGTCTTTCCCGGGAGCCGGGAGCGCGCCGAGGCTGCCTGCGCCGTGCTCTTGGGGCCGGCGTTCCAGGTGAGGGGCCTGGCACAGTGGGGAGCGGGGATGGGTGACGGGGCTGTGACCGTGTCCCCCCGGCACAGCGGGGAGCGGGGATGAGTGACGGGGCTGTGACATGTCCCCGGCACAGCGGGATGGGTGACGGGCTGACCGTGTCCCACCGGCACAGCGGGGATGGGTGACGGGGCTGTGACCGTGTCCCCCCGGCACAGCGGGGAGCGGGGATGGGTGACGGGGCTGTGACCGTGTCCCCCCGGCACAGCGGGGAGCGGGGATGAGTGACGGGGCTGTGACCGTGTCCCCCGGCACAGCGGGGATGGGTGACGGGGCTGTGACCGTGTCCCCCCGGCACAGCGGGGAGCGGGGATGGGTGACGGGGCTGTGACCGTGTCCCCCGGCACAGCGGGGAGCGGGGATGGGTGACGGGGCTGTGACCGTGTCCCCCCGGCACAGCCGTGTCACCGCGCCGTGGATCCGGAGCCGTTCCTGGAGCTGTGCCGCTGGGACGTGTGTTCCTGCCGGGAGCAGGAGCCGGAGCGCTGCCTGTGCTCGGCACTCGGAGCCTACGGCCGGGAATGTGCCCGGGAGGGGACAGAGCTGCACTGGAGGAACCGGAGCCTCTGCGGTGGGACAGGACGGGACTGGGAAAGGGGATGGGAGGGGAAGGGAGGGGAGGGGATGAGGTAACACGCCTAACACCCCCGTGACCCCTCTTTTCCCCCCAGACGAGCCGTGCCCCGGGGGGCAGCAGTTCCAGGACTGTGGAGGTCCCTGCGGCCGTTCCTGCTCGGAGCCCCCCGGCGCTGGGGACTGTCCCCCACCGGACAGCCTCTGTGTCCCTGGCTGCCGCTGCCCCCAGGGCTGCTGCTGGCCCAGGGGGACCAGTGTGTGCCCCCGCCGCCTGCCCGTGCCCCCGCGGCGCCCGCCTGTACCCCCCCGGCGCCCGCCTGCACCGCGGCTGCCAGGCCTGGTGGGTCCTGGGGAAATCTGGGGGCCCGGGGAGGTCTGGGGGGCCGGGGGGTCACCCACAGGACAGAGTCACCCGGGCAGGACATGGCGGTGCCGGTGACACCTGATGAAACCCCCTCCGGCCCGGTGTGACCCCCTGCGGGACGGGGGGCTTTTGTCCTGTGTCCCACCGCGGGGACAGCGACGGGGACCCGACACCCCGGGGGGTGGGAGGAGGAGGCTCCCGGGGGAGTGGGCTCGGTGTGATGTGGGTGCTGGGGGATGAGGATGGGGATGCAGGAAGCCTGTTGTGGGGGACAGTGGGATTTGGGGTGCTGGGGTGTGGGCATGGGGGTGGGGGGCCTGGAGCATGGTGGGCTTGGTGGGATTTGAGGTGCAGGGACCGGGGTGTGGGGAGTGGCGACGTGTTGAGGGTGCTGGAGGGTGGGGATGGGCATGTGGGGACCAGGGTGTGGGGGTCTCAGTGGGATGTGGGTGCTGGGGGCTGAAGCTGGGTGGGGAGGGTTACTGCTGTGGGGGCTCGATGGGTTGGGGGTGCTGGAGATGGGGGCACGGGACCCCGGTGGAGGGGAGGCAGTGGTGAGGGGGCTCAGTGGGATTTGAAGGATGGGGATGGGGGTGCAGGGACCGTGTCTCGGGGGTCCCAGTGGGACAGGGGTCCCTCCCGGCCCCCCGCAGTGTGTGCGCAGGGGGGTCGTGGCGCTGCACCCCCGCCCCGTGTCCCCCCGCCCCGCGCTGCCCCCGGGGCTACTCCACGCGCCGGGGTCGTGCCTGCGCCGCTGCGACCCCGCCGAGCCCAGCGGCACCTGCGGGGGCCCCGCCGACGGCTGCGTCTGCCCCCCCGGGACCCTATTCCTGGTGCGTGACCCCCCCGGGGGGAGGGTGGGGATGGGGGACTCCCCCGAGCCCCACTCACCCCGGTCTGGCTGCAGGATGGGCAGTGCGTGTCGCCGGACGAGTGTCCCTGTCACCACGGGGGGCAGCTGTACCCCCCCAACGCCACCATCGCCCATGACTGCAACACCTGGTGGGACCCCCGGACACCCCCAGACCAACCCGTACCCCTGCCAGCCCCGTGGTGACACCCAGACCTCTGCCAAAGCCCGGGGACACCGCCAGACCCCTCCAACCCTCAGGGACACGCCCGGACCTCTTCCAGCCCCCGCGGGGACACCCCCAAACCTCTACCAGCCTCCCTGGACCTCTTCCAGCCCCCGCGGGGACTCCCCCAAACCTCTACCAGCCTCCCCAGACCCCTCCCACCCCCATGGGGACACCCCCAGACCCTTACTAGCCCCTCAGGGACACCCCCAGCCCCGTGCCACTGCCCCCGGTGACCCCGCGGTGGCACCGAGCCTGTCCCGCAGCGTGTGCCGGCGGCAGCGGTGGCACTGCGGGCGCGGGGAGTGCGCGGGGACGTGCGTGGCCACCGGGGACCCCCACTATGTCACCTTCGATGGCCGCGCCTTCACCTTCGCGGGGGATTGCGAGTACCTGCTGGCCCGGGAGGCCAGCGGGCTCTTCGCTGTCACCGTCGAGAACGTCCCCTGCGGGGCCACCGGCGTCACCTGCACCAAGTCCGTGGTGGTGGTGATGGGGAACACCGTGGTGCACATGCTGAGGGGTGAGGGGACGCGGGGGGACACGGGGACATGGGAGGACATGAGGGACAGAGGGGGACATGGGGGACACCGTGGTGCACGTGCTGAGGCTGAGGGGGGAGAGGGGGACGCAGGGGAAGGACACGGGGACATGTGTGGGTCCCCCACGGTGACATCCTGGCTTGCCCGTGGTAGGGTGGGGGCTGCAGGGGGATGGGGACATGGAGAGACACGGGGGACACGAGGGGGACCATGGGGGGCCGTGGGGGACACGGGGACGTGGCAGGGTGACCTCCAGTGACATCCCAACCTTGTGGGGCACGCGGGGGGACATGAGGGGACACAGTGGGACACGGTGGATTGTGGGGGGCCGTGGGGGACACGTGGGGGTGACCGTCGGTGCCGGCCTGGCAGGGCGGGAGGTGACGGTGAACGGGGTGGCCGTGCGACACCCCAAGGTGTTCGGGGGGTCGGGGCTGGCGCTGCAGCGCGCGGGGCTCTTCCTGCTGCTCCTCACGCGCCTGGGCGTGGCCGTGCTGTGGGACGGAGGTGAGACCCCCGGGGGGCCACGGGGTGCTCTGGGAGGCTATGGGGGGACCATGGAGGTGACCATGCTGTGGGACGGAGGTGAGACCCTGGGGGGTCATGGGAGGCCATGGGACTGGGGGGTTCTGGGAGAGGGGTGGGACCCCCCCAGGGGCACATGGGTGGCACCGGAGTGGAGGGACTCTGGGACAGAGGTGAGACCCGGGTGGGGTGCAGGGGGTCCCCAGTACGGGGGGGGCATGAGGGATTCCCTGATACTGGTGGTGCCACGGAGGGGTCACCATGGCGGATCCCCCGTGCCATGGGGAGGGTCCCTGGTGCCGTGGGTCACACGGGGACCCCGCCCCTCCCCGGTGCCCCCCAGGGACCCGCGTGTACGTGCGCGTGTCCCCGCGGCTCCGCGGGCGCCTGGCCGGGCTCTGCGGGAACTTCGACGGCGACGCCGAGAACGATTTCGGGAGCCGGGAGGGGGCTCTCGAGGCGACCCCCGAGATCTTCGGGGACTCCTGGCGCCTCAGCCCCCTCTGTCCCGAGGCCGATGGGCACCGCCAGCACCCCTGCGACGTACGGGGGGACACGGGGGACGTGGGACGGGGGGGACAGGGAGACGTGGGGGGCTGACAGAGGGACACGGGGGGACGCAGGAGGACGTGGGGGCCTGACACAGGGGATGGACAGGGGGACACGGGAGGTGGATGGGAAGACACAGGGCCACACGGGGGAGTGAATGGGGGACACACACGGGGGCTGATGGGGTATGTCCCCTCCAGGACAGCCCCCAGCACTCGGCCTGTGCCACATGGGGGACACCGGCACTGGATGGGGGGACACGGGGAGACACGGGGGGGAGGATGGGGGGACATGGGGGGTTGTCCCGCGTGGGGGACACGGGGGGGTTTGAAGGGGTGTGTCCCCCTCAGGACAACCCGCAGCGTGCAGCCTGGGCGCGGGGGCGCTGCGGGGTCCTGCGGCACCAGCTCTTCAGCCCCTGCCACGACCTGGTGCCCCCCCAGCGCTTCTACGAGTGGTGCCTGTTTGACGCCTGCGGGTGAGTTTGGGGGGCCGGGGGGTCCCCAGGCCCCAGGGGCGGGTCCCGGGCCCTGTCCCACTGCGTGTCCCCAGGTGTGACAGCGGGGGGGACTGCGAGTGCCTGTGCACGGCCCTGGCCGCCTACGCCGAGGAGTGCGGCCGGCGGGGGAGGCCCCTGCGCTGGCGGAGCCAGGGGCTGTGCCGTGAGTACCCACACCGGAGGGCACCGGGGCGGGCCGGGGGTACCGGGAGTCCGGGGGGTCCCAGCCCCACCCTGCCCTGGTGAGCCAGGGGCTGTTCCGTGAGCCTGGGGACAGAGGGCCAGGGGGTCCCGAGGGTCCGGGGGTGCTGGAGGGTACTGGGGAAAACAGAGGGGTCCGGGCTGGGGCCCCCGTGGGATGTGCCAGGGATGGGGGCTGGGCGATGGGGCTGGGGGTGCAGGAGCCCCCCATGGGGTGGGAGGGGGATCCAGGCTCTGGGTCACAGGGGGTCCTGGATGTGGGTCGGGGGATCCCAGTTGGGGGTCATGGGTGGTCCTGGCTGTGTGCTGGGGGGTCCCAGCTCCCCTAACACCCCCCCACACTCTCTGCAGCCCTACAGTGTGAGGGGGGGCAGGAGTACAACCCCTGCGGCCCCCCCTGCCCCCCCACCTGCCGGGACCTCGACCAGGACCCCCCCGAGCTCTGCGGGGCCCTGGGGTGTCTCGAGGGGTGTTTCTGCCCCCCTGGGCAGGTCCTGCACGGTGAGGAGGGGGCGGGGGATGGGGGGTCTGGGGGGCGCTGGGAGGGGGCTGAGGTAGGGGCTGGAGGAGGGGGCTGGGGCAGGGAGGAGGGGGCTGGAGGAGGCCTGGAGGGAGGCAGGAGGGCTGGCGGTGGTCCTGGTGCCAGCCCATGTCCCCCTCACCCCCGGCAGATGGGGCGTGTGTGGACCCCCAATCCTGTCCCTGCTTCTGGGACGGCTTCGCCTTCCCAGCTGGAGCCACGGTGACCCAGGGCTGCAGCAACTGGTGAGGCACGGGGGCACTGGGATACTGGGATACTGGGACACAGGGACATGGGGGCACTGGGATACTGGGACACAGGGACATGGGGGCACTGGGGTCTTGGGATACTGGGACTCCAGGACACTGGGACATAGAGATGCTGGGATATGAGGATACTGGGACTCCAGGACACTGGGATATGGGAATACTGGGATGCCCGGGCATCGGGACACCGTGGTAACGGGACACTGGGATACCAGGGCACTGTGACACTGGGATGGTGGGATACCAGAACATCAGGACATGGGGACACTGAGACACTGGTCCCCTTGGCCCCCCGTGTGTCTGATGTGTCCCCCCCAGCACGTGTCTCGAGGGGCGCTGGCAGTGCCCCCCGACCCCGTCCCCGTGTCCCGCCGTTCCCGGCTGTGCCCCGTGGGAGTTCCGGTGCCGGCAGGGGGGTCTCTGCGTGCCGGGGGCCTGGCTCTGTGACAACGAGGACGACTGCGGGGACGGCTCAGACGAGCTGTGCGACCCCCCCTGCGCCCCCCACCAGCCCCGCTGCCCCGGCGGGCGCTGCCTGCCCTGGGGGGCCCGGTGTGACGGTGTCACCCACTGCCCCGACGGCTGGGACGAGGCAGGGTGTCCCCCCCAGCCCTGCGCCCCCCCCGAGTTCGCCTGTGCCGGGGGGCGCTGCCTCCCCCCCGCCCGCGTCTGCGACGGGCGGCTCGACTGCCCCCCCGGGGACCACTCGGACGAGGAGGGTGAGACCGCGGGGGGTCCGGGGGGGGCCCGGGGGGGTCCCTGGGAACCAGAGAATTGCCTGTGCCCCACAGAGGGGGGTCTGAGTCCCACAACCCTCCAAGTCTGTGGCCCATAGCGGGGGTCCCTGAGCTCCACAACCCTGAGGGTCCATGGACCACGGTGGGGGAGGGGGTCTGTGCCCCACGATGGGGCGATCTAAATCCCCCAGTCCTGGGGGTCTGTTCCTCGCTGCGGGAGTGTCTGTACCCCATTGTGGGGTGTCTGTGCCCCATTGTGGGGTGTCCGTGCCCCATTGTGGGGTGTCTGTTCCCACTGTGGGGTGTCTGTGCCCCATTGTGGGGTGTCCGTGCCCCACACGGGGGTCCCCTCCCTGCAGGCTGTGCCCCCCGGTGTGGGCCGGGGCAGTTCAGGTGCGCGGGGGGCCGCTGTGTCCCCTACCCCCACCGCTGCGACGGCCGCGACGACTGCGGGGACGGGAGCGACGAGCGCGGCTGCTCCTGCCCCGAGGGGCACCTGCCGTGTCCCGGGGGGGGCTGCCCCCCCCCCGCCGCGCTCTGCGACGGCCGCCGCCACTGTCCCGACGGTGCCGACGAGGCCAATTGTCCCGGTGAGGGGAACGGGGGGGTCCCCCACCCTGGGAACTCTGTCTGGGATCCCCGACCCGGGAACCCCGACCCTGGGACCCTCAATCCTGGAAATCCCGGCCTGGGACCCCCTACCTGGGTATCAGCTCAGAACCCCTCCACCCCGGGACCGCCCTGGGGTCCCCACCTGAGTGTCATCCTCACCCTGGGACCCCCCCCCACCTCGGGACCCCCTCTCGTAACTCCCCCACCCAGGGCTCCCCCCCGGCACCATCCCCTACCCGGACTCCCCTCTGGGGACCCTCCACCCTGGCAGTTCCCGCCCCTGGACCCCCGCTTTGGGGACCCATCCATCCCGGGACCACCTGTGGACCCCTCTTTGAGAACCCCCGTTTTGGGGACCCCTCCCGGCAGCCCCCGCCCCCTGGACGCCCCACCTGGGACCCCCGCTTTGGAGATCCCCCCCTACGGCGGCGGTGTCACCGCTGTCCCCCTGTCCCCAGCGCGGGCCACCTGCGCCCCCGGGACCGTGCCCTGCCCCGACGGCTCGTGCGTGGCCGAGGTCGCCGTGTGCGACGGCGCTCGCGACTGTCGCGACGGCTGGGATGAGAGTCCGGCGGGGTGCGCGGTGGCCCTGCCCCCCGCGCCGCTGTCCCCTGGCACCGCTGTCCCCGTTGGCACCGCTGGCACCGCCGTCACTGACACCGTTGGCACCGCTGGTACCGCCTCTGGCACCGCTGGCACCGCTGGCACCGCCGTCACTGACACTGTCATTGCGGCTACCACCACTGTCACCGCCGCTGTCACCGACACTGGCACCGTCACCGACACTGTGACCAGCACTGCCAACGGCTCGGCAGGTGAGGGGGCCCTGGTGACCCCTGGGGGTGGCCGGGGACTCGGTGTGAGAGGACAGGTGGGCTCCGAGGGGTGGGTGGGCTCTGGGGGCGGGTGGGCCGGATGGGGTGAGCGGGTTCTGTGGGTGGGGCAGCTCCGTGGGATTGGTGGGTCCCGGTGGGACAGGAGGGCCCAGGGACAGGTGGGTGGGTTCTGGGGGACACGTGGACTCCCCAGAGTCGGGCACGCCCTGGGGCCGGTGGTCCCCGCGGGTCGGTGGTCCTGTGGCTCTGGGGGGTTCTCTGTGCCCCCCAGTGGCGGTAGGGGAGTGGGTGGTCCCCGTGGGTGGGTGGTCCCGGCGCCTGTGCTCCCCTCGACCCCGTGTCCCCCTCCCCAGCGCCCTGTGCCCCCCGGTCCCTGCGCTGTGACAGCACCGGGTGCGTCCCATGGGGATGGCGCTGCGACGGCGACAGCGACTGTCCCGACGGCAGCGACGAGTGGGGCTGCGACCCTCCCTGCGCCCCCGGACACCTGCCCTGCGACCCCCCCTGCGCCCCTGGACACGCCCCCTGCGCCCCCACCTGCGTCCCCCCCCGTCACCTCTGCGACGGCGTCCCCCACTGTCGCGACAGTGCCGATGAGAACCCCCAGCTGTGCGGTGAGACCCCCGGGACCCCCGGTCACTTCTGGGGACACCTGGGGGAAGGGAGGTCTGGGGGTCCCCCCGAATCCGCTCCTCGGGACCCCGGGGACACCCGGGGGGTGGGACAGGGGGCTCAGCAGTGGAGGGACCCCACCGGAGGGGGCTCGACCGGGGATATCCTCCCCACCACAGCCCCCCCCTCCCCCGGGGACCTCTCAGAGACCCCCATGTCCCCCCCCGCGCAGAGCCCCGCGGTCCCGGGAGCAGCCCGGGGGGTCCTTGCGCCGAGTTCGACTGCGGGGGGGGCGAATGTGTCACCTTCCAGCAGGTAACGGAGGGCCAAGGGGGGCCGGGGCCCCCCTTCTAGTGCCACCCCGGTGTCCCCTGACCCCTCCTGACGTCACCTCGATGTCCTCTCGGCTCTCCCCGGTGTCCCCCAGCCAGTGCCACCCTCCTAACCCCTGACCCCTCCTGATGTCCCCTCGACCCTCCCACCAGTGTCCCCGATGCCCCGAACCCCCTCCTGGTGTCACCCCCGTGCCACTCCAGTGTCCCGGCGTCCCCTCGACTCTTTTTTAGTGCCACCTTGGTGTCCCCCGACTCCTTTCCGATGTCACCCCGGTGTCCCCGACCTCCCTGATGTCACCCCTCGCTGTCCCTGCCTCCCCCCGCTGTCCCCCGCTGTCCCCGCGGTGTCCCCGCAGGTGTGTGACGAGGTGCAGGACTGTGGCTCGGGGAGGGACAGGCGAGGATGCGGCCTGTGGGGTCCCTGGGGTCCCTGGGGGTCCTGCAGCCGCCCTGCGGATCCGGGGGCAGCGCCGGCGCAGGGTGTCACCAGGGTCAGCCCGGGCTGCTGCGGGGGTGCCGCGGGCCGCGCGAGCAGGAGAGACCCTGCTTCCAGCGGGCCTGCCCAGGTGAGCCGGGGGACCCGCGGGCTGGGGGTCCAGGACACCCGGGGAGGTTTGGGGGGTGGAGAGGATGGGGTTTTGGGGTCCCAGGGGTGCCGGGGGCAGCGCGGGCAGGAGTGACTCTGCTTCCACTGAGCCTGCCCGGGTGAGCGGGGGGGAACGGTGGGACCCCGGGGTTTTGGGGGGCGTCTGGGTGGTTTGGGGATCTCATGGGGTGCCTGAGGGATTTGAGAGTCCCTATGGCCTAGGCTGCACAGGGAGTTCAGGGAATTTGTGGGGGTCCCATGGACCGGGGGTGTTGGAGGGGTCCCATGGGACACCGAGAGATTTGGGGGTCCCAATGGTTCAGGCTTCACAGGGGGTTTGACAGCCCGGGGGGCCTGGGGAGTTCCGAGGCTCCCCCTGACGCCCCCCGCCCCCCGCAGTGGACGGCGAGTGGGGCCCGTGGGGACCCTGGTCCGACTGCCCGGGGGGCTGCGGGGGGGTCCGGCTGCGCAGGAGGGGGTGTCGACCCCCCCAGAACGGCGGCCGAGCCTGCGAGGAGCTGCCTGGGGGGACCCCAGGAGCCCTGGAGATGGGTGGGTGCGGAGAGGGAGGGGGGTCTGGGGCGGGCAGGGGATCCAGGAGGGCTCTGGGGACACTGTGGTGGGGGGCCAAGTGGGCTGGGGGGTCCCAGTGGGACAGGTGGGCTCCATAGACGGGGATTCCGTGGGTGGGGGGTCTTCACAGCGCGGGGGGCTTTGTGGGACAGGTGGGTCCGGTGGGATGGGGGGCTCCATAGAGGGGGGGGCTTTGTGGGACAGGTGGTCTCCGTGGCTGACCTCCTCTCTTCCCCCAGCCCCCTGCTCCCCCGGGGGGTGCCCCAACGCCTCGGAGTGCTCAGGGGGGCTGCGCCCCCTCCCCTGCGCCCCCTGCCCCGCCTCCTGCGCCGACCTGGCCGCCGCCGTCACCTGCCCGCGACCCCCGCCCTGCCGCCCAGGTGAGGGGGACCCCGGGGGGGCACCCCGAGGTGAGGGGCAGCCCCTGAGCCCCCTCCCCTCCACAGGGTGCTGGTGCCCGGCGGGGCAGGTGCTGGACGCTCCCGAGCCCGGCTCAGGGGCCGCCCGGTGCGTGTGGCCGCGGGAGTGCCCGTGCCGGGCCGGGGGGCACACGTACCTCCCGGGGGTGCCGGTGCCCCTCGGCTGCCGCCTCTGCACCTGCCTCGAGGGGCAGCTGCGACACTGCCGCCCCCTCCCCGGCTGCTCAGGTGGGTCCCGGCGCCGGGCCGTGTGCCAGGGGGACCCCCGGTGCCCGGGTGTCACCGCGGTGGTGCCGTGGGGACAGCCGGGTGTCACTGCGGTGGTGCCACGGGACCCCCTGTGACCCGGTGCCCCCCCAGTGGACTGCGGATGGTCGTCGTGGTCACCGTGGGGGGCGTGCGCGGGCACCTGCGGGACCCCCGGCGTGCAGTGGTCGTTCCGCAGCCCCTCGAACCCCCCCCGGCGCGGGGGGGGACGGCACTGCCGCGGCATCTACCGCAAGGCCCGACGGTCAGCGGGGCCCGGGGGGGGGTCGTGGGGGGCATGGGAGGTCCCCCAGGTGTGTGACGCCCCCCCCGCCCGCAGGTGCCAGACGGGGCCGTGCCGGCGGTGCCACGAGCGGGGTCGGTGGCGCGTCCCCGGCGAGCGCTGGCGGGGAGGGCCCTGCCAGGTGTGCCAGTGCCTGCCCGGCGGGGGGGTCCGCTGTGTCCCCTACTGTCCCCTCCGCGACACTGGCTGTCCCCAGGTGAGTGGGAGGCGCGGGGGGCGGGGGGCAGCCCCAGGTGGCGGTGACAGTGACGCTGTCGGTGTCCCCAAGGGCCACGTGCTGCGGGAAGGTGACGGTGGGTCCTGCTGCTCCTGCACCCCCGCGGGTGAGTGGGGGAGTCCGGGGGGTCCCGGGGGCAGCGGGAGTGACCCGAGGTGCCAGGGAGCGGGGGTGACCCTGCGACCATCGCCCCGGTGTCCGTCCCCGCTGCAGGTGACAACGCGACCTCCACGGCCAGTCCCCCCGCGATGACAACAGCACTGTCCCCCCCCGCGCCGGCCGAGCCCCCCGGCAGCCCCAGGTACGGGTGGGCACCGGGGTTGGGAAGGCTCAGGACTCGGGGGTCCTGGCAGCTGGGAGTCCCCAAGTCCGGAGGGCACCGGCGGGGGTCCCCCTGAGCCCCCTCCCATGCTCTGCTCTCTCCAGCGCCACGGCCGCTCTCGGGGGGCTTCCCTCGGGGACCCTCAGAAGTGCCGAGACCCCCCCGGAGTCCACCAGCGCAGCCGGGGACACCCCCAGAACCGTCACCCTCCCCGAGGAGATTCCGAGAGCCCCCGGCAGTGCCACGCCCCCCCCCGGAACCCCCCAGCTCCGGGCGCTGCCCTCACCGGCTCCCACGGGGGTCCCCGTCGAGACGCCCCCAGGTGAGGGACCCCGGGGTGGGGGGACAGACGGGCCCCTCGAAACAGCACCCCCAGGGATGGGGGTTCCCAGAGGGGCGGCAGCGCCCGGGTCAAGGCGGCGGTGGGGTGGGGGTGGGGGGTGGGCTGGGGCGTTCCAAGGTTGGGGATTTGGGGGTACCGAGATTGGGGGTTCAGGGGTGGGGTGGGGGCCCAACACGTGGGGGTCACACGGCCCCCTCCCTCCCCTCCAGGCTGCACCCCCCCGCCCTGGGGAGGGTGGGGGTCCTGCAGCCGCTCCTGCGGAATGGGGGTCGCCCTGCGGCGCCGGGGGGGAGCCACGCCCGGGGGCGGCTGCGCCCACCCCCCAAACATCGACACCCGCGTCTGCTTCCTGAGAGCCTGCCCAGGTACCCCCAAACCCCCGGGACCCCCGCTATGGGCGGGACCCTTACTGTGGTGTGGGAGCCCACAATGGGCTGGGACCCCCGTTCTGGGCTGGGACCCCCGGGGATCCGGACCCTCCGTGGGGTGGAACTAATCCCATTTCCGGAGTGGGACCCCCAAAACGGGCGGGACCCCCAAAGCTCGGGACCCCCACAGTGGTTTGGGATCCCCATCCCTGGGCTGGGGAGGATGTTTAAAGTTGGGGGAGTCTTGGGGTTGGGGTGTCAAGGGAGTCCCCAAGGGCGGGGGTCTCGGGGTTGGGGGCTGCAGGGGGTCCCTCCCAAGGGGCAGTGAGGGGATGCTGACTCCGCCTGACCCCCCGTGTCCCCCCAGTTGCGGGCGGGTGGGCGCCCTGGGGGTCCTGGACCCTGCGATGCCCCGTGCGGGGGTGGGCAGCGGAGCCGCCGCCGCAGCTGCAGCGACCCCCAAAAACGGAGGGCGGCCGTGCGAGGGGGGGGGCCTGCAGAGCCGACCCTGCAACCTGCGGCCCTGCGGGGACGGGCCAGGTACGGGGGGGCACGGGGGGGCTGCGGGAGTGGGAAGACACCTCCAACTCTGCTCCCCCTGTCCTTATGCCCCCCTTGCCAGCCCCAGTGCCCTCAGATTCCTGAGCCCCCATTGCCCCCAAATCCTCCCCATCCCCCGCCCCCAAACACCTCCATGCCCACCCTGTCTCCCCTGAGCCCCGTAAATCCCCTTAAGTCCCCTAGACCTCCCACTTACCCTCCTGCCGTTGCCCCCCTAGCCTGCCCCCCTTCGATGCTGCTGGTGCCCCCGGGGGGGTGCGAGGATTTGGGGTCCTCCGTGCCCCTACCTGCACAGGCCCGAGTAGGAACAGCTCGTGCCCGGGGGCTGTGAGGAAGGTCGGAGGAGTGCGGAGGGGGTGCGGGGAGAGCTTGAGGGGCACGGGGGGTCTTGAGGTGTCTCGGGGGGAGGCGACTTGGGCAGGGCAGGGGTGGCGGGGGGAGAATTGGGAGGATTTGGGAGTGGCCTGGGAATCTGGGGGGGATATAGGGGGCTTGAGGGGGCTTGGAGGGACCGAGGGGAGGGCAGGGGGCTTTAGGGGAGCTTGGGAACTTGGGAGGGCCCTGGGGGTCCAGGAGGCACTTGAGGGGGACAGGGGGGCTTGGAAGGGTCTGGGAGGTCTTGAGGGGCTCGGGAGGTGGAGGTCTTGGTGGTCTGGGGGAGGCTTGTGGGAGGGCACAGAGGGTCTTGGGGGGATTTTGGGAGGCTCGGAAGGAACTTGGGGAGCTGAGGAGCTCTTGGAGGGCTGAGGGCGAATTGAGGGGTTCAGGAGGCTCAGGAGAAACTGAAGCTCCCCCAAATTCACCCCCCTCCCCCGCCAGGCTGTCGATGCCCACCCGGGCTGGTCCTGTGGGAACGTAACTGCGTCGAGCCCGGGTACCCCGAATCCCCCCCAAACCCACCTATGCCCAAAACCTGTGGTTGTGGTCCCGGGGTTGTTGGGACCCCCCAGGATTTGGGGTGACCCCCGTTTTCCTCCAGCGCGTGTGGGGGGCCCGCCGGGGTGTTGGGGCTCCCTGGGAGTCAGAGCCCCCCCGAACCCTGCGGGTGGTCGCGCTGGACCCCCTGGACCCGCTGCGACTGCAGCACCGGGACCCGGCAGCGCTTCAGGTGGGGAGGCTGCCCCACAGAGGGGGGTCTGACCCATAGCGGGGGTCCTGCCCCACAGCAGGGGGTCCTGCCCTATATTGAAGGGGTCTTGCCCCACGGGAGTGGGGTCCCACTCCATAAGGGGGGGATCTCTGCCCCATAGCAAGACGGTCTTGTGCCACGGGGCTGGGGGTCTCTGTCCCGTACCGAGAGGGTCTCTGCCCCCCGGCGATAGGGTCCTGCCCCACATCCCGCTCCCCACAGGTCTCCCACCAACCCCGCGGCCGTGCCCGGCGGTGCCCCCTGCGCTGGGTCCCCCCGGGAGGTTCAGGATTGCCCCGAGCCCTGCGGCCCCGGTAAGTGTCCCAGACCCCCGGGACCCCCGAACCTCCCCGGCCTCACAGGGGCACCCGGGGCCGGGACCCCCGAGTGCCCCCACGGCCCCTCGAGTGCCCCGTGTCCGTGTGTCCCCAGAGCCCGGCAGCGCCGTGTCACCGGGGGGCACCGGAGCGCCCTGGGGCACAGAGGTGACGTGGGGCACAGAGACCCCACAGTCCCCGGGGTCGCCGTGGGTCCCGGGGTCTCCGTGGGCCCCAGACTCGCCGTGGGTCCCGGAGTCTCTGTGGGGCACAAAGTCCTCCTGGCTCCCGGGGTCCTCGGAGCTGCCGGGGTCCCAGAGTCCCCGGGGCCGGGGGTCCCAGATTCCCTGGGGGTCCTGGAGCCCCCAGAGTCCCCAGAGCCCACGGACTCCCCTCGTGGCCTGTGGTCGTCGTGGGGCACAGAATTTCCGGAGTCCTCGGGGGTCCCACTGTCCCCGGGGGTCCCGGAGTCCCCGGGAGTCCTGTTGTCCCCCGAGGTCCCGCTGTCCGCGGGGGTCCCGCCCCCCCTCCGTGGCCGGTGGTCGCCGTGGGGCCCCTGGAGCGGCTGCAGTGCCCCCTGCGGGGGGGGCGAGCGCTGGCGCCGCCGGGGCTGTGACGCCCCCCCGTGCCCGGGGCCGGCACTGCAGAGCCAGAGCTGCCACAGCCACGTGTGCCGCGGTGAGTGCGGGGGGCGGGACCCCCGACCGAGACCCCCACCCGCAGATCTGAGCCGAGGTCTCCCAGCCCAGAGGCCCCCAACGCAGAGACCCCCACCCAGAGACCCCCCCCAACCCACAGATCTGACCCAGAGACCCCGCCCCACAGACCTGCTCTGTCCCATAGCCCTTCCCCAGAGACCCCCAGAGCCCCCCGGCCCACACACCTTCCCTCCCCGTGGGGCGCAGAGCTGGGTGTTTGGGGGGGGCAGAGGCGGAGGGCCCCCCCGGGGTACTGGGGGGAGGTTGGGGAGGGGACAGGGGCCGGGTGCCCCAAGGTACTGAGGGGTTTTTTTTCGGGGGGGGCAGAGGTCAGTGCCCCCAGGCGCTAAGGGGGGGATCTGTGTTTGGGGGGGCAGAAGCGGGGTGCCCCCCGGGCTGGACGTTCAGCGAGTGCGGGGAGGGCTCCGGGTGCCCCCGGAGCTGCGCCCACCTGGGCGGGGCCGTGGGGTGCGCGGGGGGGTGTCAGGAGGGGTGTCACTGCCCCCCCGGCACCTTCCTGCACCACCGCACCTGCCTACAGGTGAGACCCCCCCCCGGGGACCCCCCATGAGTGCTGCCCCCCCATCGGTCCTGTCCCCCCTCCGAGGGTGCTGCCATCCCAAAATCTGGGGAGGAGACTGGCGGGGAGGGGCTCCTGGGAGTGAAATGGGGGTCCACAGATCCCTGGGTGCCCCCCAGGGTGGTTGGGGGTTCCTGGGTGGGGTTCCCCGGGTTCATGGGGGCTACGTGGGTGCCCCGCGGGTGGGGGCTCTAGGGCGGCTCCGTGAGGGCTCTGTGGGACTGTGGGTGCCCCCCCGGAGGGAACACCTGGGGGTTCTATGGGACAGTGGGTGCCCCATGGATGTCCTCCAGGAGAGTGGGTGCCCCCCGGGGTGGGTTGGGGTCCCCGGGTGCCTCCCGGGCGCCCCCCACCCCCGTGCTCAGCCCCAGCAGTGCCCCTGCTCGGTGCCGGCCGCGTTGCTGCGGTGGGGGGACCCTGGGACCCCCTCCGGGACCCCCCGGGCCCGGAGCCCTCGGGGACCTCCCATGGGGACCCCCCGATCCTGGAGCTGCCGCCGGGAGGGACCGTCCACGTGGGCTGTGCCCGCTGGTGAGGGGGGACACCCCCGGGGGTCCTTCCCCCCCACCTTCACGTACCTTCTGCCCTTCCCCACGACCCTTCCCCACCATCACCTGCTGCCCTCCCCCACCCCGTGTTCCCCTTCCCCATCACCCACCACCCCCGGCCCTTCCCCACCCTCCAGGCCCCCGTCCTTCCCCCCATTCCGCGACCCTTCCCCACCACCCACAGCCCCTCCCACGACTCCCCCTCTGGTACCCCCTGTCCCCCGCACCCCTCTGACTCCACCTTTGCCCCCAGCACGTGCCTGGGGGCCGCCTGCGCTGTGCCCCCCGAGGGCTCCCCGGAGCCCCCTGCACCGGGACCCCCACGGAGAGGCCGACGTGCCCGAGCCCCCCCTGCGCCGGTGGGTCACGGCCCCCCAGCCCCCAGCCCCACGACCGCAGCCCCACGGCCTCAGTGGGCACAGCCCCCAGCCCGGGGTCCCACGACCCCAGCCCGACTCGGGGACCAGACAGTGTGACCGGGTTGGTTGTCCCCCCTCAGCAGAGCCCGGCCCCGCACGGGATCTGGGCCCCACACGGGGTCTCGGCCCCACAGCAGCTCTCAGCCCCACACGGGATCTCAGTCCCATAACAGCTCTCAGCCCCACAGCTCTCGGCCCCACAGCCCCAGGTGAGGGTCCCACTGCCCCCCCGTGCCCCCTCGCAGTCCCCGCCCCTGCTGCCGCACTGACAGACTGTTCCTGCAGGGCCCGAAGGGGAGGGGGCGGCCGGGTGGTCCCCGCCGGTCCCACCGGCGCTGTGGGGCCGTGGGGGCCATGGGGACCCTGCTCCCACACCTGCACCCGCCCGAGACCCCCGCGAGCCGGAGCCGCCGCCGGGACTGCGCGGGGGAGAGTGCGGGAGGGGGGCGGCACCCAGAGCAGACCCTGCAACCTGCCCCACTGCCAAGGTG